CACGAATTGGAAAGTACAGAGATATTGAAAAAAAAAAAATTGTTCATCGCGTAGGAATCGATTTCTATCGCGTTTGGAGATTGGTTTCGCTCGTGTGTGCGGTGCAGCGTAAATAGGAAAATTTCGTTACGATGAAATCTAGTCGAGGGGGGGGGTAAGATTCTAGACGAACCGCCGATTCGTCCCGACTGTGTAGCGCAGAAGCAGTGCCAGTCGTTTACCAGCATCCTAATCATTTTTCTTCGTCCCTCGGGTTGGAGTTCCAGGACGTCGGCAGCGCCATCCTCGCAGTCGGGACACCAACACGGCCACAGATGCGATCCGATGCCTCCACTTCAACCCTCTATACAGGGTGTCCCACGTGTCCTACTTAAGGGGATATTCTGGTCTAGAATTTCGAAAAAATCGATTCCCCCCCTTCCGGTTCCTTTCCCATCGAGTAAAAAGCTTCGAACGCGTGACTACGAAGCCGTTTCACTTCCATTCGTAAATACACGGAGTAAAAACTTTTCGAACGCGTTTCGAAACCACTTCGCGCGAGGTTTAGTAGGCCGATTTATTTGAAATTTCCAGGGTACCTCCAACAAACTTGTTTTTATTGCTCGAAGCGAGGATTTTAAAAAGTATCGATATTTACTAATTATTAAAAAATTGGCTCTGGTGCAGCTTGGCTCTAGTGTAGATTTTCTATTTAATTTTTTAATCGTTAACGTCCATCGCGAAGTTAATAATAACGAGGTTAAAAAAGCGAGCGTGCACACAAAGTGAGACGATAGTAAAAAAGGCAGAACGGGTCGTAATAGTCTTAGAACCGTGGCGGAAGAGATGGGAGAGAAAATGTGAGGTTGCTTTTTGCCGGGAAAGGTGAGACCAGGGGTCGCCGTACGCACTCGACGCAATAAAAATATTCAAGAGACAGCGCCACTCGAGAGCGCTAAAAACTGGAGACTCGTTCAAGAATCGCGACGTTTGTTGTTCGATATAAGAGTTTTCGATGACCCGTGGCCTGATCTCGCGAGTGTTTTACAAACATCCGCTTTACGCCACTTTCGAATAATCGCTTGCTTACGACTCCCTTATCGCGTGTCGCGGCGATTTTAAAAATGGCAGACTCGGATTACGTAGCAAGCAGATTTATTCGCGGTATCAGAATTTAAATATCTCCCGAATTTATGGCCTTTCATCGAGGAGCTGTATCGATAAACGCATCGAAAGGAATATAGTTTGATTAAAAAGTACCGAAGTTAATCTTCCCGTGTCTCCGCTACAGCTGCGTCCACAAAAACACGATTGACATTAGATTATCTTCCCATCGAATTCATTCATCTTTCGACTGAAATATTTGTCGATATTGATTGATCGATGCCCTTATTACGTAAATAAAGAAAGTGCATACGCGGTACAAGGTGGTCTGAAAGTGAAGACCCCCTTCCGGCGGTTGTCTTCCGCATCGAGGGCCCCTGACAACAGGCAACCCGACGTTCCCGCTGGCGCGACTTCGAATTTGTCATCTAAAATGTGCATACGCGTTCTAAGAATTAATTTCCACGAGCGTTTCGCCCGCGGCCAATGCACCAATCTAAACGCACATTTGTCATTCACTTCCACAATCAGTCGTGCGTTTCATGACGCACAAATATCTCCCCTACCTGCAATATAGAGTCGCGGTCAGCTATTTAACGACCGTTTGATAGTTTCAGTAATAATTTCGACTGATAATGCGGCTCACATCGCGCATGAAACTGATGATCGATACGGACTCACTATTAGAACATAATAGAGTCGCGAACAGTTAAAATAATAATATTTATTAAGACAATATTCGCATTTCCCAATCTCGTTTCCCTTAATTTCCGGTTAAAAACTAGAATTCGTGGATCTTTGAAACAACAAAAGTTCGAGTGATTTCCCTGAATTAATAAGGCAGACTTAACTTTGCCAAAATTCACTAAAAGAGGACCAAAAACGATTACTACCGCGATGCTCCACCGTTCCCCATAATTTCTTATTTGGTTTAGATCGTTCGGTGGAAAGAGAAAAAAAGAAAATGGAACGGTTCACGACGGTTTCCAATATTATCGAAGGCGAATCCCGCACCACCGTCCTCGTTTATTTTCGAAGAAGTATTTCCGCGTTGGCTGGACTAATGATTTGACTCGCTTTTAGTGGTTCTCGGTTAGGTCAGCCTCTCTATAACGTCTCATCGAATGATCTCCATTACCGATCCGTTCTGGAGTGCCACTCGAAAACTTTATTCCCGTCGTTTCGAAGACGCGAATCTGGCCGGCGGTTGCACGGTTAATGCAGCAATTCGAAACAGCGCGTCGGGAAACGCGAATATCTCTGCATTAAAGTGGCCGGGGCGATCTCGCCTGGCATTAATCCGATCGAAGATGTGCGGGGGGATTTATGGCGCGAAGAATTTACGACAATGGCCGCGAACGTTCGTCCACCCGAGGGTCGAAACGAGTTATTCGAACCGGGCTGAACACCTTCGAAAAGTTCATCGAGCCCCGGGAACGAATTAGTACGATGTACAAACATAACGCGAAAAAGTATTTAATTCCGTGTTTCCTTGCACCAGTATTCGAACAAATACGCGTCGTGTTTGCCGACGATATTTATCGCGTCGCTAATTCTGCTAATTCCGTATTCGAGACTTTTAATTAAACGGGAACAATGACGTAGCAGGATGTTGATACGATTCATAAAATTAATGATATTATCGAGGGGCATGTGCACGCGAACATATTGAATGACGTTCTATTTCCATTTAACAATAATCCGCGCCCCCCTGGAAAATTGGATCCCGTTGATAATGACGCGCGAGGCTCGCGGGGGCGAAAGTTTTTAAACGATCGAGTTCGCAATCTTAGGATCTCAATCCCGTCGGGACGTCGTCGATTGATGCGGGGGGGAGAAACGGAAAGAAGAAAATCGAGGAATCTAGGGGCGCTCGGTGTCGAACAAGCGTGAAACTCCATTCTTGTTATCGTTCTATTAATTTCCATGCCGTCGCGAAGAAAAAGAAAGACGACCGAGTGTCCCGCCTATTCCAAAAAATCACAATTTGTCGGTCTCGAGCATCATTCGAGGCACTCGCTGTTGAACAAGCGTGGTATTCCTTTCTTGTTATCGTTCTATCAATTTCCATGTCGTCGCGAAGGATATGAAAGACTACCGACCGTTCTGCTTGTTCCAATAAACCACATATTGTCGATTTCAATCGTTCGTGGCACTGTCGAACTAGCATGGAAATCTTTTCTTGTCAAAAAGGAAGGCAACTGAGGGTTCTGCTTGTTCCAAAAAAAAAAAACACAAATTGTCGATCTCAAGCATTATTCGTATCATCGAATGCAATTGTAATAAATGTAAGTCGACGAACAAAAGAAAATTCTATGTCACTTCGAAGCTTCTATTCTCCATCTACTATAAATTTTAATTAGCACGAAGGACCCCAAAAAAGGGAGACGGAGTACATTCGATGTTAGGAACGATGTCTGAGATCGACAATGTGTGTTTTTTTTGGGACGTAATTCGTTGAAAAAAAGAAAATTCTATCGCACTTCGGAGCTTCTATTCTCAATCTACTATAAATTTTAATTAGCACGAAGGACCCCAAAAAAGGGAGACGGAGTACATTCGATGTTAGGAATGATGTCTGAGATCGACAATGTGTGTTTTTTTGGGTCGTAAAACGACGAAGAAAAGCAAATTCTATCGCACTTCGGAGCTTCTATTCTCAATCTACTAGAAAATTTTAATTTGCAACGAAGGACCCCAAAAAAGGGAGACGGAGTACATTCGATGTTAGGAATAATGTTTTAGATCGACAATGTGTGGTTTTTTGGAACGTAATACGACGAAGAAAAGAAAATTCTATCGCACTTCGGAGCTTCTATTCTCCATCTACTATAAATTTTAATTAGCACGAAGGACCCCAAAAAAGGGAGACGGAGTATATTCGATGTTAGGAATGATGTCTGAGATCGACAATGTGTGGTTTTTTGGAACGTAATACGACGAAGAAAAGAAAATTCTATCGCACTTCGGAGCTTCTATTCTCCATCTACTATAAATTTTAATTAGCACGAAGGACCCCAAAAAAGGTAGACGGATTACATTCGATGTTAGGAATGATGTCTGAGATCGACAATGTGTGGTTTTTTGGAACGTAATACGACGAAGAAAAGAAAATTCTATCGCACTTCGGAGCTCCGATTTTCCGTGTACTATAAATTTTAGTTAGCAGGTAGCACCGCAAAAAAGGGAGGCGGAAAATTCGATTGGATGTCGCGATTAGGTAGCTCCGGCGATGTTTATGTCGCGGTCAATTTCGAAGACATTCCCATGGGTTGGTTTAACCGGGACACCCTGTATGCGTGGTTCTCCCGCTTCGCTCGTATTCGACGATCCTCCCAACGAAGGGGTCGCCGTCGGTGCTCCTCTTCCTCTCGTTCGCCAGTACCGTCGGGCGTTTCGACGCGGTAACACGTTGCGTCCAGGTCGAGAGAGAAACGTTTCGACGCACGCAGTACCTTCTATACTTTAATCCGTTCCCCACGACATCGTTCTCGCGATATCTGCCATAATCTCCAACCCCTTATTGCCCCTTTCGCTGATAATCCCTCGTTTCTTTCGACTCTCTGTCATGCTTTCCGTTGTAATTTCTGCTCCGTATCGTCCGTCCGCGCGCCCGTCCTCTCACCTTTTCTCACCTTCGTTCCTTGCCAAAAATAGGGAGACCCGCCCACCCTCGAAACCGCGAAACTGATCGTCGTTTTTCGCCAGTACCGTCGAACCTTTCGTTCCGTTCACGGTTCACCGTGCCGCGATCGGTAATATTTACCGCGACCAGGTGACGAGGTGTCGTGTCGCGTGTCGTGCACCGTCGTCGTCCACGGTCTGCCCGATCCTCGTTCCGTCCTGCTTCGTCCTACCGCGCCCTGACGAAGATCGTCGAAGGCGCGGCGCCGCACAGGACCACGCTGACGCGCCTAATCCACGATACAACCCCTAATATCGCAACCCCGATCGCTGCACCGCAGCCCCGTTCGTTGCATTGCGTGCACCGGACTCGCTGGACGCGTTCGCTCGTGGCGATCCTCGTCTCTCGATCTCTTTCGACCCCCGAGAACTGCGACGATTTGGTGAGGAAACGTACACCGCTGCACATTATAGAGCGTTTCGACGAGTTTGGGAAATTTTTGGACGTCGACCCCGTGGAGACGAGTTTCGATCGCGTGGCTTTAACGTGTAAAATTCATTTCGCTACTTATAGACGTCGAAACGTTTTAAATATCTGGATCCGTTGGGAGTGGATCGAGGAATCTAGTGGGTTCATTTTGTAACAGTTGTACAGTGAAAGTTGCTTAGAAGTTGCAAGTTGATAATAAGGGGTTGATTGTGGTCTGGGTTAGGATTGGTGAATACTTTGAATTATAATACTTAGCATATAATCCAGACTTTGACCTACTGTGCGCGGCTGTAGAAATTTGGAACACTTTCTACTTCTCGGTGTCCGCACAAATAAATATTAACGAAAATTACCAATCACGGACGAGCGTGAGTTTTTTCTTATTGAAATTACACGGTCGAAGATCGCAGTTTTTTTACCGAGTTTTAAATAAATTTTGAACTTCGGGACTATTAAAAGTTTTCGCATTTTTCAGTCCGGGAGGGATTAATCTCTCTGGATAAATGCTGGAATTATGAAAGTGACTTTTACGACTGAAAAGAATAGATCTTGATCCTGGTCAGGAAAATTTTTTTAAATTACGGTCCTTTTTCCCGCGATGTTTCCTTGGTCGAGGAAAGTTTTTTAATTCGCGGAGTCTCGAAAACTATAGTTGAATCCCGACGGTAAAGATTACGGTGCAGCCCGATTCGAGTAAACTGCGCGGCAAGGGATCGAACTTAGGGTGGTGGCGATCATACCAACGACGTTATTCTAATTTTCCTGTATTTTAACAGTGGGGATTTCAATTTTATCATAATCTCCGAATCAAGGACGCTTAGTTTCATATCCGCGTAAAACTCGATATATTTTTCAAACGTTGATCGTGTTTGGTATACAAATAGGAGAAGCTTTATCGATATTATGCATCGTTGCAGCGATTTTTACGCGGCTCCAGAATGGAATTTTTTCGCGACCGTGCGTGGCAAAGGTCCTTCGCGATGGAATCGATGAATCCATTAAGAGAGTCGATGCACGTGCCGGTTTACAAAGGCCGTACGAAAATCAAATCAAAGCCATTAGAGTCGGAACGAAAGAATTACGTTCAATTTCGAAGCTAAGATGGAAGAGAAACAGCATCCAATCTCGTGGAAAAATTGCTTTGGAGCAGCCAGATAGTATTTATGACAGTAAAAGCTATAGTACAGTAACTTTGTACATTTAAAAAGTAAATTTCTGCAAAGGTGCTTTTAAAATGCAGTTTTTCTCAGCGTCGAGTCGGGCAATTTTCCCGTTTCTATTGTGCAACTTCAGATCGAGCATTTAATTTGTAGTTAATTAGGCGTTGCGCGTTAACAGCTCTTATGGTGCAGTAATTATAACATAAGTCTGCATACTGCAGTGACAAGCTCTTCTTATTACCACCTAAGGGGGACCCTTAACGTCCCTTGGACAATATTTCAATTAAAAAGTAGTTTTCGAGGCTCCAGTCGGGATTCAAATTTTTCGTAAAACTTTTTTAAACAATTCTGACCTCGGTGCACAAAAGTGATCGATTTGGCGTGGAATTGGCCATAACTGCATCGCGAGAGCTGCTGCGAATAATACTTACAGTACATAGCGCAATATTTGCCACCGTGAAAATTTCATTGGCCCTCCCGGCGTCGGTCGTATCGACGGTTCCAGCTATGAACAGTCAACGTGTTAATAATGAGTGGAATTGATCGGAGAAGTTATCGATAACCATAATAGATTTCACTTCGATGCGCGCGTAACGAGAAAATGATAAAAGGGGCAGTCGTTCAGGGAAGTTTATCCCGAAAGTACAGGCGATCCAATCTGGAAATCGAAATTCGCGGAATATATAGTTTACGGTCGGAATTTCGTACTCGTCGTTCGGGAATAAAATTCCCACGAACTTTGTTTATCGATTCCACGGGCGTAATCTCCGACACGATTAACCCTAGGCGACGAAAACACCGCCGCATTACGATGCTTTCTACGCCTCCCTCGTGTCGCGCGCAATTCTCTCCGCGAATCGTCGGAAAAACCGCACGAACAACGATCGATCGCCACGAAATCCTGGGATCTAGCGAACGGACGCCGATTACGCAATAGATTGGGTGTAGTCGACCGCTTGTTCTCGTTTAATTAACCATAACATTGTATTTAGGACGTGACAAAGTCTGGATTACGCTAAGCACTTACGTATGTCGATAGCAATTTACGCGAACGCAGTCGCGCGATTAAAGTTTTCAAAAATAAAGGACTTTTCTTTTCGTTTTGGCGAACAAACGCGCAATCTATCTTTGGACAAGTTGATCAGTCGATCAACGAAGTTTCAGTATAGATAAATGATATTAAGAACCCAAAATTTCGATATATATCGATATCTGCTGTTTGATACTTTGGTATCGAATTGATCTATGTATATCATCGTAGACGTATATTTCTATTACAAGGTTGAAATAGCTGTTCCTCGTTGGATTGATCTGGCAATGCAAAGAGAAATGGGGAGAAAAGAGAGATAAAAATCGCGAATAATTTGACTCCTTATGGCCTGATGTTTTTTTAATAAACATGCAGTGACAGGTACTAAAATTAATTAAAAATGTTATTACACTACGTTGAAGAAAACTTTATTTTGTTACCCAATGCATCAGAGTTTATTAAAATATTTTTATATATATTAATTATTTCGAAATACAGACGTTAATTAAATATCACGTTTCACGTATGCAGTCAATTTTGTACCTGCACGATATATGATTTTTTACTGTTGGGAGTAATTGCACTGTGATGCAATATCTTTCATTTTCGAACGTTTATTCGAGTCTACCCTAGATTCCCCCAATATCAGAAAAGTTATGATATAATCATATTATCTTAACCTAATTACAATAATAACGAGTAATTAAATGCAATTCCAGCAAAAATAACTTATTTTTTCCGTTATAGCTAGAAATGATGTTTAATTGATATCCATATCGAGTGGCAATACTAAATTAAAATAAAATCGACATTCTAAATTAAAACATAAATTTATCCGTACACACGTTACCGTCGTCCAGGATACACGTTTCAATTAGACATCGGGTTTTAATTTCAATTTAATATCAATAGTCAATACAGATATTTCGCGATAAGCATACATCGCGGAAACTTCGAAGTTAAATAAATTAATTATTTCGACTAAAATCGCGCGTAAATACTAAGAAAAAGACAGTAATTTATTCCCGGGGTCATTTAATTATAATCATACCACGGGAATAAAACTAAAATTGCGTCCGCATTTCTCTTCACCGTCGACCAATCGAAAAACGAACAGCTCCTACCACCTGACGATAGAAATGTTTAATCGAATTTTACTAAATTGGCAGCGATGTGCATTCCAGATAAAACCGCAAGAATTTCTCGCCCGTCGCGGTTATTGATATGATCGAAGGGTGGAACGGACGATCCATACGTCGTACATTCAGACATTATAGAAATTAAACTAGTTAAATGTAGATAGAGAGAGAGAGAGAGAGAGAGATTGAGGGCGGAAGGGAGATAACGCGCAGTAGTCCGCGATGGGCGTGTCGTCTGTACAAACGCGGAGGAAAGTTTCGCGAGGGGTCGATGATCGGCCCGTAACGCCTCGATCGATAGATCGACCGGCCGCAGTCACCTCGAGAAAGATCGTACGATCGAAGCCAGGGAACGTTTGCTCGTCCATCGTCTTTCTACGCGGACGTCCGATGCTCTGGATTATATTCGCGATTCAGCTGATCGGAGTGCCGGCCAGTTCCGACAAAAGTAAGTATTTTTTTCCGCATTTCCAGTTTCCGTTCCGCCTTTCAGGTATCCCAAGTATCGTCGAAAGCCACTTCGCCGCGATGATCCTCGAATCAAAGATCAAGAAACACGGGGGTAGAAACTTTGAAACGCGCCCTGAGATATCCGGTTCCTCGTCCTCCTTTTTTCTTCCTTTCTTCTTGTCGAGCCACCCCCCCCTGTAACTTTTTCGTTTCCCTTCGAGAACTCTGTTTCGGCGGTGAATCATTTCCGCTGCTCGCGATCGATCGCGACTTCGAAAAACCGCGATAGCGGAGATTTATGGCTTTCGAAATTTTAAGAGGAGAGCGTCGGTCTGTCTAATAATCTCCCTGAGACCGGAACCATTCGTGTGTTTGACAAATATATAGACGATAGGTTTAAATTGAACTTAAGTAAAGTTCCGACTAGCTCGAACCGTTTGATTAAAAAGGAAACGAAGTTCTGTTCGTTAGGTTCTGAGAAAATAGCAACGATTTATACGGGTTGCTCGGTGCATCCCTCTCTCTTAACGATGTGCCGTAAAGCGATATCGAATGTTGTGGTCCAATGGACGTTAAGGAAACTCTGACTGCCAGAATTACTTTATTGCCGGTGGAGCAATAAACCCCGGGCGTACCTAAGGGAACCATTTGGCCAGCAGATTTGGCTACGCGACACGGCTGATTTTTGCATTTAGCCACCCGGTAGGCCTCTCTATCCCGAGAGCGCCGGAACAATACGTTCCCGTGGAAAATTTGGAAAACATACCTTTCCTATCGCGTTCCCGTTTGATCGATCGACTCCCGCGAGCATCGAGCGTCCAATCATTTTTCGATGCGGCTGCTTCCACCGCCGTAACTCCTTCCACAAAAGTGTTGGATCAACGTTCGAAACGTGTACTCACGGACACCTGTTTCTGGAATAAATACAATTTCAGTCAAAGCGGTACCAGCTTTTATTTCCACTGTTCATTTGCAAACGTTCAGAGGACGTCAACCAGTTTGCAATATTTACAGACGTCCTAGACGTCGTGCAAATTATGTTCAAACAGACATATTGAATAATTTAACGGTGCGCTTGATATTTTATATCGTAAAGGAAGTATCGTTTAAAATTTTAGAGTAAATTTAGAGTAAATTCAAGTAAATTTAGAGTAAATTTTAGAGTAATTTTAGGTAAAGGATTTAACCCTTTGAGTATAGATACGCAAAGAAATGTACAATACAATGGAAATAGCTGCCAATTCATTCTCTCATAGAACACTACGTTAAATTTTCAAAAAATCGGTGGAGGAAATTTTTTATAAATTTTGTTAGAAATTACGAATGGGCCATTTTGACTGCTTTGTTGGAAGTTTGAAGCAACAGTCACCGGTGACCACCATGACAGTGAACGCGTTAAAAGCCCTCGTCCCTGAGATTAAAACCATCGTTCGACGGTTATCAAACCAGGACGATTCGCGTTTGTAGGAGCATCGTTCGTCGCGAATGGAAAGAAGTCACGGCGAAAACGGAAGGTATACGATTCACGAAGAATCTTCTTTCAGTTTTCGTGTCGTCGCCTCTCTTCGTGGCTGGTACACGAGTCACGTAGACGTCCGCCCGTTACCCTCTTCCTTAACTTTCCAAAAGCGATCCCCGATTCTGGAGCAGCTACCCCGAGCTACTCCCCAATAGGTCCTCGTCGGATGCAAGCGATCGTTCGAGCGCTCTAAGGGGTCGTGTCACCTTTGCAGCGAGGGGAGGGGGAAAATTTTTCTCTTCAAAACGATTATTCGAACCCTCGATCCCTCGCGATCTTTACGAAATCGGTCCAAAAATTGTCAATTTTTTATTTCGTAAATTACGTAAAATCCTGACTTGATTTTTGTTATATTTGTTCGATAAACGGGAAGCCCCAAAAATAGTGGAACGTGTTGAAAAAATTTTAATACCCAGTTTTTGAAAGATGAAACGGTTTCGATGTATTATTTGAACGCAACGGAAATGGAGACCAATTGCGAACGAGGAGAAACAGGACCGCAACAACCGCGTTTCGCGGGCAGAACGACGTGAACGCGGTGGAAAGAAAGAAGCGTAGAGCGAAAAGGGCGAGGACAAAAGGGAAATTCCAGCAAAGAACGGGACGAGAGTTTTGTACGCGAACGGTACATACTCGGTGCCGGTGAAGAGACGAGAAGGGGAAACAAAGGGCTGGCGACTGGGAATCTAAAAGACATGAGCGATTGCGATTCCGTAGGGTCGTAGGGCAGTCGTCCGAGCACAATTAACCTCCGCCACTTGGCCGCTAATGGTTTACAAACAAACGACGACGACGACGACGACGTCGACGTCGACGAGAAGACGGGCCAACGTTTTATCGTTAATTTGCAACCGAGATCGTTCCATCCTCTCGGCAACGTTTCTATCCGGATACAAATTTAACGCGACGAATCAGATTTGTTGGGGAGGGGAATTTGTGAATTTTTACGATCGTTAAACATTTTTACTGTCGGCGTTTCATTATAATCTTCTGCAGTGAGTTTGCCAAACGTATAAGGGCCAGTGTAAACACCGTGGAACTTCCGTCTTAAGGGGCGAATCCGAGCATGAAAAATTAGAATTTTCCCGGTCGTCTTTGCGTAGCAAAACAGCGAGGATTTTAGCGCGTTCGACTTTGGGTCGCGGGGCTGGAGGATCGCGGTGGAGTTTTATCGGATCGAGGCGTGGGAAAGTTTTCAACAAACTTTTGCTACATCGTCGTAGCGTGAATAAGGAATAGGGGAATCGAATGGGAAGATCGCGAATAATACGCGGGGAGAAACTCCAATATCGCGTCTCGATGGTCACGCGGCTGGGCGCAAAATCATGGAAACAAAGACGATCTCGATAGCTTCCGCAAATTTACATACGGGAACACCGCGCTCTATCACTGCCTTTGCTTATTCGGAATTTCGTTTTCGAGCCATTCCGCGGTACGTCCTCTTTATAAAATACCATTATGCCCTCGATCTTTGCGCCCTGTTCCACGAGAATGGGAATTCGTTGTCCCCCCTTGACAGATTCTCCCCATTCTCGGAACGTCTGACGCGTTAAAAGCTGAAACTTACACGGGAATGGAAAATACTTGTTGGAAATGCCGTTGATCGTTGCAATCGTGCTCGCGACGACGACGCGACGCATTGACAGCTGCGGGTTTCGTGAAAAGAATTTTCAACGAAGAGAGTGCAGGATTCCAAGAGTCCATTACGTTTCCCCCTTAATATTTATTAAGCTCTCTTGTTTTACTGTTAATGTTCTCTTAGATTAAGACGAATACATGCTTTCTTTATTTTATGACCCTTTTTACACACCTACGTTCCTAATGAGCGCAGTCTATATTCGCCTGCCTCGAATAGAATAAGAGTCAGTAAGAATTTATTCTTTCCGACATTAAGCTTCACAGGAAATTTAAGAATGCTATATATCTCGCTTATACTAACTCGGTTATACTTAGTCTCATCCTTGTACAATAAAATTCCGACACATTCGGGACTGAGGCAATGCCTAATAATTGGAGTGTACCTACTTATGAAGTGATAAGAACGGGGATCTGGACCATTTTTATGAGGTTAAGGAACAACTTTTCGAACAGTCTTAGAATTTTTAAATATTCTTCACTAAAATACGCGTTGATTGCATTTTGAAACATTGAAATCGTCCAATCCGTTCAGGAGTTACGAATTTTTAAACGTATTTACGCATGAAGCTTGAGGGAAACATGATGGTCATGGTCAGACACGAAATTTTCGGTAATGAATTTTTTTCTCGAAACTGCGTAGGATTTCGGGGGTAGGTCTATTCACCAAAAATGATTCTAACTGACCTCTGTAACTGAAAATAATTTTTTCAGACGGGTTTGAAATTTTTTTTTTGTCGAAAATTTAGGCACATATTCGAATTTTTTTCTCGAAAGTGAGTAGGAATTCGAGGATATGTCTATCGACCAAAAATGATTGTAATTGACCCTCGCAACTGTAAATAATTTTTTCAGAACGATTTAAAATTTTTTAATTTTATTGAAAATTTTACACCTCGAATTTGTTTTCTCGAAACTGGTTAGGATTTCGAGGGTATGTCTATTCACAAAAAATGATTATAATTGACCCCCGCAACTGAAAATAATTTTTTCAGAACGATTTAAAATTTTTTAATTTTGTTGGAAATTCCACACCTCGAATTTTTTTTCTCGAAACTGGTTAGGATTTCGGGGGTAGGTCTATCCACCAAAAGTGATTGTAATTGCCCCCTGTAACTGGAAATAATTTTTTCAGAACGATTTGAAATTTTTTAATTTTGTTGAACTGCATTTACCTATCGATTTTTTTTTTAAATTTGCTTTTGATTTTTAGTAAACTTTATTTCAGACATTCCAAATAACCGGGAATAGATTTTTATCTACAATATATAGATAAAAATCTATTTCAGAACCGAATCTTTCACAAGGATCCAACATCCCCAGTTAAGGGCATGACAACGACGATCAAACTGTAAGAGGCGTTTAAGTGGTAACGTGGAAGGGTTGTTCGATACTCGACCACTACAATTAGTGTCGGGTGTCGATTATCGATTGCGTGGGTTATCGATACGAGACTGATTCGTTTCAGGATGTTGGGAACGGTTGAACGACGTTTGAGCACGACATACCATTAATTTCGTTTTAGTTTCTCGTCACTCGGTAATTGTAAAATTTTTAGACTATTCGTAGTATAACAATCGTTGAAAGATTTATTTAACAAATAGTTCGAGAACGTGAACATATCAATTGCGGTTAATATCTTACGCGCAACCGTTTGAAATATCGCCCCGCGAGAGATCGTTAAAATCGAAAAGTGGTCGTGTCTCGATGGCTCAATATAGTCGCGGGTTATCGATAAAAGATTTATACGTTTCAGAAAGTTGAAAGGCGTTGAACGATGGTTCGTTACTGGGTAGACCGTTGGCACTATCTCTCCATATTAAGACGTAATGGTGTATAAAACGATTCCGTATTTGGCAATGAATCAAACATGGCCGCCCATTGCCGCAGGAGCCGATAACTCGCTTTTCCTCCGTCCTTTTGTTCTCGTTGCTAAATTCCTGGCGATCCCGAGCAGATCCGTGCCCTACTGGGCGACCCTCGTATCGCCACGCAGCTACGTTTCGCAGCATTTTGTGGCATTTCGCGGCGTTTTGCGACACTCGCCGCGCCAATTAATCAGCAATCGAGAATCGAATTGAATCGGTAACGTTGGGAAACGGTCCCATTCAATCAGCCAGTCTATAATTGTAGGTCTACCTCGGATAACGTTTAATTGGAGACTGCTAGCTATTTCCACGCTTTGTCGTGGTACCACCACACCTCCTCTGTAAGTACTCCATGTTACCAGGACGTTCCTCCAAAGCGTTCGCCGTGTTTGTTGTTCGAACGTCTAACCAGTTAAGCCAGAGACGACAGCCAGGGAGCTGGAAAGCCTCCTGCCTTCGTTTTTAAACCGTTCCGCGCGATCTTTTAATATATTTTATCGATCGCATGAACAGACACGTATTTACAAACACGTTGATATATTATTGCAAAACCCCCGGGGCGTCGAACCCGATTCGTAAGCGTTGTTTTATAATATTATACGCGTTTATCTGTTGGAGCTTTTAGACTCGAGCGTTTCATTTTATAAACACCCATTTCACGACTCTCTGGACTCGCGGTCCAGTGCACCACAGTTGTATCGGCAGATACTTTTATTCCGATAAAAAGCGAAATCTAGACGTTACTCGTTATTGTTCGTCGAGTGGAAGCCAGAAACGGTGGTTCTGTGTCCAACGTTCGCGCGGATATGTGTTCGGATCAAATCGGGTCGTGTTGAATCGGATCGTTTCGAGCAATCCGGAATCTCCTCTATCGGATGGCCGACGTCTGTGCAACGCGCGTACTTACTTGTAATTATGTACACAACCGGAACGATCGTCGGTGCGGAGTACCGAGTTTCAGCGAAGGGACCAGCCCCCGGAACAGACGTATGTAAATGCAAACCATTCGTCGAATCGCAGATGTTCGTCCGGGGCTGTTGAATGACCGAATGGTTGAACGGTTGAATGGCTGAATTCCATGGTCGGGCAAGCGGACCATAAATTTTGGAAGACATCGTTAACCTTGTATGGTCCGCGTCAGATTCGATCATTCGTTCCAGCGGGTCTCTATTTGCGATCCACGTATTTACATTAAAATATCGACATTAAAATGAACATCGAGAGGAACCGTCACAACAAAACCGCGTATTTTTAGAAACTATTTTTGTTCGCTCGGAGTTTCGGTTTAGTTTTACAATATTTCGTGCCACGCTTCAAATTAAATTACTTTTTAGCTTTCATTTGACTCCCTTGGTCGATGTGTTGAAAAGTAGTTGATCGAAGTTATATAATTGATAATTATGCAGAAATATACCGGTCATAGAACCATGTACCACACCGTTGGTCGTAGTTTGACGAGTTCCAACGCCAGACGCGGGACCACAGAGGATTCGAACGGTCAGAAACCATTGGCGAACCGATTCCGGTGGTTTCTCTGTGCGTGACTTTGCTGCATTTCTGTTTCTCGTTATTGGCGGCACGATAAGTTTAATTGCAGACTGCAATGAACCGATCGACCGTAACACTCGTCATTTTCCTTGTTCCCGGGTACGTTCGTCCCTGAGTACCGTTGTAACAGAGCACGTGACAAAACTTTCCACTACAAACTCGCCGACGTCGCCGTCCAGCAACATTCGTGCAATTTATTTACCGTCACAGAGACTAGAAAACGGTAAATTTGTTACCGCGTTGTTTGTGACGGTCAAACACGAGACAGGAAGTGCCACACGGCGGGTGGAAAAGCTATTTGCACGCCTAGTTTTCTTGTAATAACTTCCCGCGAGCAAATAATAAGGAGGAAAGCTATTAAAATTGTACCAGCGGAGACGTTTCGTCTTGTATTTCCCTGGTACTAATTTAAATGCAAATTAATATTGGAGGCTGCGTGAATTTTAAGATACTCGGGCGGCGAACAGTGAACCGCAGAACTTATATAAATTTGCTCCTGCGAAACTGACGATTCATTTTTCACGATACGTTATCGCGGAAATATTGGGGGGGAACTAATAATATCGAGAATGAGCCACGATCGGGTCGGTGAAAAATATTTACGAGCGTCTAGAAAACGGCGTGTCGTAAAAGGAGCAATGAAAACTCCATTTAAAAGCGTTTAACGTATATTCGCTAACGTCGCGTCGTTATCGAACCAGTGTTTTTCCAAAATGGTGTCGCGGAATAAAGATTTCAATCTACGAGGCGCGTAAAAATTATATCGTCGAAGATCATTAATCTGAAAACCGTTTGATGCGGCGATGATCGTTGCGATCGAGCTTGAGAATAAATGGTGTTCTCGTTGATTTATTAAGAACGTCTGTTGTCGGTTCGGGCACGGTATCATATTAATATTCGCGTCTAAATGAAAATTGATGCGTGTAAAGAAGTTTAGAGGAAAAGTACGCTTATCGTAAACGAAAACATCTTTCATATGCTAGCTTCAGGGGATTAGCGCGGGTGTTACACCGTTTTTAATAAAGAAATATCACCGTTGACCATCGGATTAAATGTCGCTGCGTCTTTCTTCGATTTTTAAAGTAACGTTTCGAGATTTTTGGAACGGAGACAATTTGCTTTTTAATATAACCGTGCAGCGACTGTGCTCTGTATATAACCGAGTCCTTGAAGTCTTTATATTGTTGAAATATAAATGCGCACCTGCGCCACATGGCAGTCTAAATAAACCCAAGGGTCAAAATGAGTTTGGCGTGCCTGCTATAAAGTATATCGACGCGTTCCGGAGCAATTCGCCAGAAAGTGCAGTTAAACCGAGCACGAGTAATGCATATTATTTTCGGGAGGACAATGATCCAACATATACTACCAAAATAGCCAAACTGTGGCTATTTAGCTCGAGCAGCTGTTTGAGCATTCAAAGTCAATTCGAAAAGCATCAAAGCATTTCAAAATTCCCTTTCACCAAAATTAATCGTAATCAGAATCGGAAAGTGTTGGAAAGTTGGAAATTTTCGACATCGATCGGATTAGCCAACTATCTTCGAACTAATTAAACTTCGAGCCCGGGCCAGGCCCCACGACTTCCTTGTTTAGTACTTCGGGGGCCAATCTTTGTAACGAGGATCCCATTAGAAGAATTTGTACCAGTGAAAATTGCATAAGTTCGAGCCCCGATATCTTCTCCTACTCCTTCGCTCCTTTTAACCCTGCGTTAATAACGTTTACACGTATCTTGTGATCGTGGTTTGAACAATCTGTGATGGACCTTTTGCACGGATCTAAGCCAACACGAGAGCCGTGATCTGTTTCAGCCGGTGACATCGAGGTGGAAATCAAAGTGCCAAGCGAGGCCAAAGTGGGATCCTCGGTGGAGCTCGGATGCGAATGGCGGCTGTTCGGCCAAAGGGGACTCTACTCGGTGAAATGGTACAAGGACGATCACGAGTTCTTTCGATACGTACCGGACGACAATCCCAGGATACAAACGTTCCCGCAACCGGGCGTGAACATCGACGTAAGTGTTTCCTTTCGTACCTTTCCGTGCAACGATTCTACAGCTAAGCTACCAGGGGCCCGACCAGGAACCTCTAAATACTTCCTCGATTTCTATGCAATTGTACAGGTTTGAAAACCAGCGGTCGAATTTATTCAGCAAGTTTTTGAAATGAAATTCGCCCGACTCCGGGCTCGAGAAGTTCCACAGTAGTCGCGGACGTTTCTGCACAGCCACTAGTCGCACCAACACTTTGCACAGTCGCGCGAACCCGGATATCCGGCTCTAAACTCCAGAACGTGCCATTTTTCCGGGCGGGGAGAAGTTAGACGATTCTTTGGGATTCTGTGCCTGATCGGAAGTCGCGGGGGGGAGGAAAAATCGCGCGTAGAGCACGCGTCGTGTTTAGAGACGCGTACGTGGATAGGGAAACGAGGCTGGAGCGTATGTATCTTCGTTTAATTTCCGGCTTGTTTGACGTCGACGTTTCCCCCGAAAACTTGCTCCCACGTCCCAGCTCGGGAACCGCTCGATCCGCCCAGGATCCGTTACGGGTTTGCGTCGTCGGATCGTGCGTTTCTGTAACAATTGTTCGAACGTGTTTCTTCGACGAGAAATTTGTTTGCTCGCAGAAGAAATGGAGGAACGAGAAATCGATCAGGCTGAGGAATCTTGGCGTGGCGAGCTCTGGACAGTACAAGTGCGAGGTATCCACTGAGGCGCCGTCGTTCGCCACCACCTATCGGGCAGGAAACTTGACGGTGATCGGTAAGTGCCAGAAGACGACGGTCGTTTCCGTCGTTCAAATTACCGGGAATACGGCGAAGGCTGACGAAGGTAAATATGATAATTGGATGCAGTCATTATCGTGGTCCGACGACGACTCTAATCTCTGTTATACGGGCCGCGGGGCTTAATGACTTAGCGTGCAATAGCTATGCAACCATGCCTGGCGCGATTGTTTGAACGGTTGTAAAATTATTTAAATTCGTAGTGTGTCGTAAAACACGATCGCGTTGCGTGACGCAAATAATAGATCGGAGGCTTCAGCCACCGATTAACTCGAAGCTTTTTTCTCCTACGTTTCACTGTGGATTATTAGGGGAACAAGTATGGAAAAATATTGAAAATGTCTGATCCAACTCTTTTTGGCGCGATCATTTTCCTCGAACGGCAGGTCGTCGAATCGTTTCAGCCATCGTCGCGTCTCACAATACGCGTTATCCGTAAACGAGACGATCATTATCGCGCAGATAGAAACGAAAGGCGCCGATTTCACGACGCGATTGCGATACTAAATCACGACGATCACGATTTATCTGCTGTGACGCGTTCCCGTGCTCGCGTGATCAAAATTTCGACATTAGGCAGAGTATCGGGATTGGGAAATACCTGTCCTTTGACGTTACCGTGTCGTAATTTTTAATATATTTGTGCAACGTAGATCGAATTCAACTCTTTTTAGATTATTGGTACGTCGGAATGGCAGAAAGCTGGTCAAATATTAATTTTAGTCATTTGCTGGTCGATGATTACATTTTCGAGGAACGTGCGCGGTATATTAATTATTCAGGTTGATTAATTAAATATTGAAATTATTATTTTCGAAGCCCTTAATAATCGTTACGAGGGCCATCGTTCCAAGGGCGTGGTGGCTTCTTTGTGCCCTTTTTCCGCAACTCGAGCTCACAGCCCGTGCCAAATCTTGAATCGATCATATCTCGAGAACGGCACGCGATGCGAGGATAGAATTTTGCATACGTCTTTATCTCGTATGACAATCGGAGTTATCAAACGTTTTTATGTGGTATTATCTTCGAAACAGTCAATCGTATCGACTACCTGTTTTGTGTCATCGCGAAGGATCGACCTTCGAAATTCATTTCCTTAATTTTGAATAAATAACTCCCAACGAGTTAACGAGATAAGCGGAAACGAAGAAACAAAGAAAAACTAGCAAGGCTTATCTACGACTAAGCGACAAATAAACAGCCATTGTTTAGAGTTTTGACACACACACGGAATAATCCACAGAAAATTTTATGAAACTTTGAATATTTCCTACGCGCAAGATCGTCCGGAGGTCACCTTATCGCCGCGTTATCGTATTTCTTGTTTCTCCTAGACATTTTCTTTTCTATTTTTGCACTCCCGTGGAGGACGGAGCGACTCAAGGAAAAATTATCGTTTCCAGCCATGCCCGAGAGAGGCCCGGAAATCACAGGACTATCACCCTCGCATTACGCCGTCGGGGAAAACGTGACAGCAAACTGTACGGTTTGGCCGTCCGTGCCAAAGGCCGCTCTTCGTTGGGTAATCAACGGAAAACCGGTAAAGTCGTCGGACATTCCCTTCCCCGTTTCGTCGCCTCGCTGCACCCACCCCTATTTTCTCCTTTCCCGATCCTCCCACGCTTTTTTTTTTCGTTTCTGTTCTTTTCTCCGAGCGTGGCTCGACAACTCAGGATCCTCGAGGGAGTGGCACCGATCGCGGTGAAATGCGCAGTGGCGCGGTTTCCGGGCGATTCCCACTCGATACGTTTCGTGTAAAATACGCGGTTCGAACTTCTCCCCCAATTTACAAAACCTCCAGGCTACGTTGGAAATTAGTTTCGTAACCATTTTGTACAGTTTTTAAAATTAAACTCCCACGCCCCTTCGAAGAGTCAATATACAACGATGGAACCTGAATTATTTCCTGAAAATTGCTCCCACAAGTTCGTGTCGACTTTTACAATGTTTCGTTTTAAAGTCGAATCGATTAAAAATTTTGAAAAATCTCTGAATTGACTTGTTTGTTTGTTTTTCTCAACGAGTTGCAAACGTTCGTGGCTGTCGAGCGGCAGGAACTTGTGGGAGGATCCAGCGCGCCGCGGATGGAAATTAACGTGCTCGTTTCCGTCTCAGATCGCGAGCGAGAAGACGATCCTGTATCCGGATCGCGGAAATTCTAGCTCGACGAGGGCGACGAGCAGCGTCGGGCTGCGTGTGGAGCTCGAGCCGAGGTACGTCGGGAACATCAACGGTGCGACCACTGTAGCGATCAAATGCTTGGCGGAAATCGGCTCGAACACGCTCGAGACGGAGAAAATCGTGGCGATCGCACGCGTGAACAACCAACGATTGAGCGCGGGCGACACCAGGAGCAGAGGACACGTAACGCGTCGCGAGACCGATCGTTTCTTGCTTCTCGCGCTTCTGATACTGCTGATGTTTGCGACGTGACAGGGACAGGAACAGGAACAGGAACAGGAACAAGAAACCGAGCACGGGATCGCGTTACGACAGTCTCGCCGCGAAGGAGTTATCTCGTAACGCGTCGAGTTCGAGTTCGAGTTCGAGTTCGATGTTCGATGTTCGATGTTCGACGTTCGGCGTACGCGCGATAATCGCGTCTCGATATCCGTCTGATTGCCAGTCCATAAGTATGCGAGTTGAATTAGTTTACAGAAGTTTACCGAGCAAACGGGCGAACGAGGAGCTTTCCGAGCGTCGAGCGGACGCTCGATGGTGAAACGATAACCGGCGATGTTTTACGATTCCTATTCGTCACTCGTGGGATCGCTCGATGCTTGGCTCGTTCGACCGTGCACGCTGTGATATTAATGATAAGACCCTATGGAAGTATAATAACCGTGTACGTCAACGTCTTCGTTCGATAAGACGCGTGTTAGATTTTTTCTAGATACCCATCGTCGACGAAACGAAAGGATGACCCGGAAATCGTGGAGTCGAAGGGACGAATTGCAACTTTCGCGCGATGCACACAGCCTTGAGGTGGAAAACACGTAGTTGGCTCGATTCGCAAGTTTGCACGAAACGAACGTTGTTCGATATCGACGGACACACTTGGAGTTTCAGTCAAAGATATCGAGATTGTATGTCACCGAGGATCGAACCGATTTTATTCTAAACGTGATTTAATACGATTTTAATCGAGGATAGTGATTACGTAACGAAAGGATATTTTTATAAATTATTACCCAGTATTTCCTCTTTCTTTCTAAGATTCAACAGTCTTTAGAAAACATCGATGAACTCACCTAAAATTGATACAATTGTCGATCGTTTTTTGTTCATACACCTTCGAGCGTTTCCATAAGGGTTGGAGATGACTCAAATTAAGAGATGAAATCATTTTTCGATATCGATCAACGTTTGCTTATGCAAGACGGCGGATGGAGTTGTCTTTGTTTTTCGCATAATGAAAATGGAAAGTCGACGATAAAAGTTCGCCAAGGCTTTGTACGCTCTACTTATTGTCAGTGATTTCACGTCGGTTCGATGATTGTTATAGTCTCGCGATTAGTTAAGAACACGCGATACGTTTGTGTCGGGAAACGGTTCGTAGGAGGACTGGGGGGGAAAAATTAACACGGTTTAATCGAGCAAGGTTTTCCCTGAGACATAACAAGATCGTAAAAGCGGAGATGGGCAAAATTCTTATCTGGGCAAAGAAATGAGAAATAAAAATTTTTAATTACGGTAACGAAACACTTCTAGACGAACTAATAAAAGTTTAATTACTCGATCAAATAAATTGCTACGCGTTCGACTTAACGGTTATCTATCGATCGAATAAAATTCGTCTCCGCGTCCAAGGAACCGCGCGTTCGATAACCGACGCGTATCGGGTTAATCGAAACTGCGGTTGAAGCGAGAATATTCTCAAAGAAAATGCCTGCCGTTATTCTCAGTCCTTCCCACTTGCGAGCGAACGTTGAAACTTATTCCCTCTCAGAATTGAGTTAAACTTCACCGAAGGTAATAGGGACATCGACTCTAACAATATTACTCTCGAATATATGGAAGATTACAGCGAGATACTTTCTCGAATAATATATTTCGCATTACGGTTTAAGTTTGACGGGAAATTCCGAAGACGTAATTGAGACGATCCCTTTATAATATCCAGTTCTGCAAATTACTTTCGCGCGATAATAAAAAGAACTTGATCGATCAAATACACGTCTAAGAGTGGAATTTTTTCCAGTCGTATTGACCGAAATAATTAACAATTTCACTCTCTTATCTTTAGCGACGAGTGACTTATCGTCTGTTTGTTTATATCTTTAATTATATCTGTGAAATATAATGGAAGCAGAAATGAAACAATGAAATCTTCTATGCATTTCGGGAATGAATCTCGACGTTCGTTTGTTGGCCTTTCCTATCACTGAACGCAATTTCTTCCGTCTTTAATCCGTCTTTAACCCTCCGGGAGGCTGACGGTTTGCGTCTCAGTATTATTACGTTAAGAACAATCTTTGTCACACTCTATGTGGTTCTTTCGAGAGAGAACTTTCCGAATTTTAAACGGAGAATAGGAAAATAAGCAATCGCTGGAGACTAAGGGGTTACGCCATCTTGAGGACGATAGAAACGAAGATAGTTTCATTAAAAATTTAATAACGTTCGTATCAAATCCTCCTAGAGGCGCACAATGGCCACCTAACTAAAGGAAAATTCAATAATTTGTTTTCTATTATTTGTAAGGATCAGAAGAATAGAAAAGATTGGCTTTTTCATCGTCAAAGATGGCGTAGTCGCTGAAACGGCGCATGGTCCTTGCAACCAAAGTTGACAAAGGAAAGTAATTAGGGAAAGATAACGATTTCCGATCCATAGAATAGCGAATTAGTATACAATTGCACTTATATATGGCACGTGTACACGCACTTTAACCATTTCTCCGATCGCGTCGCGGGACAGCAATCCACCCAAGAAGCAAAAAACGAAACAGAGTAACGAGGTATGCACCGGCTAGGAATGCGTTCGTGGAACGAGAAAGAATCGTCTAGGATTCCACAGCATTCTTTACACGTAACAGAATCGCTCCACGCGAAGTATATCAACGATTGTTGTCTTTTTTCTTTCATATTTTTGTTTGTTTTTGCAATCTCTGACATGATTCCCGGTTGCAATCGTTTTTACGCGCAACGTTCATGAGTCACCTGCACATCCACGATTCAATGGCGGATGTACGAAACGCAAGTATAGACGTTCAATATTTGCGAAACGATTCAGTGAACTGGATGGCGAAATCTCCAAATAAGAATTTGTCAAAGTTTGTTTCGTTCCGGGTGCTCGGGAAACAAAGAGGCCGCAACAGAGTTTGACTGCGTATCGCGAGAAATCCACTTATCGATACATTTGTATGTACACAGGCGTATGCGTCGCCTTTCAGTATCACAGAATAAACGATGAATTCGACATTTCTCGACTTTGGTTATCATTCATCAGCTTCGACGATATTTTCGAAAACTTTGCTTTTCAGATGAACGCGGGCCGGAAAGCGTGGAACGAATTCGACCGAACGGAATACCGGAATCGGCGATCAGGATTTGCGAAAATGGTCCGCAAGTAATATTTATACTGAAATGCAAATGCGAATTTATCTTTCCATTACACGCGTGTAAATTTCTGGCGATGAGCCAGAGATTTAAACTATAATCGCCGATAATCTCACTGTTGATCAAAATTTCGTACCGCGCGAATTAACTGTTAACGGCATCGCTATCGCGACAATTTGTAATAGAAAAAAAACGGAGTTTTCTCGCGCAATGATGAATTTATATTGTACGATTAAACTCTCCGAAGCGTGTTTTCATTGTCAAAGCACTGCATTGGAATTCCTCGGATACTTTTATAAAGAGATCGCTATAAATGGTTTTTAATCGTATTTATAATCTTGAAATTATCGATCGACGAGTCACGTCTAAGAAGAAACAACGGAAATTAAAAATCCTGAAATCTTATCTCTCCCCATTCTTGTTTTTCATTCCAGAAACAGAATCGCTGCTTAAATTTCTGATGGCTGCGTCGAACGACCTTTACGCGTACGGGCACGTGTGTATGCGTAAAACATTGCTAACGTTCAGCAATTTATCACCGATCTTCGATAAAATACCGACTAACAATAAGCGAATAACGTCACGGCAAGGTGTACCTATACCTGTACAACTCGTCCGTGATACTAAGGTTATCTTATATCTCGTCTGTGATCATGTCCAACAAAATATCGTTGCAATATTTTCTACCTTATCAATCATCGGTAAAAATTAATCGATCGCGAACGTTCTGAAAATAATCCTTGTCCACTGAAGTAAGAGGCTAAATTTAACGCCGAACCCGGAAATTTCACAACAATTCCATTCGTGTCGTTTTGACACGTAAAATTACCATGTGATTTTCCATTAGACTCGGTTTTCGTGGAGCGAAACCCCGTCGATCATTTTTCATCGTACGCGCTCTTTTCATCGCGAAACAAGCGTCTCGTTGTAAAATATAGTAATACGCCGGTTATCGCAATTAGATACGTTCTCCGCAAACAACGTCTCTCCGCTTCTTTCCCTATTTCTGTATTCTGCTTACTCACTTCCCCTGCCAGTGAAAACGCCAACATAAGTAGAACGGTATCCGTGACTCGTAATTGACACGCAACTATTTGTGCAGTCGCAATATTTACTCTTTTACGTTTAAGAGAACCGTAAACAATGATCGAACCTTTTATGCAGATATACTATGCTCGATTAGCCGCGTGATAATTTTTTCACGAGCAACGCTCGCTACAGTGGAGCCTCGATTATTGCAGAAAATCGGGACCACGATTTTGCTACTCGCGATCCATGCATAGCGTCTCAAACTTTACTTGTTGACACTCAGAATCGGGTTACTTTGCACACGTATGTTTATTACACTTATTACGAAATTTCATATTCATTGATAGATTGCACTCACGATATTCAAGCAGTTAGGTACAAAAGTTGCGGTTGGGCAGAATTTTATTCGAATAATAGACGAATAAAAACTCTGTATAGCGTTTTGCTCGGAACGTTTATTCAATTAAACACTTATTCAGATAAGCTTTTATTCGTCCAACGCGAAATACAGTTTAATTGCATAATTCGGATTGTAATTTTTATTGGACAAACAACGGATCAAAGGCTGTTTATCTTCGATGAGAGGCGTCAAAATATATCGAGCTGCCAGATACTTGGTATCGATCTTTTATAAATACTATTCGTATCGACGTTCACGCGATTGGTAACTTTTATTAGATGTCATATTCCTCTATTATCTCTCTTAGACGGAAACTCGGAGGAATTAGGTTTTATTGAGCGTTTGCACAAGTGTGCTATAAATAAAAAAACATTATTAAACGAAGTAGCGATATCCAGAGTCTCAAGGAGGATTTGGAAGGTTAATAAAATCGACTTTCCGCGCGCACTTTTTACTCTTTGAGGTATTAACCACTTGACTGCCGATTGTCAATTTAGCTCGCCCAACATAATCGCCAGATAAACAAGCGAACCGCGCTTGGCGCTAAAAACAATAAAAACTAACGTAATTACAGTGTCGATAACCTTACCGACCTCAACTAGGCCAAATCGCAATAATTGTATAAATTATTCAATTTTTGCAGAAACGAGGTTAGAATCAGCTACACCAGAGGGTCTCCAGTCCTTGCAAATCATCTTCGAGATTGTGCAAAATTTCGCAAAATGAATTTGCAACAAATAGGACCGCGAGATACGGCGTCTCAAAGTTTGATTAGATTAACAGAACATGTCATAATACTTAGCAATGAGCAAAGCAATATTTTAGGTCAGGAAATGTGGAAAAACATCTGCACTTCCATTTATCACACAGACCAGTGTCTAGTACTCTTCTTAGAAAAACGATACATGGAATATTTCGCTCGTTTCACGAGTTTACGCATGCAATTACCAATTTGTTTTCCGTTCATCGAATTCGTAAATGCACTCGTTGGCGCGATCGAACGAATTATTGGATTCTTAGAGTCGTCTCTGTACCGGTGCGGAGAAGCACGTGCTCCAGGTGCGCGAGCACGTAGAGGAGGGAGAAGGACGTAGCACGGAAGTGGATCGACGGGATGCAAATGCGTTCATCGCGTGGAATCGACTGCTCGTCGAAGGCAATGAGCTCGTCGTTATCAGGCGTCGATCACGGTGTTGCGTTAGCGTAAACGGATCGTTAAGAACAATCACGCAGCGGGCGTAAGAACTACAGAAATTACACGACGCGGGAACAATAAGGAAAGGCAAACGTAACAAGGCTGCACGTGTTCGGGGCATGGAGTCACAATAGCGTAAAACAAGCACGCGCGCCAATATCTCGAGCCAACCGCGAAACGAGCTTCGTGTCTCACCTCTCGAGGCATCAGACCCGAGGCTCGACGCCCGTCCGCGTCTTCCGATTGGTCCTATCGAGCTTTCGACGCGATACGTTTCCCGCGGAATTATCAGCGGACTCGTCGATCGCATGCTCGCATCACGTTTCATCGACCGAACGAGCATCTCCGGTACGAATGAGCGATAAAAAAAAAGAAAAGAAAAACATCTCGAGGAACAGCGGCGTCGCGACCTCGATTTCCGCCGACGCGGGGGGAAAAAACCGCTGGCAACGTCGTGGACGTTTTCCCGATAACGGATTTTCTCGATCGCGACAGTCGTAATTTGTTAATTGCAAGCAAATAAAGTGATCCTGCCGCGGCGTCTAGAGTACGGGACCTTTGCATTTTGTTTCTCGTACTTCCACCAGGTTCGACGACTTTCTAGGGTCAATGTCGGCGCGTTATGGGCGAAAAAATGGGGATCGTTGGCAATCTCGCGTGCACGGACTGCCCGAGGAAACGTCGATTCTATGCCATGGCAATCCACCTCTCGACCAAATCAGTCGAAACGACGCGCGGTGATCTCGAGAAGGTAAGAAAATCGACTTAACCGAGCAACGATAGACAGGCTTTGGTGAAAATAATTCTTACCGATTTTTGGCGGGTTGAATTAACGAGATTGGAAAGTGATCGGAGATGATGGAATCGCGGCTCACCCGGTGAAAGAGTTGGGTGTGTACAGGGTTGGAGGGAACGCGTAGTGGGCGAGGGGGTGTCAGAGAGGCGGAAACGGGGGAAATGGAGGTGCGGGTTGCAGGTGGGTGGGGATAAGCGAGGAGCAAAGAGAAGCGAGAATTGGCGGACTCGCAAGATGCTTCGATAGCCGCGTTCGGATTAATCTATCGTGGACATAAGACACAATGGTACCGAGCTGCTCAATTACTCCTGGATTAACAGTGCACGAGGGGTTCCCCTTCTCCCCGAACCGCAACTCTTCTAGAGAATCCGTACTCTCAGTGTCCCTTGCACGCTCTCCACCTCGTGCACAATCTACCAGGGCCTTTGAAACGCTATATAAACTGACAAACTTCCTCGGTGGCGCTGTATTAGCGTTATTACGGCGCCGCGATCCGGTCGGGCAATAGACGCCCGGATAAAAATCGAACGACAACGATTTTTTCGAAATCGTCGAGTCGGTCTCGCGCTCGCTTGGCAACCGTCGTCGCGTCTGTTTCGTCCTCACGGCGGCTCCTTACGAGCCGGGTTCCCACGAATTCACCAGGTGGAACACGGTTCAATCGACGCAGACGCGTCCCACCATCGCTCGTCTCGCGGACTAATCTTCCGCTTCTGCTTCCACGCTCGGAGAATGGTCCGGTGCGAGACACGTGCTTGACGACACAGCGTGCGACCACAGACCCGTCAGATCCACGGCTACGATTCTCCGGCCACGAACGGAAGAGAGGTAGGTAATTTTCTTAATATCGCTTACGTCCTGTTTTCGAGAAGCTACCTATACCGACAACGGACTCACCCACGCGATTCGCGTGTCGTATCGCGCGAAACATCGCGTTCGCTCGTTCAGTGGCCAGCCGCGATCGGTACGCGCCGTGAATTCGTATCGTGCACCACGGTATCGGATCGTTTTCGTTGACTCGTCGACTGACCCGAATAAGCTCCCCTTTGCACTGCTCGGTCCCTTCCCGTTCGTCCATCCGTCTCTCCCTTTCTACGAGCGCGTTCCACGCGCGCAAACAGTGCGAGGACGGCCGTGTCGCACAAGGGAAGCACCGAAATTGCCCACCTTCGATCTCAATCTACCTTCGCAGAATGATAGATTATGCGTCCCGGTCGCGGCGATGAGCGTACCGTGCATTCGTACGGTGAGTAGTTTCCGTCGAAAGCTTCGCGTTACTCCATTATGCGCTCCGCGGTTCCAAGACTCTGTCGTTTTAACAAAAATGAGGAAGTCGACGATTGGCGGGTCGAGAGTCATGATGATGTAAGTCGAAATTCTTCAAATTTTAGTCAACACTGAATTTGAAACCTTCTATTTATCATCGAAATCGATTTACTTGCTATTTTGCCGAGAAATAGTGAAACTTTTGTTTGTCACTAAACAAAGTTAGCCTTAATGATGCAAGTCCACCTTACTCTATTATTATACTTTTACATAAAAATTAAAGAATATATTATATTGTACGTTCAAAATTATTATTCATTAAAAATGTATTCATTACTAAATTTTCTCCAGAATTTAAACATCCTCCAATTATTTACATACACAGACATTTTTTAACACTTTCTCACACTTTCTTTTGTAACGTTAATATTTATCTGGCATCTTTTCAATCATCGATTGCAAAACATTTTATGCGACTTACACCACTATGTTTCTCAACCCCGCCGTTTTCGAAACAGTGGAATAAGTACATCTGAATGGTTCCATGAGATATGGTCGTAACTGTCGAAGAACAATTTATACGTAGTGTCATTCTTCTTTTAAATGCAACGTGGTATGTTTATACATTAACGCGATGAGGAATCGAGTCCTTGGAGGTAGCTGCGGTTTCGCAAGTGTCCGACATTATTAAGAATTGACATTCGTACAATCGTCGAACTCCTCATATTTTGTTGTATCTTTTGTAGATAAGATTACGAATTAACAAAAAGACACAGATTTCCGATCGTCGTGGGATCGTTCAGTCCCATCGTTCGTCGTCGAAAGGACGCTTCCGAACCTTCGTTCAGGTCTCTCCTATTAACCAATCAACGAACGTTCGAATCAAAGAAAATATAAATAGAAACAGACAACTCCAGCCAGTGTGACTTCGTAACAGGGGTTCGTTTAATATCTAATAACTCTTTATAGCAGTAGCTCTCAACCGGTTTCATCCCTTAGCCAAGTAAACCTTTTAAATAAAAGACCTCCTTGATCGGTTAGTTTCATGCTTCGAAACGGTAAATAAAAGATTACGACGAACGCAAACTGGCATTTCGACCAGGTATATTGCTTACGAGCTCGGGTTAGGCTGACTCGGCAAACTTGGTCTTAAACGCAGTTAAATTTTGACCGACCTGTGGCCAATTTTCATTTACTTCGCTGACAGTTAGACGGTAATTGCCTGATCGATGGCGTAACTTCGACGGAACGGTCGCTTTCTTCATCAATTTCTGTTTCCAATCTATTCTTGGCCGCCATTCGTCGGAACAATACATTTGCAAACGCACGAACTCGTCAATGTTTTCGTTGGAATTCGCGCTTTTTGCATAAATATTTCCGCGTTCCGCGCGACGTTAGAAATTTTACGGAAACTCGTGGTACGATTAGGGGATGATCGTAGAAATATAAACGAAAGAACGTGGAATAAAATTCGTTCGTTTCTCAGATAGTTGTGTGTTGAGAAGTTATCGGACGCGCGTGCGATTAAATACAATTCGGCTGACGCGTCTAGCCATTACTCACTAATTCTACTTGAACCGACGTCCAAGCCCCGGACTCCGTTGCACGCGTCCCCGATAAATCTTCAGACTCCATTTTCTCGAAAACGAAAGCTCCGCGCGTGTAAAAAATATTACTCTCCCCTCTTCGACCCGTTTTTCAGCGATCGAACAAAGGTCGAGAATAAATTTCGTTAACGCGTTTGACGTTTTGCAGGATCACAGGCTCAACAAACATGAAACGATTGGTTGTACTGGTTTTCACCCTTCTGGGATTTCTCGGCTCCGACGCCCTTCCGCGGGATGCGAGCACTTACGAAGGTTTGTGAAAATATTTCCTAGAATTGCATTGCTTTGGTTCGCGATTCGATCTCACGGGAGATTAGGATTAACGAGAGTACACTAGGTTCTAAGTCGCGTTAAACCTCCGACCAACATGCCTCGAGTTTGTCGCGCGCGAGTATAAACGATATATACGATTATTAGTACGCAGGAACTAGCTTGAAAATAGAAATTAAATCAAGAGTACTCGAATTAATTACCCGAGCAAATTTGATCGTGCATTACATTTTTAACCGTTTGTAATGTCACCCTTTGATAGCGAAGTTTGGACAAGATTCGAACAAGCTTGGATAAAGTCTGGAAGATTTAAAAGTTGGAGGATGATTTAAATGTTGTTTGAGCATAGAATAAGTTCGTTAAACTCTGGTTCGTCAAAATTTCAGCGGTATCGCGGACGCAATAAAGATTAGAAACGTTACAATAAGAATTAGTTCGGAGCCTGATTGGTCTTGACTCGATCGAGCCTTGGAGCGGAACACGAGTCGCCGATACTGAAAATGACTTTGCAATTATAATACGGTTTCCGCAACTTGAAATCGTTAATGTACTCTCGACCGTGAAATTGAATCTCCGCGGGAAATCGAAAAGCGTATCGTCTTACCTCGCCGCCGATCGCTCCGCAATTCGATAATTGTTTTCGCAATTTGGAAAACACGACGCAAGATCTGCACGAGATCCGTGTCGACCAATTAAACTTTAGCTTTCCGGTGTTTTGCCGCGCGAAACACGAGTTCCCGCGATCCCTGCCAGCCGGGGCTCGATCATCGTGTGTTTTCTCTGGGGATTTTTGTTTCTCGCGATAAGGAAATTCCCGAATCCCTCCTTTGATTTCCCGAGATTTACAAGAACGTCGAGAACTTTAAAAATAAAATAAAGTTTGTCTGGCCCGGAACAGAATTTACGAACCAGCATCTTTGCTTAATATTTAACCGTGTTTATATTGCTCGAACATAGTACGAAGCGATCATATTTTCATCTGATAAGCGTCACAGATAGAACGATCGTTTTCTTACCTAAGCGCGGAGAAACAACATTTTCAAAAGTAGAAATTTAGTTAGTAAATCGCTTTGAAAACCGAGATAACAGCTGTTTTTTTAAAGGACACAAATTATTTATGGTCGATTATTTTAGACTATTTTTCTCGTTAACTCATAAATATTTACTTTCTTAGTCGACGATTGAAAGGGAACCTCGACTGGTTATTTAGCATTAAACCTTGTCGAAATGATTCCTCCAGCTGCCGATATATGGGTTCGCTTTTAAATTCAATTCGTGTTCACGTCTCCAAATAGAATTTTAATATCGAGGTTGTTATTAAACAATGCAATCGTTGTACTTTCGAAGAATATATTCTCTTCGACGTTTAAACATTTACTGTCACGGTGGTCACCGGTGAGCGACACTTTGAACCTACTCTGCTGAGTCGTTTACTAGGCATTTGTAAATAATACTGGGGTGGTTTATATTAGATGCATCGAATAGTTCTATCGTGGTTACTATTAACATTTCCATTTGTCCTCAGAGATGTCCTTTTGGCTGAAATCTGGACAGGAAAATCTCCAGAAGAATCTAGCTTACAGGAATATCGAACACAAGGCGAAGAACATAATTATATTCATCGGAGATGGTATGGGTCTATCTACGATCACGGCTGGCCGTATATTCACAGGCCAAGCCAAGGGTACGACCGGAGAAGAATATAAACTGGCTTTCGAGAAGTTCCCCAACACTGGATTGTCCAAGGTATCGCCCATATATCTGTACTTATCGGCTGAATTCATCCCTGATCATAGAATTTGGATTGTTACCCCATAGCACAGATCTCACGCCTTAAAATTTTACATATTCGAGGGGGTGGAATTCCTCGATATCTAGTGAGGAATTCCACTAGTTTCTATTTTGCTTTACCAATTTTCTTAAACCCTTCCCTTCGACTGGACTCGATTATTATGAGCCAAGTATCGCGTGGACGAAGGGTAAAATCGGTTCACGATTCGCGTTTCCCGTTTGCAGACGTACAACACCGACAAGCAGGTGCCAGACTCCGCTGGAACGGCCACCGCGATCTTTTCTGGCGTCAAATGCCGCTACAGGGTGATCGGGTTGGATACCAGATCGCGATATAACGAATGCGACAAATCCACCAACGAAGTTAGCAGGCTGTCGACGGTCGCTGATTGGGCGCAACAATCGGGCCTGGCCACCGGTGAGTCGTTTAATTTCACTCTTTTAACCCTTGTGTAGGATCCATAATTTAAAGAAAATTAAACGCGTTTATCTATATTAAAAAAACACACACACACAATTTAAGACGCTAGTCATTTTCTATTCTTTTCTTTTCGGATTGAGAACTTGCTATTTTTAAATCCGTGAAGTATTAAGATCCAGAGCCCTGTTTGAGACTAATAAGCCGTTTCTTGTCGGTCGTTCTACTGTTCCGCAACGAATGGATCGAAGGGAAACGCGAAAAAGCGTGACCGAACTGGCAGTAATACGGCCTCGATTGCGACAGCCCAGTCGTAAAAATGGAAGTAAAACATAAGTTTTTTCCAATTTACATACCACTTTTCGCGGTCAAACGCGAGCAATAAATCCCAGACAGTATATTCTCTTGGTTCGAGCCTTTTTAAGGCCAGCATATACAGCGGAAAATAGTACGAGCGTCAAAATGAAATCTCGAAGAGTAGCTCTACTAGAATCAGAATCTATTATCGAATTAGGCTCTCTCGCTTGTTTCTATGAGCACTACATCTTTCTGAAACAACCTATGCAATTATTAAAAACTAAATTGCGAACAGAGGTTTCTAGGCAGAGATTAATCGCAGTGGGAAAAGTTGAACGAAATTGTTTAAAAAACGAAGGAAATGTGTGTTTAACGTTACAATGGAACGAATAGGAAGGTTTCGGTGTGTGGTTGCGGACGAGCACACGACCACTCTAACGATGAGCATAGATAAAAGTAGGTGTGTGACATCGCGCAAGCGTGATTCGCTGACAACTACGGTCGACTCACGGTCAGCTACCGGTGTTTAAACGTTAAACATCAGTATCGAATAGACCTTGTCGAAACGAGCGCGAAAACGACACGCCGGAGGAGGTCACGCGTCGACCTTCCGTTTTATCTGACGCGTAACGTTCCACGATACGCATAGAGATGAACAAAACTCTCATCTAGATGAAAATTTCGTACAACGCGACGAGCGGACTGCATCTTCGTCGGTCGTTCGTCTAATAAAAGTTAGAATTCGAGTCAAAGGTTATTATCGATGGGTTATTATTTATATATTACTACACGGTACACCATTGAACGCCCTGCTCCATCGATTAACCCGATTAAAGATACAGGGAAATAGGTCGAACGCGTTAAAATTATTCGTTCCGTAGTTTAATGCAAATTTGAAGATTAAAAATGTAAACGACAATTCTTGGAATATGTTAAAATTTTTTAGTTGCATTTATTTTTTTTAAATTTCCACGAGTCACGGGTCTTTCAGGTTAGGCGAAAAATTTTGAAAAATTACGAAGAACCCTTTTGTTTGCGATTATCTTGAGTTACCCGGTTTATTTAATATTCGAATAAAATCTGGAGGGGCCTTGAAGGCGCATCTAAAGCAGGATCTAGGACGAAACGCTATAATCTTTGCTGCTCGTTAAAACTAATTCACTTATGTTCGGTAGATAACCACCGTAGTTGGACGAAACTTAATTTCATTATATTTACCACGAAGCGATTATGTATAATCGTGCCGTAATTACGCTCTAAGCACTCGGTGATTACACGATAATTAGACAGCCATTACACGCTTTTAAAATTTGTAATTATGATTACAACGTAATCGTGCTGCGATTACATATAATTAGACGGTGACTGATGTAATTACTTTTGGCCCGGCTTTGAAACACGCGGGACCGGAAAATATTTACGAAGTTCGATTTGCTTGGATCTAGGGTTCGTCACCACGACCAGAATCACTCATGCTACGCCAGCTGGATTGTACGCTCATACCAATAATCGCGATTGGGAGTGCGATACCTCGATACCGAAAAAGTACACAAACTGTGTAAAGGATATAGCGAGCCAGCTGATCGAAGACGAACCCGGAAGGAACTTTCAAGTAAGAAGATCTTCGTTTATTCATTGCTTCCTGGAAAATTTCTGAAACGACTCCGCGGTATTTTTAGAATTCTCGTTCCTTCGCGATTTTACGACCGTGAAATTGCTCTAGGTGATGATGGGCGGCGGTGCACAACACCTGGGTTTACCAATGGAACCGACAGACCCCGATACGTGCTTCAGAGGAGACGGACGAAACTTGGCGGAGGAATGGGCGAGCAAGAATCCCGACGGGAAGCTAGTGACCAACGCCGACGAACTGATGTCCTTGGACATCAGCAATACTTCGAAGATTCTAGGAGTTTTCTCCTCCAGTCATCTTCCCTATCACACGATGAAAACAGCGGAGACACCGAGTTTAGCCAATATGACGTCGCAAGCCATCAGGCTGCTACGAAAGAACAAAAACGGTTTCCTCTTAATGGTAAGTCGCGGGGATCGAAACTTTCATCGTTAAGAAGTTACGAACCATCGTCGTGTCGCGAGATATCTAATAAAGCTTTCTAAGCAGAGCTTTTGCAATTTCATTTGTTTCGATGTAGAAGAATTGAGATAAACGGTAGATCCAGGGATCGATGGTTTTCGAGTATGTTTAAAGTATCTTCCGCCCATTTCGATGGCAAGACACGTTCTTTCGTTGGTCAGCACGTGCTCGGATCTATGTACCATGAAACTAATCTAATCAAACTTCCCCCTTATAGCCAGTTGCCCGGAAAGGGTTGCAGCAGCCCTTACGCGATCATTTTTTAACTGCCATTAAAAAGGGAAGTTCTTTCGTTCTTGAAACAATGGCAAGTTCGTGGAAATGACCTGAGTTTATCCTAATTTCATTAAAAATTCCAACTATTACGCAAGTCTGCATACATTTGCACTTTTAATATCATTTTTTCGCGCGCGGGAATTACTAGTTTTTCCTCGTTACTCGACAAAAAATAGAGGCAATAACTGGTTTACAATGCATACCATAAATTCTACAGCCGATCGAAGTTTACTGCCTATTTTAACGAGTATGCATTCCTGAACGTGTGTCAACATCGTTGAAAAAACGTGTCGGGGCATGCATGAAAGCAGGCGGAAGACGCACAAGGCATGGAATATTTTTGCAACGAAACCGCGTCGCTTCTCCAGAAAGAATTGCCAAAGAATTCCCCAGATAGCTGTGGACGTTTCGCAGGTGGAGAGCGGGAAAATAGACATAGCCCATCACCGCAACTACGCCAAGCTGGCGCTACGAGAAGTCTCAGAGCTCGAGGAAGCCGTGAACGTAGCGTTGAGGCAGCTCAAGGTGGAGGAGACGCTGATGATCGTAACAGCCGATCATTCGCACTCGTTCACCATAAATGGCTACCCGACCAGAGGAAACGACATCCTCGGGTTCGCCAACGATCAATACAAGCCGGAAATCAAACCCTACGAGACGCTCAGCTACGCCAATGGGCCAGGTTTCTACCATCACAGGCGTAACGACAGCAACAACGTCAACGAGACGTGGATACCCGTGGAGACCGACAAAACTCGCGGGGAACCGTTATATCAGAGCATGGCTGGCATGTACTTGAAGGATGAGACGCACGGAGGCGAAGACGTGGGAGTCTACGCGATAGGTGAACCGCCATCTTTGATTTTTCGTTTCATTAGACCAGTTTAATACATTCGTAAAAACGAACGATTTTTCTTTCAGGTCCCTACTCTCACTTGATTCGCGGCACCTTCGAACAAAATTACATCGCTCATGTCGTGGCGTACGCGGCGTGCTTCAAAGACTGGCCATCCCATTGCGACAACGCGTACAATCGTTACTATTACGAGCTGGCGAACTCGGTAAACCCGATCGCTAGCTCGCCGATCCTCCTGCTTTCGACGATCGTGGTCCTTTTGGTCGCCAAATTTTAGTCGTACGGAGTCGAGGCTACCTCAATACAACGCACCCCTAAGTTTTTGCCATCTTCCTTCCCTTTCCCCCCTCTCCGTTCGTTTTTTGGAACTAGTCGAAATCGAAAGGATCGCTACAAAGAGCCTGGGAACGTAAATAATCAATGGGGGAGGGAAGAAAGGCCCAAAAGACAGTTTCCCCCTTCTCCTGTTAACAATCCTCTAGGAGACCCCGGTCTCGACGTAGAACGTGAAAGTTGTCCGCTGTAAATAATTCGCGCAACTCGTCTTACACTTAGTGCAACGCTGCTACATAACACATACCTAATATATTTATATCTGTATACATGCAAACATACAAATGTCGCGTACAGTACAAGAATGGATGACTATAAAAGAAGAAAAAAAAGAAACAGAGAAACGCTGGAGAAGATTTGCAAATGGTCGCTAAGTTAAATATATTTTCACCTGTGATATTCAACGTTGTTGGTAACCGTTTTCTTCAACTACCAAATTTCGTGGAATTGATCTGAATTCGCCGACGCGTGTACGCGTGTGCTGGTTTGCAATTAGACTTCCTACTTACAATTAAAGTAGAGGTGACTAATTCTGTAATACGTACCGCGTGTACTTTCGAACGGCTTCTAGGTTAAAACGTGCCGTATACTCGATGGAACAAATATAGTGGTCGCGTAGAAACTGCAGGATTCCAAGATGGTGGCACCCTTGACCGCAGGATACCGATTCAGGGCTGAGTCGGTGCAGGAATTTGAGTACTTTTGGAACTTTTACTAAAACAGTATAAAAATTGAAAGTCAAACATATTTATTTAAGAATAGGAACGCGGGTTCCAAGGGAGGAGTTTGACCATCCCCTCACAGATTGATAAAAAGATTTATTGTTCGTGATTCTCGTTAGCCTTTATAAGAAATCATTAGCACGAGAAAGGATAAAGAGCTTGTGTGTTTCAAAGTATCTGTAGAACGTATATTGACTGAGAGAGAGAGTTACAATAATAGACAGACAGAAATTTAGTGGCATGGTGAGCAGGTGCAGACAAATTTAGACGAACCGTCTGGTGTCGTTGATGTTGCATTATCACTGGGCGAGGATAGATCGGAGTAAATTAAACAGGTAAATCAGAGAAGAAATTTCGTAAATTTCTGTAAAAATTTCTAGTAATAATCTATTAACACTATACGCAACAGAAGGTAGGTTTTTAAACAAGAATTTTATTCAATCGAAGAGCGAGAGAATTGTAAGTTTGTTCAGCTGCAGAGTCGAAGGTGTCGATATGTATATTTCTCATATTAATATTCCTACGTGGTAGTCGGTTCAGCGAAATCAAACACAGACGAGCAGATGAACAAATAACAAATAACGTTTTAAAATTTATTGCATGTTTTATTGGTCGTAAAATAATGATCGAGCGTACAGTTTCGTTATAAAAGTCGTAAAAATATTCGACGTCGAGACGAGATAGCGGTTTCCAAAGGTCTTACAATTCCAGTAAAAAAGTTTTTTTTTGCTTATTACGCAGAGATTTTATTTTTTAGGGGAGCACCGGCAGTTTGAAGATCGCTATCTCAAGGACCTGAACGTCTCAAGGCAGATATTGTAAGTAGTACGCGCGGCCCTGCAGCCAACAGACCGCCATCGCGCAGAGAAAAACCTATTTAGCAGTTTGTTCCCAACAAGGGTATTCGCTTAACTCGAAACTGACTTAAGTAGATCGCTATATTTGCTCCACAGGCTATATCTACTTGGAAGTTGCGACAGCGGCACAGATGCATTCGAAACCAGAGGTGCTCGCCGTTCGAAGTATCTTGCCAAAGAAATTTTCATTTTTCGACTAAATATCCACAAGTAGTTCGTGCAGTTGAGTATGCTCGAACCAGTTACAACGAGGTCGATTTCGCTTTAACGACAGTGACGTAATAATTCTTGTATATGAGGGGGTTCGTGTCGTCGCTGACAAAGTTTCGATCCGGTTTGACAGAGGCGAACGGATTCCGTCGCGGCTCCAGGAGAACGTCCACGTCGCTGATGGACTTGATCCTCGTTATTTCCCAATGTATCTCGTCCGCGGTGTACGAAGTGACGACCACGGGAACCGAACTCTTGCAAAACTCTCGTATCGTTTCCGGCCAGGTGTCCTCCCCCGCGAAACCCGTGCTCCGATAGAGTCCGGGGTTGAAGGCGCAGATCAAATCGGGCTCGTCGACGTGCTCGTTGCGTACCAGCTCGTGGTAGATCCACTCCTGTCGAAACAGAACCGTGACGGATCTCTTGCTGGACTTGCACACCGAGCAAAGTTTCACCTTCGACAGAAGGTTCGCTATGACGCCGCTGGGCAACCGTAGCTCAGGCCCGACCAGCAGCACGCGAAGGGTCTTCAGGTTCGGCAGAAAATGGAGGAACAGCTTCTCCCAGACTTGGAGGTTCACGCCCTCGAATTGGAATTCCGCCCCGACCACGTGCACGGTGCATTCGGTCTTGGTACTCCATTCGGGGCATGCGACTTGCATGGAATAGAGGGCAGTTAGAGGTATCGTGCACAGATGGGACAGCGTGGCGTACGTGTAGCTGTCCATTTCACGGTAATACGGACAATCTTCGTAAACTCGTCGCATCAAATCGTCGAAATTGTAGTCCAACAACTCGAGGGGCGATTCTTCCAACGCGTTCGGGAGCCGAGGATCCGCGTAACCGTGTCTGTACTGTAAAACGAGGCATCGTCGAAGTACTTGGAACTCTTTGCACCATTTCTCGTGCTCTTTGTCGTGGTCCTTGCAAACCGATTCCATCGAGCAACGCGTACAGCAGACAGGGTCCTCGAGGAAGCTGCAACAGATTCGACAGACCCGAGGATACAGCACGATCTCTTTCTCCCAGAGTTTCAACGGTCTGCCGATCTCCGACTCGAGGATCGCGAGCAGCTGAAGCCTGTAAATGCGGTACTGTTCCGCGTCGAGACGCTCGTCCGATTCCCCGGTGAGCATCGTCGATATGGAGGAGCGGATCTCCTTCAGAGGCTCGCACAAGTCGCGGTGCACCCCCAGCCCCTGAGTTCTGTGCTCTGTCGAGCAGTAGGACACCATTTGACAATAATCGCAAAACACTGTGGACTGTTCCAGGCAAACCGCGCAGAGGCTGGCCACGAACATGAATCGAGGTCTGACGCTCAATTCGACGCGTTCCATGTCCTCGTCGCTCGACGAGTCCTCCAACGTCGAGCCGACCAGAGGATAGGACAGCCGCGAATGGACGTCGATCGGGACGTCCGTTTCTTGATCTTCGAGAGCCTTCTCGTTGCTTTCTTTATCCTCTTCGTCTTTGGCCGTGGATTTCACGTCGCAATTGTCCTTCTCTGGTTTTTCACAGTGCTGAACAGCCCTTTTGCTTCGAGACTTTTTACGACCCATGTTTCCTCGACGCTCCGAAATCTATGGTAGAAACTTGGATCAATGCACGGGATCTTACGTTAATCCTACTCTCTGTCTCTCTTCACGGTTCTCAATTTATGTATATATCGTCCACAAATCTCTCTGTTTTGGTATTCGTCGGGAATAGTTGTGCAATTGCATCGTTACGTAATCGCCACTGATATCATCTACACTTTATACGATTGATCGATCGTGTCTGTGTGTGAATTTGATAAAATAAAAATATAAAGGGACGCGTACTATATCTCATAAAGTATACCAATACTCGCGCACACACGAGATCGGTTAATCGTGCGACAGTGTTGGTAACGACGCATGGTGTTGTTACAGTGAAAAATTTAGATGATATCGGTGCCGATTACTTAACAATGCAGGTTGCATAACCTTGCTATTCCCGATGAGGACCCATCAAAGGGAGGTCGAAACGCTGATTTAATTTAAACCACAATCTTCGAACGTTCCGGTGAATTTAATTGAGAATAAGTTTAATAATAAAAGTCTGTGGAAAAAAACAAATCACCGGCCAGGCAGGACCCGTTCGATAAATTAAATCATCTTGCAAATGCACCGACAATGCTCCTGCCGTACAATACTGTTTTATTGTAACGAGCACAGATTGAAGTTCGGTCTACGACTTATAAAACTCACAGCGTCTAGATAATACCACTAGAGTGGCTAAGTGCTTAACTTGTTTCTCACAAGTTTTATTAAGCAAATGACTCCGTATAGGAGTCAATTGCGTCAAGCACAAATCGTGTCTAGGGCAAAGGTCACTGTACAAGCCTTACCGAAGAGTCCCTCGATAACTTAGGGCAAACCACCTGCTTCCATTAAAAGAATACGTTTATAAGAGAATCTTTATTTTAACTGTGAATTTCAGAAACCAAATATAATAATTCTGCAATCGAAACGCGCGTAAAATACTGAACGTATTCGGTGCTGAAGTACTATATTACGTGCTAATAAAATATCAATATTCGCTTGTACTTTGCATTCACTCAAGCTATCGACCATTGAATAAGGTAACTGCACCGGTAAATATTGCCGTACAGTCAACAGTGCGTCGGTGGTTTCCGGAAAATATGTAAAAATTACCATTATTAACATCACTCCAAAAACAAATTCAGACAGGTTGTCGGTTTTTTTATGAGTTTTATATGAATTTTTCATGAACTCAAATACTGGCAACATTGTTTAGAAGCGAATAATATAAGAAACTCACGAACCGAATCATTTATAAGCGATTTCTAAATTTACAAATTTATGAATTCCCAGAGAGAGAGAGAGAGACAGAGAGAGAAATGTATACTTTTTATTTTGCCAAGTTACCGATTTCGGCGAAAACATAGAACGGCAGACTTACCTGTGTGTAATTATCGCTGATCTTGATAACGCGGAGGCATTAAAAGATTAATTGGTGTTTGTTCCAAAGATAAATCGAACCGTTTTGAAGAGAAAATTTACCGAAATTCGCGTTGAACGTACGAGACGCGACGAGAATCCGGAAAACGAGGCACCCACGAGACACAGACCGACGAAACACTGATACCCGTCAAAATCTCACAATGCATTGTCGAGTGCAGATCTCGTTCGCGGGCACTATGCCCATTGCCCGGACGAAGGTATTTCAAGCTACGCGTTTCGGGTGTTTGCCCCTTGCAACCAGCAACTAAAACTAGTCTAAATCGATTAGACCTCGCTCGTTACAGGATGAATTTATTTGCGTCAACCCACTCTACGTTATTTCGATCCCCTATTGAATCTTTCGTTCGAATAAAAATCGAAGAAAGTACATTTTTACATCCTCTAATTTTTGCAAACGTACAAAATGGTACGCGTCTATCAGAGACATTCTTTTCGTTCAGTTTTAAAACGAGTCGAGAAAAAATTTAGGTCTCGGTGTTTTCGCGCCATTATCGAGTACGAAACTATCATTCTATTATTGAAACTATAATTCGCCTAGTGTATAGTCCAGACCTTGCTACGTCCAACTATCGCCTTTTCCGAGCAACGGCACACTTTTTGCGTGGGATTTGATTCGACGATAACGACGACGTCAAACATGAACGTGCGATGTTTTCTTGCAACCAAAGAACCATAGTATTACGGAAGAATACGACTGTTTTCAGAACCACGGTACAAGATCTAGAAATCACTATTCGTCGCTTTCGTGATTTAACAAACGAAACCTTAAAAATACGCAATATTTTTTTCGGGACACCCAATACGTTTCTAAATAAAAATAAAGGTATAATCATACGAGAGCTATATTCGCTGCTCTTTTTAATAGCAACACAAGTCCACTGCCAAATTCGATAAAGCTTGTGCTATTCTCGAAGAAATTCGAAGCAAGTCGTTCGAATTTCAACGCGAAAAACAATGAAAGATATTTCAATACGTGTTTCTCTACGATTTACCGGTTCAGGAGCTGTATAATGCGAATAAAAATGCACACGTGTACAAAGTAAACAGCGAATACGTAGGAACGATTAATGCTGGGAATAAGCAGGAGGAATGCGCCATTTTGAAAATAAATTGCGCACTCGTCGTAAATTACCGTTGCCTTGTTTTCCAATCGTGGGTGAAATAATCGATACAACGTTTATAAATTCCTCCACGTATTAACATAAACATGATCGAATCCCTGTTTACCAGCTTTTTGCTCGTTATTTAATTAAAAACATTGCTTTTAGATATTTGTACGTACGCTGTAAAGTTTTACCTTGCACTTTCGATTGGAATTATCGGGCAACCTTTGGATGATTTGCTGGCATCGATCGTAATGCTCGATTTGTATTTTCGAAATGTCCGTGTTATCGTGTTTCGTGTCGTTGCTAAATTAAACAATGATCGTATACTTTTAATTACGATCATTAATGACAAACGCATGCATCGGCAAGTGCTATCAGGCTGCGGTGGTGGCAGCAGCTGACTACAATTTGATATCTCGGCCTGGTCGACATACTGCCTTCACAGTATCAAATACTACGCGAGATCGTCCTCAAATACAAGATTAAACGTTCCTCGTACCGTCTGGTGTTTTCTACGATATTTCATAACACAATTTTTTACCAATTAAAAACGCCTCCCCGTGGTTGAGAGGTGAACAAACATGGAAACGTATCGCCGCATACTGGAGGTAGGTCGTGCAGTTTCGAGGTTAGGTTGTCCATGTTTAGACGTCATAGGCGCTTTCTCGATACGATACTTTTCTCATCTGCCAAGGATCTGTTTGTAGGACGATATTAATCGATTTAACTCGTTGACGAACATTGTGCGGCAAACAAAAATATATTACGTTATGACGATAGAGAGCAATTTGTCAAAGAATTTTCTGAATCTCTTGGCAGAATTTTCTCCGATGCATCGTAACACTCTTTATCAGAATCGAATGAATGCGAGACGTGATTGAAATACTAATTTTTGTAACCGTTGAACCGGCTTCGATTGTTCGCGCGCAATATCTTTTCAATTAACGTTTTGACATGCTAGAATAAGCTGTTCTATTTAATAACTGAAAGCAAGTTTTTCGTATATTATTCTTATCCATCTGATTCCTAATTGAATAGTTCAATTATGCCTAACAATAATGTGCCAAAATTCGTCTCGAATCGTTTTGGACATGATCGTGATCGAACAAGTCGAACCCGATCGCTAAGTGGAAGCCGATACGTATTTAATTTCATTGTTTACGCGAAAATCTTTTTACCGGTACGAACATTTTCGGAATATAAATACGATGAATGTATACCTGTTAGGAATAAGCACGTTTTACCGCGATGTTGCTTTTTATTTCGTACGAAGTGTTCCGTTTATCGGAGAAACGAATTGTCAGACAAAAAGGTAAATTCTCTTTCCAACGTGTAATCCAACTCGATTGTTCCTTAGTTTAATGTATGATGAAGAGGATACGAGAGGTGAATCGAGGGTGAAGAAGATCGTACGAGCAAGTAGAATGGTTCGTTGTTGAATGCAAAACTCGGCAACAGACACGTTTTAAGTTGTTCCGGCCGAAAACAAACATATGCGACGGCGGTGATTCTTCTCCAAGTTTGAAAAATTAATCGAGAGCCCTCTTTTTCCGTAGAATCTCTTACAGTCGGTTCTATTTGTTTGAAAAGTAATTTTACGAGAATGAGCCATGATAATATAGAGATAAAGACGTGTATAAACAATTTACCAAAAATTCGGCATAGAAAAGCAGAAAAAAAATTTTACGGGCGTAAAATGGTGGAATTAGGCAACAATAAATCGCCCGGACCGACTATTACCGATGCATCCGTGGACTCGGAAATGGAATCCGAGGAAGAAACGGAAAGCGACGAGGATGCGCGGCGACTTATACCATCGCCGATCATTCGTCAATCGATTAACAACGACACAAAGAAATCCGTTACCCGAAAGAATCAAAGCATACAGATAGAAGATGAAAACGTTTGGTCCATATCTATACAAACGTTTGTACCTTTTCTGTTGGCTGGTTTCGGTATGGTGACTGCCAGTTTGTTATTGGATGTTGTACAGGTATGTACAAATATAAAATTTAATAGAAACGGTTACACAAATATTGAGGAAGCTGTATAGTGGCTAAACTAATTTCTTGTTACAGCATTGGGTAATATTTCAAGAGGTGCCAGAGGTATATATATTAGTGCCAGCATTACTTGGTTTAAAAGGTAATTTAGAAATGACGTTAGCCTCGAGGCTTTCGACTCACATGAATCTTGGACACATGGATACAAAGAAGCAACGATGGACTTTAATCGTTGGGAATCTAGCTTTGATACAATGTCAAGCTACCGTAGTAGGCCTATTGGCTTCCATAGCTGCTGTCATACTCGGTTGGATTCCAGAAGCACGGTTTGATATTCACCATGCGTTTTTATTGTGCTCCAGTGCCTTAGTGACTGCATTCGTAGCCAGTTTTGTATTAGGTTTAGTGATGGTGACTGTTATACTGTTTTCCAAGTGGATGAAGATCAATCCAGATAATGTAGCTACACCAATTGCAGCTTCTCTTGGAGATTTAACCACTTTGGCGCTTCTTTCAGGGATTGCATCTGTTCTCTATGGTGTTATAGGTAAACGCACACCAAACGTGGGCGAAACTCGCGGCACTCATTTCTAGATCTACATTGTTGTTTCAGATTATGCCCCATGGATAGCTCCGACCTGTATTGTGTTTCATATCATTACTACTCCCGTTTGGGTTTACATAGCATCCAGAAATCCGTTTACAAAGGAAATATTGAATTACGGCTGGACGCCTGTGATATGCGCAATGTTGATAAGCAGGTTTTGTTATTTTTTTTCGTTGAAAGAACAAGATCGTATACGACGTCGATCGTGTGAAAAAAGTTTCCATTCATTTCAGCGTGGGGGGTTTGATACTAGACTTTACGGTATCGAATTACAAAGGCATAGCAGTATTTCAATTAGTGATAAACGGTGTTGGTGGCAACTTGGTCGCCGTTCAAGCCAGTAGAATGACAACATCGTTACACAAAGAACGACGGTCCGGTATTCAAGAAATACCCGTCGTTCGTTTCAGTCCATTCTACGTATTTTTTGCTACAGGTATGTCAAACAAGGATCAACACCGCGTAAAACGTAAAGTACCACGGTTCTCCGTTAAAATATCGCTTCGAACAACTTGTAGGTGGGCACGCAAGGACTGCGAGAGTTTTATTAGCAATGGTGATACCCGGGCATCTAATATTTGGTTATACTATTAGTTACCTTCAAGCAGGACACACTTCTTTTACTCCCATATTTATTGCCGTGTATTTGACCGCCGCTTTACTGCAGGTAAAGCCGCTTAATCGTATACCGTCGGTAATGTCATACAATTGATGCAAAAAAACCATTATGGATAATTAAAACATGTCGTGTTCGCGTTCTCATTTGATCGTTAGGTGATTTTGTTATTGTACATCGCTCAATTGATGGTCGTTTGGATGTGGAGAAGAGGAATGGATCCAGACAGTTCTGCGATACCATATTTAACGGCATTCGGCGATCTTATAGGAACGGCGTTACTAGGAATCGCGTTCCACATACTTTACGCCATCGGCAACAAAGATTCAGACGTGGGAGACTGAATACTCATGGATCGTTACTTTGATTGTTACTAAATAATCTGCACGGGGGGAAAAAACAACCGCAACGATGTTCACGAACATTCTTTTTTCTTTTAACGTTCATTAAAATTCAGAACATTTTCTAGCTTGTAGTAGTATCTTTCGTTCGAAACTTTATTCATCAAAAGTATGACTGTATATGCGTTCGCGTTTTTCGACATTTGTAACAATTTCTTTTAAAATTCGTTCACCCGTTACTTCGATCCTATATTATTTTCCTTTCTTTTGGTCCCGCGTTTACTATCCTTTCATCACGGTTAAAATAAAAATGTATCGCATAAAACCCTACGCAAAACGAGAATTATGCACAGAATTCGGTCGGACCCAATCGTGTTCCGTCTTTTGCACACAGCTTAGTCTATGTATGTAAATAGATACATACGTACCCGCGTACACGGTGATGTAAAAATATATGTATGACACGCGTGTATGCCGTTTCTCTAGCGTATGCGTTGTATGTACGAGTAAAGTGGGATAAAATTGCAGGTGCAGCGTACTTGAGGCTCAACGAAATCAAATATTTTCTGTTACCAAACACTGTACTTATCGGTCGAAATAAATTCGACTCGTAATACTTTCATGTGTTTCTGTTCACCCAAATATGAAACACGCGGTCAAACGCAACGTGATTCTAATGAAAATCATTAAATTGTAGGAGCATCGATATTTAGGGCACGAGACTCCTTTCTTACGATCGGATCGGGACCGTCGAGTTTCGTTCGAAGAGGTTTGGTCAAGATTTTATACCGGAGACTGGTCAAACGCAACGTGCTTCTAATGGAAATCATGAAATTATAGGAGCATTGATATTTAGGATATGATTAAGTTTCGAGACTCCTTTCTTGTAATGTCAAGTTTTGTTTGAAGAGGTTTGGTCAAGATTTTATACCGGGAACTGGTCCAAGACAAATGGGTCTCTTGAAGAGCGTAGCAAAATGCACAGCTTTTGGAGATCTAAGCTCACAGAGCTCACAGATTCCAGGAATACTAGAATCTAGAGTACCGTGTGGTAAATTTCAGGAGTTAATGTCTATAAGTTTAAGGTGGACGCGAAGATCGAGGCGGCCACACCGCACCGGCGTAGGTAGGTCAGACAGACCGCTAGCTAAGCTACATGGACCGAGTTAAACTCGGTTTGGCTCGATCTCTGGCGGTGGTGGTGGTAGTATCTTTCTTTCGTGCGATATCGTACGGTCGAGTTACGAGTAGGGCGGTAAAGGTTCGTAAGCGTAATCGCGTAAGCGAGGCACAGCCACCGGCCGTCTGTGTGCGTTTCCACGTACGTACGTCCGCGATGCGTGCACGTGTACGTACACGTCGTCGACTCAACGATTCGTACACGTACAACGTACGAACGAAACGACCAAGTTGTGGTCGAGAGGCACATCACGGACCGTCTCCGTCAATGAAATAGTTAGATCTGTCAGTGCCAACTATCGCCTCGGTCTCGACGGAGCATTTTAGATTTCATCTATCGCGTTGTCCCATCGAGACCGTTTTCTAAAAGTGTTTTTCCTCAAGCTGGCCGCCCGGGTGCCGCGGTTTCCGTACCGTTGTCAAACGACACGAAAGGGAGAGAAAAGACAGTGTTCGTTTGCGAAACGTCTCTCGACGCGTACCTTGCCCGACGGAAATACAACGATCAAAGACATAACAATCGCCTAACCGTCCTCCCGGTTCTCGGTTCAATCCACGTCGGTTACGAAACGAAACAATTAACGGCCAGAGATGTCGTCGCGTGAATTTCAAAAGGAAATAAAAAACGTAGCGAAAAATTAAAAAAAAAAATATAGAAACGGACGAAGAACGACTACGTTCTAGGCGCGAGGATCGTAAAAACGCGAATCGTCCCGATAAACGAGCGGACTCGCCACCCGGTAATCGTTAACTCGTAAAATTCAATTCGCCCGGTTGCGTTTATCTGCTGTTTACCATTTTGTCTCGCGACGCAGCCCTGCGTAAGTATAATCACGATCTCTTTGCGCCGTTTTTGCGACGTTCGGGTTCACCTCAAGCGTGTGTATTCCCCGCGACTGCCGCAGGATATGGAGCAAGGGACACGAGGATAGCATGGGGGCAAGGCCACGGGAATTCGTCGTTTTCCATGGTAAACGAAAGGGATGCGTTCGAGAATGTGCTTCGCGGGTCACGGGAACCAAGTATCAAAACGTATGTTAAGTTATTGCTCCTCATGGTCGAACTTAAACACGTGGAGTAATTTATCAATTTGTGAATATGTTACGGAAGTGCTTCGTACTCGCGCGCCGCAAACGTTAAACGGCAATGTTTGCAAATGCCAACGCGTGGATATCGCCGGACGGTGGTTTGATCCTCGATCTTGATATTATCTATGGTTTCTTTAAAATTTTCTACGCCAAACGATCCACCGTCGACGTCCCGGCTCGCCGCTGCCAGCGATTTCTTTTCTGGAATTTCATTTTTGGACGCGCGCAGCCTCCTCGAACGATCGCAATGGCGGTGGATTCGTAACCCAAAGCTCGAATCTACGAATCGCGATCGTTCGAAGAAGTTATCTTTATAAATATAAATTTGGATCCCTGTCTGATTATTTTTGCTCGAGAATCGTTGAAAAATTTTTTAATTAAACGTTACGTCCTCCCCTTGTCGGTAGATTTTTCTAGAATTGCCATTAAACGACCTGCTCTCGCCATTTCTCGACACTTCGATCGTTCTACCATCCGACTGTTTCTCAAAATTGTATTCGAAACTAGTCGAACAGCTGGTTTAATTCCAAAGATATATAGATCGTCGACAACACGTAACGCTCTTTTAATAACGCGGTATGGACTGGAATAATTCGTAACCCAGTATGAAAAATTAAAGTCATTTGTATTACGTAGCATTCTGTTTGCTTAGTTCGAGAATTCCCCGAGAAACGTTAGATCAGTCGAAAGAGGAAAATGCCATTTTACGCTTCCCGGTGCAAATGCGTAGTTAATCTAGAGTGTATTTTACAATGTCGCGCTATTTGTTCCTGGTTTATTTCCGCGCATCTTGGGACTTTCTATGCTATCAGAAACTGTTCCTCCCCCTTCGACTTCGATGTAGATCTATTTTATTAATAACAGAACAAACGTATAAAAATGCTATAAAATGAGAAGTAGTAGGATTCGAACAAACGTCGAGGACACTTTTGTACACGGGAAACAGGCGTGCCAGTCAACGCGTTATCGTTAGCTGATCGTCAAATGTTTCGTGCCGTAATTGAAATTCTAATATTTTCTAACGAGTGACTGGTAAACAGTCGTTTATCTTTTACTCGTTATCCAAAAGTTTTATCGTAGATAAGAATTTTCCCCAACTCTGTTACGGATCGATTCAACGCATACAACTATACTTTTTACAGAAATTCCGAGTACGAATATCGTTGGTTCTTTATTGACGCGTGCGAGATCGACGAAAACAGGATCCACAGGTCGCCACGGTAAGGTACCGTTTTTATTTCGTGAATATAACCCGTGTAAGCGAAACCGTGACATCGAGGCTCTTTCGATCGACTATCGTTGCACGAGTAAACTATCGCGTGTACTTGGACGCACGAGAAACGTGCTTTCTGCAGCTATAGCGTCGCGACGCGCGGGAGTTAACTCTCCAATGTCAAAGCGAAACGCTCGATTCGTGGACGGACCATAAAACAGCTTATGCAATTGATCTTTGAGGAAGTAGATAAAAGTGTAAACATTACGAAATGATTCTTGCGAAATCGCTCGAGCCGCGAAACGGTAGCGCGAAGTATTTATCGACGAGTAACTAACAATCGACGCGATTTTTGGCACCGTTTCCGTTGCTCGCGCGCGCGTTCCGTCATTCTACAAATATTGTTCCTGCCACAACAAAGATTCGATGTTTTTTGTCGAATACAAGACTCGGATTTCGCAATGTTAGCATTTCCCGTGTTTAAACTGGCTCGTTACCGAAGCGAACGTTCTTAGAAACTGTTGCAGAAGCGCAACAATACGTACATCCGAGCGCAACGCGTCTAATCGTTCCCTAAGACGAGATATTCGAGATAATAGCGTCGAATATTATTTCCATAATTCTGCTATAATTAATATGCAACGTGAGCTCACAACGCGAGCAGCGAGATTCGAAATCAGGTTCAGTCGCGAACAACAAAGATTTTAGATTTGTTTTCTAAAAATAAATGGATTATTGTAAAATTTATGTAATCCTCCATTAGTCATTATTTTTAAAATGCTTAAAAATCTTTGATTCGAAGTCCCACTTAAGGGTTGAGAATCGATTAAAATTTCCAGTTCTATTAACTCGTAAATCGTTATATTTTTACGAGATTCCACGAATTCTGGTCGCGATAATAGTATCATTGAAATCTGGAATGCCGTGAAATTGGCTTTGATTCCGCGAAACGAAGCGTTTTAATCTGACCCTGGGAGGTTCGATCTAGAATCGAAAGCAGCGATGACGCCGCGAGGGTCGATTTGATAACCGAGGTCCCCGCCATTGTACGTGTAACCGGGGTATAAACAAATTTCAACCCGTGCACCCGATAGCCTCGAGTGTTTAGTCGGAATCGTGCAAACTTTCAGTTTCCTGTGTGACGTCGTTGCATAACAGTGTCATTTATCGCGAGTTCGACTCCCGAGTTGCGTGCCGAGCGACGACGATGGAATTTTTAACGGGAAAGTTACACCTTTGCAGCCCCCGTCTGCAACCCCGATCGGGTTCCAAAGTCGATAAAATATAATAAAACATCGTTCGGTGATCGATGAATACCGATCGATCCGAATGATATTTCGTGAGATCCCGTTGGTGAACACGACGACGGCGAACGATATCGCGGTTAGACCTTCGTTTGATTCCCGCGCGATTGATTAGCCAATTAAACAATGGAGAATCCGCTGGAAGAGATTAGATGTAAGAGGCAGATTAACGAAACGGCGCCTCGCGAGAAAAACCGTCACGGAGCCTGGTTAGTCGATGGACAGACTCCGCGGTCAGACAGAGAAACAGTCAGGTAGGCAGTGCTTAGAGTGACGATCGAGGAGAAATGGCAAGCAGGTCGGGGTTAGGCAGACGAGCCGGGAACCAAGAAGGCAAGGCAGAAGCTTTACAATTAGTCGGAGCGACGATCGATAGATTCGCGCTTGCTCCGTTCGTCGCGTGTTACCCGGTAAACGTCCGGAGCGAGTTTTCAGGAGACAAGCGTGATGCACGATCGAGATCAGTCGCGATGTAACCGTAGCGTGAAACGGCCTCGCACAGGCCCGCCAGCCTTACACAGCCAAATGCGTGACGACGGTTGATTTTCTTTTTTGCCAGAGTCGACACAGTTTTGAGAACGACGCCGAAAACGGGGATCCCCGAGTCTATGAATTCGGCCAGCATTCAACCCACTGTCGAGGATCCGGTTACGAAACACCAGGTACATATCACCAACGGTATCCTCGAAACGGCCACGCTCGATACGAAACCGTTTCAACGACTACCCAGTGTCCGTTTCCTTCTTACGCGAATCGACGATCGACGAGCATTGCACGTTTTCATCCGTTTCCTTCGTTCTCGACGCGTGCACCAAAAAGATAATTTTCCACTTTTCGAAAGAAAGTTCGCGATCGAACGATCGTTTGAACGGGAGAGATCTGGTTTTCCAGCGAGACGGTGAACGATACTGATAACCGACAGACGACGGAGGAAAAATAGACGGGGAACGAACAAATAAGGGAAGACGTAGGCGACGCGACGCGTCTCGTCGAAGGTAAAAGGATTTATCGGGCAACGATCTAATACGAAAAACGATCGTATTTTATCTGTGACGGTATCGCGCACGTACGACACCGAAAGTTGCAGTTAATTTATTTTTTCGCGCGTCTCGCAGACGGTTTCGCGAGCGATCCAAACTAGAGATAGCGTCCCTAGCTAGTTACGTAATTTCCACGATTCTTGTCCTGAAATACAACGACCAGCGTACGAATATTTAGACATGCGTTATCATTCTCAAAGGAGAATGGCTATATATCCGTCGCAGCGAGTCACACGGGGTCCTCAGTAGAAGATGATAGAAGACCAGGTGCATCAACATCCGGTACGACTACCACCCGACAAACACGCCCATGTCGATGTCCCAGGAGTCAAATTTGAAAAGTACGTGGAACCGTTGCTTTTTTATTTATTTCGTTCTCCGCGTGCGTCGATTTCCGTGCCACGCGAGGGTAATTATTGTTTATACAGATGGACGTTGCACGCCGCGATTAAACGTCGTTCCGTCGTTGGAAAATTGCGTTGCGTTAACAATTGGAAAAAATTCGTTTCAGTCGGCAGGAATATTTTTATTTATCTTCGACGTTTCCTCGGCGCGACGTCAAGGCTCGATATTATGCGTTAAAGTTTAATCTCGATGTACAGCTTTGTTCCGCTCAATTATTATCCTCGCGCGGAGTACGTTCATTTGGTATTCGTAGCAACTTTTTTTGCTTTCATCCGGCTACTACGCGCGTGCAACTGGAACGTAAACAAGCATGTTTTTTAAAAGAATCTGACAGCCGTAATCGTTGCCTGCGCGGTATATTTTTTTTTTTACTTTAAAACGGGAAATTAGTACGATCGTAACGTAACTTCGTTTCCCGGGTACGTAGGTTGGAAATATTTTTGAAACGTTGTTGTATCCTGTCGTCGTAACGGCGATCAACCCCTCGAGTGCAAATTGAATTAAACAATTAACCGGTCTAGTCTTTAACCCTCTATAATAGCGGTTCTTAGCCTTTTATTTACCGCGGACCATTGTATAATAAAAGGTCCTTGTATCTCGCTCGTTTAAAAATTGATTAACCCTGTGACCCATATATTGCCTGCTCATAGAATCTAGTTCTCTGGTACCCGATTATTTGTACATACGAACGCCAGAACATCGCTTAATATATGCACAGATTGATCCATTATTAAATTAATCCTATGAATAGAACAAGAATACTCCAGTGGCTGTACTTCCCAAACGTTCAGAGATTCTCTTAGACCTTCCATTTTGAAGAACATTCACGTACAAATCCAAAGCTTGGTGTCGATGGAAAGAGTAGTTAAGACTCTTAGGTTTCATTCATAACAATAAACGTGTATATTATGTGATCTCCAAACGTACACAATCTTTTATTGGCAACGAATTATTGAGGCAGCGTATCAGCTTATCGATACACTTGCGACAGTACGTTACTCAAAACTTCACTAATTCAATCGCAATAAACAGATTGTACGCAACTATAATTTGTCGATTAAGATGTTGATGCACGTTTAAGAATGAATGAAACTCGATTCGAGAAGGATTAATGGCTCAAGGAACCGAAGTTCGATAATGTTTCCATTGATCTTAGATTTCTTAGATTATTCTAAGTCAATCTGAAGGTAATCTGTAACAGAAAATTCAACGTTTCTTAACACCCTCGATTCTAACAAAAAGACTCGAGTGTTTTTTAAACTTATCAGCCCATAGCAACGTCAACAATACTAACGAAAATGCTTTCCACTGGGGAATAACCAATCTCAAGTAGTTGTCCACCACAATGACACGATACAACAAAATGTGTTACGCGTTGACCGTATTCATAAATTACTAATGTTCAAGGAGACTGAAGACTGTGACGAATTTGACAGAATGATTTGTTTCCCAGTGATCAATCCAGGGAACCTCTGCTCTCCGAAAAGCAAAGTTCCACCAGGATAACACCAGCGGAGACCCGTTCACCGGCCGGGAAGACGGTCACGAGCACGTCCTCGGCCACGGACATAACCATGGTCACGGATCCGAACATGTGCATGGACAGCAACGTTAACATTGTGATCGTGACCACCGTCGCGGTGGACGCCGCCAACAAGTCCCTGGACGAGGATTACATGGAGGTGCCCATCTTCGAGGAGGGGACCACCGACAGCGGACGTCTGCCCGACGTCGTCGCCGAGAGCAAACTTTACGGCGTCACCGAGGAGGAACCGATCGAGTCCTACCTGGCGATCACCATTCAAGTTTTCATACCGTTTCTCATCGCTGGCCTTGGCATGGTGGGGGCTGGATTAGTTCTGGATTTGGTGCAAGTACGATCGAACCCTTATTCGCCCTCTTCTCGACCGTTAGACCAACGTAGGGAACGTCTTTGCGAGTGGCTGAGGCGAGAAAGAAGAGTGTTTGAGTTTGTCGCGTGAACGAATAATGGCCACTCGATGGTCCGGACAAACACGACTGCATGTCCTCTTCGAGTGGTCCAAGAGTTTAAATAGAGAGATCGAATATAGTGAGAATCCTCCGAGCAAGAGCAATAGAACTTTTCCGTGACTTTTGTCGCGCGGAATTTCATCGAGTTTCGTTTTGTCGACAGCACTGGGTGGTTTTCGAAAAAGTAAGCGAGCTGATCATTTTGGTGCCGGCGCTGTTGGGCCTGAAAGGCAATTTGGAGATGACATTGGCGTCGCGACTCTCTACCCAAGCGAACCTAGGGAACATGGACACGCCGAAACAACAATGGTACATGATCGTTGGAAACCTAGTATTGATTCAGGTGAGTCGGTTACGTATAGTTAATTTTAGTCCTGATCGAACGCGCGGGGAACGAAAGACTTCCCTTGGTAAAATGAACGTCGACTCTGGAAACGTTTAAAACATTTTTTAAAAAGACTGCCTACGCTTTGACAATAATTTGTAAATTGTTGTTGTTATCTAAAGCGTTATTACACACGTATGACACGCAGTTAAGACGGGTTATATCCAGAATTTGGTAAGAGATAAGAAGAAACCGATGCACCCGAAAAAAACATTTTCTTTCACCGTGTTTGCCTATCACACCGTCTTAACACGAATTTTTATTGCAATATCCACCGGGTGATCCATCTAAAATATCGCGTCCACAACACCCAGAAGCTGATCAGCTTAGTCCACAAAAACATTGAAGACCTTTTAATACCTAACTGTCGAATAATAATTTTCTATAAAGAACTGAGCGCCAACGATCAATAAACAGTACCAGGATCGGCCAGTGGATATTTAAAAACAAGGAACAGGTTCTCATATTTGTCGAACGGTGTGATCAGTCTACTTAAGTCCCCCTATCTTTTTCCGCTCTGCTATTTCCGTCTCCGAGGCTCTATATTTTCCGCATTTTCGTCCGTCCAGCCAGTCGTTTCCTTCGTTAAGAAGGAAAACGCCAACGTTTTCTCACGATCGTTGCAATTATTCAAAGTCAGGGACAATTATCAGCAACAAGGTGCGCGACTCGCGAACACCTTATCATTGGCGCCACGATTTTGTTTGATCACGCTTTCAGCGCGTCAATGATTAACGACCTTCGTTAGCAAACGTTACGTTCGTCGTAGGATGCAACACGCGGGAATACAGTATTCTCTCGCTTATTGGATCTTTTGCTCGCCATACGCGCGACCGTGAATTCAAAAACCGGCTGGATGAACCTTGAAATACCTTTAGGTTGATAAGATCGTTTCGAAGACAATTTGAAATCTCTGATCGTCGTCTGGACGGACCAAAATTTCTGTCATTAAACGAAGGACTATTGTACGACGATGCATGAAATAATCCTTCCCCCTTTTGTTTTCTTTTCACGCTTGTACGTTTATGTAAAGAAGGTCAGTGTCGTGTTGACAGTGCCAGGCGATAGTGGTTGGATTTCTGGGCTCCCTGGTGGCGATCGTGATGGGGGCGTTTCGAAACGGTACCATATCGTTGGATCATTCTTACCTGTTGTGCGCGAGCAGCCTGGTCACGGCGTCCCTGGCGTCGTTCGTCCTCGGGCTGATAACCGCGGGCGTGATCGTTTTCTCACGGCATTGCCACATAAATCCAGACAACGTCGCGACGCCAATAGCCGCCAGCCTCGGCGACATCACATCCCTGGCTTTGCTCTCTTGGATCTCCACGATCCTCTACGAGTCGATAAACAAGCAAGATTGGGTCGCCCCGCTCGTGATCGCCTGTTACATCCTGGTTACGCCGCTCTGGGTATGGATCGCCAAGAGGAACAAGTACACCAACGGCGTCCTCTACTTCGGATGGACCCCCGTCATGATCGCTATGTTGATAAGCAGGTGAGCAACGAGTCGAATTTAATCAAGACGATATTTATAATTAGACTGCGGATTTTTATGCAAATTCATATATTTATTAATAAAATAAGAGCTTCGTAGAGGGTTCTTTCAACCCCTAAATACAATAATTCTTATATTTTTGCATATTAAATGCATTCTATAGTTTTTTGACAATCTAAATTCCCCATAAATGCATAAATATCCGCGGTCTATTTATAATAGAAAATAACAGATAATTGACCGACGTTTATCACCGTGCACGACAGTTGCGGCGGTCTGATACTGGAATTCATGGTATCGCGGTTCGAGAACTTGACCGTTTTCCAACCGGTGATCAACGGCGTCGGTGGGAATCTAGTGGCTGTCCAAGCGAGTAGAATATCGACGGCTCTTCACAAACAAGCAGAACTGGGAACGCTTCTGATACCACCGGGTCACACGCACCCCGTGATCTTCATCACTCCTATCGCGAATTTTTTCGGCAAAGGTAACGGTCCACGTCGCTCGAAAACGTCCTGAAAGAAATTTGCCAAACAGTTCTTATTATTTTATCCACGCAGGTATACACGCGAGGACCACCAGAGTTCTAATGGCGATGGTGATACCGGGGCACATAATTTTCATTTACCTGATCAATTACATGAAGGATGGCGAGACCTCGCTGACGCCTCTGTTCGTTTTCGTTTATTTATGCGCCGCCATGTTGCAAGTCGCCGCGCTCCTCTACATCGCCTACATAATGATACACTGGATGTGGAAGCGAAAAATCGATCCCGACAATTCGGCGATACCGTATCTGACGTCGATGGGCGATCTGCTCGGTATCAGTTTGCTCGCGATCGCCTTTCAGTTTCTTTATCTGGTCGGCGATCAAGACTCCGACCGACCGATCGCCCCGTGAAGAGCCACCGTACGGTCCCTATCGGTCTCGGTCGGTGTCCCAACGATAAGTATCGTCGGTGGGCGGCCAATGTATAATTGTCGGTAGTTTCCGTTACACCGTCGACGTTGTTACTGTTACGCGTTATCAGTTTCCTCCGTTCTCGTGAAAATATAACAAACTCGAGGTACTCGCGACCGTTGACACCGATACAGCGATAAACGACAACACGTCGTCGAATGAAGGCTGATCAAGGCCTAAAGAGGCTGTGCCTCTGCGAAAGTATACCATTGTACCGCGTATCGTGAAGAAAACGGGAAGCAAGAATAATTAGCCACGGGGTCTTCTCCCCTCGACGTTTATCGTAATCGGGCCGAAATCATTTTTTCCGTTCGGCTAGACCAACTTTTCTACCAAAATGGCCGTCGATATCGCTGCGCACGCTTCCTCCTGGTTCGAAACGAGAGAAACGAGCGTAACGCAATTAGAACGAATTCAAGTAAACATTTCCTTAGAGCAATCTACGTCGCGTAGTCCTATGCGAGGCCAAAGCCTACGGGGTCTAGCCCAGGCATGTCCACGGTTGGTCGCCCGTTTCCCTCCTGAAAGACGATACGTTCGATTCTCGTCGAGTACGTTCCGCGTTGGACAAAGGGGGTATTAAAGTGCCTGAGCTCCGGAGCCTGGCTCGGACATGCCTGCTCTAGTCGTAAGCGTTTCGAAGCAGCGGACGATCCGTGTCCTCGTGAAACATGGCCGGCCAGATACCACGGGGAAACGGAGCAAAACGAAGAAATAGAAATAACACCCCGAGTACCGCCTCGCTTTTTTCATTTTCTGTTCCGTTTGGGCGTCGATACGTCGTGTGTCCGCGTCAAGTACCCAACAAAGTATGCGTGATTCTCGTTCGTAACGTCACGATGCGTATGTGTCTTTGAACAGTTGCCTTCGTATACGACGGGGATTGGATAGACGTTGTCCTAGGTACCGTCTAATGCCCGTGAGAACTATTTTTTGACGCTTTGAAAAAACTCGCGAATTTATGCGGCTCTCCTTGCGGTATCTACCTTACCTATCCACCTGCACTCTATCGACCGTTCGAACTCAACCAACAACGTGCAAGGCTGATACGTAAGTGGTCGCCGTGGCTTTTGTATCCCGCGTTGCTCTGCAAGTCTTCCAACGAACCTAGGAGTTGTATGTTCAATATGTTCAATATGAGGTTCCAACTCCTTCGTGAATACGGTACGAAAATTCAACGTTCGGTTACATGCGTACCGCTCGTTCGAAACGGAGATGGGCGAGATAAATAAATACAGGGTGTCAGGAAAAGGGTTCAGGACTTGGATGACAGACGGTGCTTTGTCTTCCATTTAGTACCATCTGTTCTACAAGGCCTTCAACCCCATTTTAAATACCCTGTATAAAGGGTGTTCAACCACCTCTGGGAGAAATTTTAATAGGAGATTCTAGGAGCCAAAATAAGACGAAAATGAAGAATACCAATTTGTTGATCGAGGCTTTGTTAAATAGTTATTAACGTTTAAAGTTCCACCTGTAGAACGGCAATCTGCGCAGAACTGCATGAGCGTGATACTGGTTCTCATTCAGTTTTACATGCGGAACTTTAAACGTTAATAACTTTTTAACGAAGCCTCGATCGACAAATCGGTATTCTTCATTTTCGTCTTATTTTGGCCCCCAGAATCTCCTATTAAAATTTCTCCCAGGGTTGACCGAACAATCAGGGATTTTTATTTCTATTCGACGACTTACTGTTATTCGTTATTTAAAAATTTTTTATTTGGAACGTTACCTGTCTCTGGTTCAAAGTAAAGGTAGAGTGGATGTAAAGAGATCTGCTCCGACCAAGGGACGCTGTCGATATCCACCGTAGAGTCAAACCTGAAAAGGAATAGAATATTATTCGAACGAAAGATAACGAATGAAAAATATTTATTCGTACCATTCGAATTCGAATTTTTATTCGATCCGTAACAGGTGAAATGTTTGTATTTTACTTGTTACTCGAGATTTTTTATCTAGATAAGAATGTTGCCCATCTCTGGCCAGAACACGGAAAAACGCGTCGAACGGTTGAAATACTTATGGCAGAGCTTCCACTAGAAAATTGTTGTAAAATCTTCGACGGAAACGGATTGTACTCCTTACATACAGGAATATGTAAATTCTATTATATCCGTTTCTATTCGAAGGATAATCCCATGCCAGCACGGCCCTGTTGCAGAGATGAGCAAATTTTATTTCGAACAACGAATAAATTTTTATTCATAACAGTGAAATTTTATGATATTTGAACAAATATTTCGATAAAGATTTATTCGTGTTACAGTCACATAATTTTGTTTACTTGCACTATATTTGAACAAATAGTCACGTAGCATGATCGAGCATGAATGCGCCGAAGAATATCGAAACGATTAACAAAATTGTCGTGAACACGATCGTTCCTTACGTTACATTCCAACGATTATTAATATCGCTCAAAACAATTCGTTTGAAATTGCCTTAACCAAAGCGGAGAGTATCTTCGAATAATTCTTACCAAAGACAGGCGGCTGTACTGCTTCCTAGTACAAAGTGATTCTCGAATTAGAATTAAGGGGATCCTTCTGTAAATCGATATACAGGTTACATCACGCTATTGGGTCTGGCTGTATTTCGAATTTCGAAATAGATACGAAAAAATTGTACAATGGAAAGTTAAACGGTTGTTCACTTACGAAAAAAAGTGAAGTAGAAGAATAGACATTATCGTACCGTTCAACTGCTCCCTCTACAGTTTCTTCCATCTTCTACCGAATTTGAGGTACAACGTGACTCAGTTGCGTTAGACAGTATGTAGACTCGAAACTTGTATCGACAATGTATTTCTTTACCATTCAACAAGGTGATATATTATTTATTCAATGTCTACTATTTCTGGTATACGTAGATCGCGTTCCATGTCTATTAATTTTGCCCCTTGATGGGCCGCACGATCGAAAAGAATACTTAACCCCCTACAACTTTCTAGAAACACTCCTCGATTGTAACATCGATGTTTCAAGCCCGCCATAAACTGGTGTTTACGCGACATCTAACGTCAACAATTGCAACTTCAAATAATCTCGATTATAGGGGGTTAAGAAAACTGATTACTACTTTTATCGACAACATTATCTATAACTTTTGAAATCTAAAGGATCATCGACTAGAATAGTTATTCCCGTATAAAAGCAACTAGTCAAATCGGCCACGAATTGAACAAAGCACTTCCTTTTTACGTTACTTCCTTAACCTCTTGCCGTACGACTTTGTAATCCGTTTTACGAATACCTTGCAAATATGTTTTCGTACGTTGGACTTCACGACTACTATAACTTACGACGGCAAGGGGTTAAACACGAACGCGTTTAATCGTGTTCGATATCTTGCAACGGGAGTCGCAATCACGCAGTTAACCCTCACCGTAGGAGTTTCCCTTGGAATTATTGCAGTTACGAACATAACACCACGATACGAACTTGCCCTCTTTTTCTCTTTGCACGCGCGCGGGCGGACGTAGCCTGGCAGTTTTGCAACGAATGTAAAGAATCAGTAAAAACAAGTACTATACCAAAGAATTAGGCTATAAATACATGTTGACAATAATGTTTGATGCAAAAACTTAGATGAATTATTTTCTACGCCAGACAAAGTTATTGCAAGATCTCTGCTCAATGGAAAATTGGAGGGAAATATTTCGCTGCAACCGTTTACGCGTGTTACTAACACTAGATTTACCGAGGGGGTCAAAGTAACTTGTTTTGTCATTTGTTATAACGATCACCCATTTTTAGAACATCTTGTTCCTCTATAATTTGTTGTGACTTTTATCGAAGATAAACTTGACTTCCAACTACACGTACAAAAGTAATCGAAACGAACTTAGGAGTTATGTTCGCTATTGGATGCCTACATTTTAGTTTTAAGTAAATACTTACCAAGGAAACACAATTTTCATAATACGTGTCTTTTTCAAAAACAAGTCATTTTGGTTCCTCCGGTAGAAGTAGATAGATGTCAATCGTCGGTAGTCGTAGTATCAATGACCCTAAGCCTCTTCGCCAAACGACACGGAGTTGCAACGTCGACGTTAAAGAACCGCGTAAAAGGGCATTTATGCGACACCTAACGTCGGCAGTTGGAACTATCAAACGTTAGAATTCAGGCGTCATTTGCACCGTGCGAACGCAGTCATTGTCGCGTGTACCGGAACGTTTGAAATTTTTATAAACTTGACGAAGAGCAATCGTGCCGACGATAATGAGACAAACACGAAATGCTTTCCTTCAGTTGTTTGAAAAATCCTGATCGAGCGAAAAAATAAGAGAGAAAGTGGGAGAAGAGAAAGAGAGTGGTAGGCGGCGGGTGTGGAACGAAGGAGTAACGAAACCTGAACGCGATACATTCGAAAGGGAGACGATTATTTTTAATACGATAGTAAAGAAAGGAGAGTCGGCCTACGAGGACGAGAGAGACGCGTACGAGCTGCTAACAGCCGTTTACAAATCACGTTGATTAGGTCGTGGTATGTACCTGCCCTTTTCGTAGTCTAAGCATTCCGAAATTGTCTCGGTTCGATCAAACGAGTCCGGCTAAACGACTGTTGAGCATTTCCGGAACGACAAAACAAAGATCGAGATTCATCGATTGATGCAAAGCGACTGGACGCACATTCGAACGAAGCATCGATGTAGTATTGTATAATAAAACTGACGAAAAAGAAACGTGTTCTCAACTTACCTCGGGTCTCGTTCATTTGTTCCCCCGATTCACGGCGCCCGCTGTATTAAAAACTTCAGAACGTAAAAAATATTCGAATTCGTTTATTGCGAGACGTGTAACCTCCAAAAATAAATGTACATCTCGTACAATCTTAGACAATCGAGAGAAAAAGAAAAAGAAAAAGAGAAAGAAGAGAAACACACGGAGCGCAGGTACCCCTACATCGTTCTTATTTATACTCAGAACGATCCAAAAATCTAAAGCGCAGCGAATAACGAAATCTTATAAAAGTACGAATTGCGCGCGATCGATATGAATTATTCGCTAACGAACAAATGAACTTACGCGTTCTATCGTAGAACCGTGACTGTAATTCGATAAATGAACGACGATTCTATGAACTGCTGATTCCTATGACCAACTCGACAGATGCGTATCACATATTTATACATGGAAAATTATAATACAGTACATACGACGGTAGTTTGGACAGGGACTATCAACGATTCGCGAAACGTAAAAAACGTAAGCTGTACACGATTCAGTCTGAAAAAGTGCTCCCAGCGTTTGTTCACTGTAACTTCGCTTCCTCCTTCGCTTTCCATAGAATCAATTCCATACAGGCAACGGCGTCCTCTTTGCTGTCGTGTCCACCGACTGCAACGTCGTGAAAAGCCAGTTAACGATAATGTTCTTTTCAACTTCTGAAAAAAAAATGTAATGGCCGCGACAACGCACAACTTTTTAACTAACCATCGTTCTGTATGATCTTCCTCAGATACTCGGAACAAAGGTTCTTCAGCGCCCGTTTTTGCGGATATCCGTTCTTGTGCGGAAACATTATGCTCGTGTCGACTACGGTGTCGTGCAGTAGTTTCAGCGCTTTGAAATCGCTTTCAAGACTATGACCCACCAATATTGTTTTTTCCGAAAACATTGTAAGGAGCGACGCTTGAACATCTAGCAACGTTGTCGTCACGTCCTTCATACATTCTTCCGTGATTCCAGAAAACCTGTGCAATTCACCCACCCCCCACAAAGACCTACCGTTACTCGCTACTTGTGGGCACGTGAAGTATGAAAAATAAACGGGCAATACGCGCGCCAAGTCATATCCACCTAATGCGCGTTCGAATGGTACGTCGCGTAACGTGAGAAAAATGAAAATGGAGGAAGTATTTCGACATATTTTACCTTGTATTATAATCGATTATTGGATTTTGCGGTTTAACCAACGTCTCGTACACTACGTTGCAATCTTCGTCGATAACCGTTACCCTGGTTAGTTCTAAGCCTTGCGTGGTATAACTCATTTCGCAATCGAGAGCGTAAACTCCCTGTTCCTCGAGTAGCATGTCTTCGGGGAGATGCAAAACGGAAGAAGGAACAATGAGTAAAGGTGACGATTGAACATCAATTATAATCCGTTGGAAATAACCTCGTATGTAGAATCGCCAAGTGGTATAAATACAGGATGAGGCACTTAAGACCGGCCACCTGAATAACTTGGCTGCTATTGGTGGTAGGGAAAAATGCATCGGGCCAAAATCATTTGGTATCGAGGGGCTGATTATCCGATGTTACTAGTTTTTTGATAGATGAATTTTTTAAATGATTACATTCTGATAGAATATTTCAAGACGAATACAATGCCTCCACCTATCAAAAAACTACTAACATCGGATGATCAGCCCCTCGATACCAAAGAACTTTCACCTGATGCATTTTTGCCTATCACCAATAGCAGCCAAGTTATTCAGGTGGCTGGTCTGGTCTTAAGTGCTTCACCCTAATAGTAGAGTTTATTTAAATTTGCACAGTATCGCTGCTATATTTCTACCACTTGATGATCAAAGCAACGCGTTAACGACTGATATCAAAGTAAAAGATAGCGATGTACCTTTCGGCAAAGTTTTCACATAACCACGAAGATTCTCATAGTCGGTGTATTCCCAAACGTGCGTCTTCGCGTCGCAACATCCGGTCGCGGAACCATATTGTTGACAACAACTATATTTCCCCTCTCCTCTGATCGTGAACTTTCTTCCCCAATGATATATACAATTCTGCGACCGTACCGCGAATCCTTGTTTGTTTATCATGTACGTTTGACCACAACGACTGCAGATTCTTTCGTTAGGCACTTTCGACAGGACATTTTGATTCCGTGTGTTTATCACGTAAATCTTTGCACGGCCCTGCAATTAAAAACAAATCAAACGATAACGTACGCCCGGTTAAATGGTATTTGCGCCGCGAACTCTTCGCAGCCGATTCACCTTTTGACCGTCCGGGTGCGTACGTGGAAATCCGTTATCTCGAAGTTGCTGTTCCGTCATTATCCATTTTTTCAACATACCATAAAGCATGACTCCTCTGAACTGCGTGACGGATTTCTTCGTTTTAAGAACGCTCCAAGAACCTTTCGCTTTCCCAGCTAGTACCGCCTCGTGGGACACCATATTGTTACTGGCCACTGTTAACGACGCACTACCTTCTATCGATACACTTTGATCAGCCTCTTTCCTCAGCCTGTGCGTAGCAAGCATACACGAATTTTTATAGACCGCCAACGCTTTACACCTCTCGTGGCAAGCGAATTCTTCTTTAAGCGCACGCTGCGCCGCATCCTCGCTGTTCGTGTAAATTTGCACGCACACGTCCTGCATCATGTTCACGTAATACTGACGAACGTTCAGAGGGAACTTCTGCGTGGTCACTTGCAACGGCTCGGGTCGTATCAACTGTGGAACCTGTAACAAGCAAATCACGCGTGTTACAACGGTACTTTTATTTGGAATGTGCCTTTAGAATATTTTACTCACGGTTTGAGGCACATGAGCAACGCGTACACCGCTCTTCGCGGTTTGCGCCGCTGTTTTGTAATTATCCGTTGCTTTCGTTTCCGTCGATTTACCCACGTTCTCCGTCATCTTTTTCTTCTCTATCGCCAGAGATTTCGCATACGGCACGTGAGCAATTCTGACGCGACCTGTTGCAAATATCGTGCATGTAGACAAATCACTTCTGCGGTTCTAATCACCCGTAAATGTCCCTTTGTATTTCGAAGACTGAACGTTCCCTCGAGAAATACAACTGAACATTGGCATCCATCTCGCAATACAATCAGTCTTAATCTTATCTCTAACGTTTAACTTGAAACCCAAACTCGCCGACGCAACCCCAAATAAATGGTCCGAGATAAACCAACACAAAATCAAGTCGGCCACATAGACCAAAGATGAATCGAAATGAAATTCATGGAACATGATAAAAATCAACGAAGGCCGCAAAAGACCAAAAACAGACGACCTCGTTCGACACGAGTTAGTCCAGTCGTAGTTCAATTCAGTTCAGCTCATCAACCAATTCAGTTCAGTCAATCCAGTTCAATTGCATAGTATCCATTCTATTAGAGAATCAAGAAGCCAACGAGCCTATCCATACTTCTAGCGGAAACGGCAGTTCGTGCATCCACGAGAAGAATACAAAATTTGGAAGTCATTATTAGCAACGGTAATACAGCCGATGAACCAAATTACACGCTTGGAAAAGAAATGACGAGACACAGGGCCCTATTACTATGTGAAAAATAGTAAATGTAAACAGGGTGACACACTTAAATTTTCCACGGTAAAGATTATAAAATTCGACTTGGAATTTTTAAACCAGAACCTGCATTTTGCAAAAACAGAAAACTTCCTTTGTATATACCCTGACTATGAACAGATATGCACAAAGAAAATATAAAAACGATGCAAGAGAGTAACCAACAAAATTAAGAAAGTCTACAACAGAAACGAAGACGTGGATAAGAATGCAGAATGCTTGAATATCTTGTCCCCGACTTGTTTAAAAAATCGAAGTGATCTACTGTGATTACAATTACCGTTTCCATTTAATTTTATTTCGTTATTGTGCGCTGCTGCTGTTGTTGCCTCGATATGATTTCGACGCACATCCTTGGGAACGCTACTACTCGCTGGAGCTGCCTTCTCCGCGATAGTGTCTCTCATCAGGCGCCATCTTTCATACATTTTCAGTTGCGGATTCGCGGCTTTCTTCAATTCCTGGCGAACAACCTGTCTGCTAACGCACGTAGCCGCCGATGGATGCGCTACTCTTTTTCTACGAATATCTTCGCTCTGTTCTTTCTCAGGCACCGACGACGATTCTCTCGTTGACACCGTGCTTTTTGAACGTTCAGACACTTGATATTCCTGGGAGCAATCAAAAAAATAAACACTATTAAAATACACAGCTACATAACAGTCTTACACTAAGCAATTCATCAATATACCTGAAATATCTTCAAGCACTCCTCTTGTACATCGTGATCCGAATCAGACGCGATCGAAACAATATCATCCATATCGTTATTGATGAAACTAATAAAGCAGTCGTCGTTCTCGTCGCCAGCGTCGTCCATATTCGACCGAAAGCTTTCCAAAGGACTCATGGACCTGTCGGTCGAATTTCTTTCATCTCTATTCTCTATATGTACACGTAATCGTTCCATCGTTTTATCGTCGGATTTACGATCCGACTTTGAACGCTTGCTATCGACGCTTCTTTTCTTGTTACGTTCCGGCCTCTTTGAACTCTCGGACGACTTGGAATTGCGCTCGCGATGCCTTTCCGATTCGCGAGAATCCCTCCTATCCCGTTTGCTTTTGTGTTTGCTTTCGTTCTTTTCTTTATGCCTCTCTTTGTCCCGATGCTTCTCTTGATTTATATCTTTGCTTTTATCATTGTGCTTCCTACTTTTCGAATCCTTACTTTCGTGTCTGGTACGACTTTTGTCTTTGCTCTTGCTATCGGACGTAGAACGCGATTTCTCGCTCGATACACGACTGTCCTTGTTCCGTTTATGAGAAGTGTCGTGACTCTTTTGATCTTTGCTTTTGCTCTTGCTTCTGCTTTTGTGTTCCTTTGTGTTTTTATCGACCGCTTTCTGCGTGTCTACTTCCACCGTCTTTTCCTTATCGTGTCGTTCGGATTTCGAAGTTTCTTTAGTCGCGGATTTCTCTTGCGTCGACACCTTCCCGTCGCGGTTTTCTTTGCTGCTGTATTCGTCGTTAGTATTTGCTTTTGGTGAAAGAACACGTGTATCTTGCGTATCGTTCGAGGAGTCATTGTCCATAATATCATGGAAGAATTCGCTCGGTTCCGTGGACGCATCGTCGATGAGATCACCATTGATCTTATTTAAATCATGACTATAATCTTCGGTATTATCGTGAATATCAACGTCGTCTTCTTCGTCGTCCGAGAATTTCGCTTCTAAGTCTAAAGAAGAATCTCGAGGCTCCTCGATAGACTGCACGTTAGAAGTAGGCTTGGCGTCGGTCGTTACCTCGTTTACTATATCGAATTCTGACGCAAATCCATCTAACGCCAATTCGCTTATACTCTTAACGGTTTTTAACGGAGCCTTTACTTTCTTCGGTACGTACTCTTCCCTCCGCTTCTTAACCTTTGGATAATATGGCTCCCTGAGTTTAAACAGGTAATCGCTCGAATTACCATCTTCGTACGAATTCGATGAAACAGTGTCAGACTTACAAGTAGGTACATAACTTTGCATAGCATCCCGCGAATTGGAATTGACTATTGTGGTAGGTTTATATTTAGCTTCGGTAGCTTGAGGGTCGGCCGACTCGCCACCCGTGCTTAGCCATGGCTTAATTCCATCGGGAGAACTTTTACGTTTCACGGCTACTCTACTTTCCCTGGTTGGCATATAGGATATTATCGGTATGTGACGTTTCTTCAGTTCTGCGATGGGTGTAGGATTATACACGCATGGAACAGGTTTAGTAATCGGCGTTGGTACGTCTGTTCTTTTCTCTACTGTATTAGCTGTGACTATGTCTAATGTAGCGGATGCTCCGGGAGTCAAAGATGGCTTCAGTCCCTCCACTACCTGAGAAACAACGTTCTGACACGAAAATTTGTCTGTATTAGCAACTTCTTGGTTAGCTAGAACCTTCTTGACAGCCTCAGTTACTAACTGTTGTAAAACATCTGAGTCGGATTGGACCAATGTAGATTTTGTTTCTTGAACCTGGCCTGTCGTACGGCTTTCCAGCGTCCCGGTCGCTTCCGTCGTAACCACGACATCTTCTAAAACATACAATAAAAACATTGTTTGTCCATGGTCATCCTTTTGTGTCCGCGTATCGTTACGATAGAAATGTAGTCAAATACATTTTTAATGCGATCGATTGTAACGCATTACGACACGTTTACCATGACTAAAAATTCGGAAGAACAAAGTGACTTACCTCGCTTCGAGTGCTTGAAATGACAGTAGGGTCTGTCGCAAGTACCGTTCTCGTAAAACGGACAATTGATAGTTTTAAAGTAACCAGTCGAAGGCAACATAACTATTTCATTGTACTTTGTCTTTCAGTTGCTCATTCTTTGAGCAAAAAGTATCGCGTGAAGTCGTGTTAGAACATTGACCTTTCGGACAAGTTACACTAATTTACCTTCTTTATAAATTAAACATTATTCTTTTTTTTTTACGATAGAATCGACGTATCTGTGGCCATTATCCGATAAAGATTCGCAAGTTTTTACGCGACACGTCGAAGACACGATACCCTATACGAATCGAGTTTCGAAAACAAAGGTTATGTACAAGTGGTTCGTACATTTCCCTATTTGCCATTTGTTTGAAGGTATCGTTCCCTTCCTCTTTCTCACTCGCTCTACAGCCCTTCTATGATTTCCCGTTACTCTTCTTCTTTATTGTCTCGACTGCCATCTGGTCTATGTTCGTCAAATAACCAATAAACAACGACTTAGTATCGAGTATACTATGTATGCATGCACGGTGTGCTCAAACGAATAGAGCTCCGCGTAAGAATATACTTGACGACATTGTTTAAATGCTCACACTGATGCATATTAAGTTTCTAATGACAGTTGCTCTGTTAAACGATAGATGCATTTTGTAACCATTTACTTGAACAGATTATATACGAACATAGAGAATGTTTAAATAAACTTATACACACGAGTAGTCCGTTCTATTACGTATGCCCTACGTTCTATAGTACGTTCCATGAACAATGAAACGGATCCAAACAAAACTACATAGGTAACTGCGGCAGAGTTGCACTGACAAGAAGGTAATTCCCCAAATGCATAGAAATATGATAAAATTTATACAAGCTACCATTTACATGAATAAATAATGATGAATTATTATGCAATCGTATACTCGTTATATTGACGAAAGAAACTATATAATAACATCAAACAGAATAATATAAATAAAACTATTTCGATTCACCGGGTTTCGGATTTAGGCATGTCTGCCTAGAGCGTTGTATCGACATAGACCAATGAAATTTTGGTCACATAACAAATTTATATCCAACTTCATTGTCTCGTGGAATGTACATATTTTATACGGTAAAGAATTCATATACAATACTCTATTTTAACTTATGCAACGAGACATCTCAGAAACTAAGCTTCATCGAAAAAATTGTAAGGTTCGTTCGACGTTGGTCTTGTTTTGATAGAGTCAAGGTCATATAGCTTTACTGGGGTCAGTTTAGTTTTTCAAAGTAGGAATCCCTATTTTTTATGACTGATTTAGATTCTTTGTGAAGAAATAAACACCTTTAGTTCTTATCAATTTTTCGATTTGATCTTCTGCTTTCGAGATATATGTATATTCTATTTGGGAATCAACCCTTGTTTCAATTTGTGGTGGATACAAAGTCAATTAGGTTACTTCTTCGCTTACTATTCTCCTGTCTCGACTACGGAGCGATAAGTCGAAGTTTGTTCGTCGGAGAAATGGATTAGACAAAAAAAAAAAAAGTACATTGCATTGCTTGTTTTGGTACATTTGAAAACAGGATAACTTCCCGACTCGGGAAACAATTACTGGAAAATCTTTTCAGGAAAAGGGCACACGATATTGTTGTACATTCGTGTAAATATATGTACATATATATATATATATATTTTAAATATACTATAACAAAACAGTACAAAATACAACAAGCGTTTTGGCAGTGTAATCATTATGGAATTGACCACAATACACCAATAACAATTTGCCTATGTGTGTTTGTATATTATATAACATAAGTTAACGTCATTTTCATATAATGATTATCTACCAACGATTATCTTCTCGCGCTCTGATCTTATACGGTTACTATAGTAAAAAATTGATTCACGTCATGGGTAAAATTGTAAAAATTCTTTATCGGGCCTCGACGATCAATTGGCAGTTTTGTGCGTCTTCGTTCTCCACTGTTTCGAACGACGGTAGTTCCGCTTTAGTAGCTAAATGTAGAGCGTGGAACCATCTAAAAATTTTGACGTGCCTTGTAAAATAGTGAACGATATGATATACATGTATGAAAACAATGTAACCCACTTCAGCTTATCTTCTTCCGACGATGCTTGTAAATAATAACTTTTCCTGGAATGATGCATCTTAATGGCCTTGGGTCTATCTTTAGAACTTAAAGGATCCTCGTCGGATAATTGAATACCATCCGTAACAATAAAACCAGGCATAGGAGTCGCTGTCAGAGCCATACTTTCGGATTCAGATTTAAATGTGTATAAGACGAAATCGACACGCAACGCGAACCATCGGCGTATCCAAGGTTTACTTGGCTGAGTCTTTAACATAAGATATCCGGATATAACGGAGGATGCACTTGCCGAGATTTGCAACAAACTTGGTACCGGTCCGGACGGAGACGACGAAGACGATGATTTGGAAAGCGGTTGCGTTAACGTAGCGTAACATAGACGACAAACTCTCATGTTTTTATTATCTTCGAACAATAACTTTTGATTTGAACATTTACCGCAAATTACCTGCGCAACAAATAAAAGTAAAACAACATGAAAATCCGGGAAACAATATTCCCGTGCGTTTACGTGTCATTTGCAAATTCGTTATTTTCTAATATCATTTTCATTTCGATCCTTACGAAGCAGTGCCAATAAGCGGTACTCACTATTCCACAAGCTCTGCACTTGTGTTTTCTCTTCATTACAGAAAAAATTACATCGCACATCATGCACTTGGTTACGTCTTCCGTTTTCACATCAAGCGTTTTAACGTTTACAGTTTTCAGGCTTGCTTTTCTTCTCATAATCTCTTGCATAGTGTCGCAAAGTGCATCGAGCCACGCTGCCTTCTCCTCGGCCGAATGCGTGTACAGTTCGACGCTCTTGTCTTCGTCTCTAATGTAAAAAGTGTTCGCTGTTTCTAAATTGTCGCCCTCCATTACTTGCAAATTTTCGACCATGAATTTCGCTCTCAATCGGTACAATGGTCCAGGTATCAGTCTTATCGAACAAAGTAATAATAAATCGCTAAACTGAAAATCGGGAAAAATAAAGGAAATTTTTAGCACTAAAGCCTAGTGGAAGTAACGACAGATGATTAATTATTTTTACGTGATTGTGTTTACGTACATACATGCATAGCGTATTCCGTGTACGTACAAAGGTCGTGTCTACGTACACACGCGTGTACTTAAGCAATCGTACAGGTATTTGTGCTACAGTTATATACGTACCAAAAACAAGTGCCTCTCCTGGTGATCGCCGCTCCTCGCTGAAATCTTAACAATACGACCCTCTTTTACAAGTTCCCGCGTAGCACTGACTAGATCCGTTGTATCGTATATGCTCTCTTGTATCTCAAGAAGCTTTTTGAACTTGTCGATTTTCTTCATTGCGTCGTTCGTGTGATTAGCAGCGGTAGATACTAATTCCAATGCCTCTACGAGAAAGAAAGCCGTGTCTGTTCGTTTGATTCTACTACGGACATCTATTTAAACGTTTAAATAGAAGCCAGTCCTCGCTAGATGCGCGTTACTTTACGTGGAAGTAACTCCGAATGGTCCTTACTTTTAGCGTCCTCGTAATCAGCATTTCCTTTCGCGAGGTTTTTCAGGTAATCTTTCAGAAGAAGCTCGTACCTTGGTAATCTTTGTATAGGGCTCAACATATGATGGGACAAAGACAATTTGGCACACTCGTCCAATTTTTGAATGTCGTTAATAATTGCAGCAAATCTGGCGACTTTGACTTGCAGCGTTTGTATCAAATTCATGGCATAATCAAAGTTCTTTACATATTCTGTGTACATCTTCAAAAACGGTGCAAAATTCTTCATGATATCTCCGATCCTAGGATCCGATTCCCAGTTTTGTATTCTTTCTTGTAGCTGGGGCAATAGGAAGTCGTTGTGGAATTTGTAAATCGATTTGATATTCGAAAACATGTGTTGTACTGTTTCTGGAGGGAACATTGGATGCGCTCTGTTCTCTTGATCGACTCGAAATTGAAATACTTGATCGATCAATCTTAGAATATTAACGTAATTTTTTTCCGTAAACAACAGTTCTTCGACAACTTGACGTGCCTTTTTCTTTTTAGAATTCGAACACTGTACGCTACTATTCGATTTTATTTCGAACGCCGAATCAACGTGATCCGCGACTATCGCAGAATCCGTCTCCGACGATTTCGTGCCCTCGAACTCTTCTTCGCTCTCCGATTCGCTTATCGTGTACGAATCTTCAGCGTATCGGCGGGAGTTCCTCTCGGCAGCTAAATATCTGTAAACGTTTCAAATATATTATACTGTCGCGTCGATTAGCGCAAACCATGCTGCAAGTAGAACTTACCTACTACTTCTATACTCTAGTACGCTATGTGCCACACAAACGAATGGCACTTTTGTAGAATTTTCCTCATTCACACTGATATCAACACTATCTGTTGTATTTCCAGTAGACATAACAAATGGCCGAAATCGCGAGAAACCACCGAAGGTGGCAATTCTGCGAAACGAAAGCCCATTGTACCCCTCTGGCTCTTTACCATCTACTGTTGTGTCAGAATGACCACATGTAGTGCCTATGGAATTTTTATCTTTACATTCTGTTGTACTTAAGATTTCAGATTCATTGTCTTCTACATTAACTTCTAATTTGGTATAAAAGGTGCTATTAGACGTTTGTGTCTTTGAACCAAACATCTTAAACAAAAGATGTTTGCCTTCTTGTATCCGATCTTATTATTGTATGTTAAGAACAGCCTCACTGCCCAAAATGAGATATCTATCGATTGGCTTCCTTGCATCCTATGCCTGAAATCATTAATCAATGAAATACTCGACTATAATTGCTTTGCAAATTAAAAAGTTATCCAATGGTAATAAATTCATAATGCTTCTGTATAAAAAACGAAACAAAAAGGTACCTGTTTTCGATTTAATCATCATTTCACTTGCCAGATACATTACACAACTAATGTACATACACGGACTGACTGTTTTCACTTGCTTATAACAAAAGACAGTGTCAGTTAACAGCAATCAAACGTGTGCAAATACCAATGCTTGTACATACATACATGCACTTGATGGGTATGTACACCATTATACGTTTTTACATGTAGTGGACACGAATAACACTGTCAGCCCTATTACGCAGCTCTCTGCAAATTTCTATGCAATTAAATACTATGACGTGTTTTGGTAAAATATCCGAAGTCGACGGAGACAAGTTTACGTCAGATTGCACGTACGGTATAATATTTTTAGTTTTCTATTCGCTATATCTAATACGCGTGTCTTAACTCTGTATCAAAAGAAAAGTGATATCTTATCAACGACTATTGACGGATATTAACGGATATTAAATAAAGAAAAATAAATTTATCTATTGTCTCCGTAACTTCGGTCGACGTTGATTGACGTTGACCTCCTTATGATTAATAAATATAGGCTAACAGAGTATAGCGCCCGACCACACATAACTCGAATGCACCTTTAAATCAACGACGTAAACCCCACCTATGCCCATATATAATACATAAAATGTGTACCATTTGTACCCTATATCCCTTAATTCTTGCCGTTTGAGGGGAATACATCCCCTTCTCTTTTCTGTATGTATACATTTAGTTAAAAAGTAAATATAGAAGTGCTGCTTCGACCTTGTACGTATAAACTCACTAATATTATTAGCTTCTAGAATATTACGCAAGAGGCCTTAGAAACACTAAAATAAAAGGAAACGTCCACGATAATCCAAGAAAAAGAATTAATCGTCAGGAATAACTACGAAAACCTCTTGAGACTATACTGTTAAAGAAAAACCAAATATACAGATACAAAGTTCATTTATTTATCATCTTTCTGCTAAGATTAGAAGATTAGAAGATTGGAAGATTAGATTGAATTGGTCAATTCAAACATTCAAGTGAAATCACGTTAGATCATTTTTTAGTAAAGGTCCCTATAGTAAGTATACGGTCGCCATTTTAGATTGTACACCAATGAGATTCAACTAGGGGTTTAATACCGGTATCATTTTCATGTTAGCGAAACTATACCAAAATAAAATATCGTTGGAGTCACCAATGTCCTTTTACCAATCAGAAGACTTTGCATCTTGCGATAGATTCATGTAGGTAGTTAACGAATGCATATTTCAAGCAATATTTTCAAAGAATAAGGCATTTGTTTCAATTAGATACAGAGTCGTATTAAATAAATATCGAGTACATCGGAATTGACTAATAGGAAACAAGATTTAGCATATATGAGAGGACTGTTCAGAAAAGAGTTGTAGGGGACACTAGAGACATTTCCCTAGCACCTAGGGAAAGTCACTAGATGGAGCTGGTGTGGCAGCCGTGTAGAGCGCCACTCTACGCCAGTTGGAATAAAGCTCTGAGACAAGGAACACGTGTCGTACTGATATTCCCGTTATCCCTACGCATCCCTATAGTGGTGACCCCGACGTGATCCACTATAGGGATGCGTAGGGATAACGGGAATATCAGTACGACACGTGTTCCTTGTCTCAGAGCTTTATTCCAACTGGCGTAGCGTGGCGCTCTACACGGCTGCCACACCAACTCCATCTAGTGACTTTCCCTAGGTGCTAGGGAAATGTCTCTAGTGTCCCCTACAGAGTCGTATACGTTCCAATGAGAATGCCGGGTATCCAACAGCGATAGAAACTACAGTTCTATAAAAAAAAACCAGTAGCCTGGAAACACTAAAATTGTCAAAAAGAAACCAAACATAAATCGAGAACTGTAAAAAATGTACAATTATATTAAGATTGTACAAAGAAACGTGTAACAATACTTCGCAGCAATCTCACGCAGGAGAAGGCTATCGATCACGTCTTTTTCACTTCATAATGTTGCTGCGAAGAAAAAGTTCATGCTCGTCGAAATCGATTACCTAATGGTGCGTACAAGTGATATAGTATTTTCACGCTACTGCAATTTAGCGAATACTGTTTTCATATTATTCGGTACACGTTACCCGTCAAGAGATTTGGCGGGTGTACGAGTTTATGGGTAATATTTCCCAAGATTCTTTGGCACTGAGTCGTGAGGCTGCGCGAAACGCCGAGAATTGAATTTGTTGTACAAGAGGGAAAGAGAAAGAAACGCGAAAATAGAAACAAAAGACATTCGAATTTTGTATAAATTTTGCTCGACGCGGTCTTGCTGTCGTAATTAATTTAGCCCCATGTTCGTGATGCATGTTTATTCGAGCCAGCAACAAAAATGGCGACCGTCTCATCTTTCCTCACGATTTCGCGCGCTTCGTTATTCGATTTGCTCTTTTCGGTTTATTACTGCCTGATCGCTATCGCTACCTTTGTTGCTGTCACCGCGATAGTTAAATGTAACACCTGGCTTGCTTTTAGACATCGTCATTGGCGGTATATCATTACCGCCATGTAAATATTGACTCGCGTTTCATGTTACGATCGTTGCGAATTTGCGAGGGAACTTGATCCAACAAGTCGGTGGTTCCCTGTTGATTGATTATAATCATTCCTTCAAATGTTCGTACCGTGAAAAACCTGCGCAAACAACCGATTTCGCCGGTAATACTAATCCGGTGTAACAGCGTGCGAATCTTCGATGCATCGGAAACGAATCGTTGATAAACCCTATTTTAAGACAGATGCTTACCTGCGGACACGAAACTAAGACACAAAATAATGACGTGGATCATCGGCGATCATCGCGAAACATTGTTTGTTCGCAGCTCTGGATTTGTAACAAAATATGTCGACACAAGGCTCAGAGCTTTCGAGTTGCCTCGTGACTCGAGATGTCGAAGCCATGTCCGACGAGACGCAGGTAACATACTCTTTAGCTTGCAAATTCAACGAATTTTGTTTAACTACAGGTCTGCTCACTAAACCCTGTTCCCTATTGTTTGTTCTACAGGGAAATCGCGTGGATATATTGGAGTGCCTATCAGTCCTAATTAATGAAAACCACACTGAGAATGGTCGAACAGAAGAGTTAATATTAGACGAGCAGTTGTTGGGTGGCACAACATTGACGGCAGTGACATTACTCGATGGAACACAGGCATTTGTTGCAAATACTTTCAATGACAATGGTAAGAGACATTGTCTATAAGACTAATAGAACATTGAAACTTTTGCCTTATTATTTTCATACTCTGTACTAATATTTTGTATTCCTTCAATGTTTAGAGATGGATTCAAAGGGACAAGCAACATTTGAATTGGAGAATGGAGACACTATCTTATTGAGGGATGTATCAGAGTTTACCGATGGTAAACCGCTTCAATTGGAGCTAGATCCGACAACCTTGATCCAAACTCACAATGGCACCATAGAGAATATGGGAAGCACCTATCCAAGGGTGGAATTTATCGATGGTACTGCCTATATGGTGACTGGTCACCTTGACGTTGGCAAAGATTTGTGGGAAATCGACAGTAGTAAATTGAAAAAAAAGGACTCTAAAATCTTGCTAAACAAACTATCTGCCTCGAGGATCAGGCATCCTTGTCCGAGGGAGGGTTGTTCCAAAGTCTACAGCACTCCTCATCATCTTAAGGTGAAGGTCGTTTATGATAGTACAAGTCAGATCTGTTCATGCTTATTCAAGACTGTTGCAAAATTTTATCTATATGGACGAAGGTTTATTTTGGTTTAAAGTTTATAATCGTGGTCAGGTCTGATCGAATGTTTTACGATGTTAGTACTTTGCTAAGTTGGGTATAAAACGGTACCGTTGTATTAGGTGCACGAACGATCCCACACTGGTCAACGACCATATCGATGCACACATCCTAAATGTAAAAAAAATTTTTCGACGGGCTACAGTTTGAAGGCGCATTTGCGCACGCACACGGGAGAGAAACCCTACAAATGCCCGAACGAAACATGCGAGAAAAGTTTTAAAACTTCCGGGGATTTGTTGAAACATATTCGAACGCACACAGGAGAACGTCCCTTTTTGTGCCCGTTCGATGGTTGTGGCCGTTCTTTTACAACCAGTAATATTAGAAAGGTAAGGAACGAGTAGAACTTGATAAAATTAGTAGGTCGGCCATTGGAAAAGTATAATATATATAATCTTGTGTATGACACAGGTTCACGTTAGAACGCACACCGGTGAACGTCCTTACAAATGTACGCAACCTAAATGCGGGAAGGCTTTTGCCAGCGCGACGAATTACAAAAATCACATACGGATACATTCTGGCGAGAAACCTTACGTTTGTTCGATCGAAAATTGTGGTAGAAGGTTTACCGAATATTCTAGTCTTCATAAACATCATCTCGTGAGTACCGAGTCGTGATTAATAATAAAAAGTATTGATAATACTCGTTTCGTTTTCTATCTAGATAGGTTATTTTTATTTCTAGGTTCATACACAGCAGCGCCCGTTCGAATGTAAAGTCTGTTTCAGAAGATACAGGCAGAGCAGCACTCTTATAATGCACAAAAGAACGGCTCATGCTTTAGTCGATAACGATGATCATGTTGATGTTTTTTTTCAAGAATCTATACCAGAGTCTTCTAGTCGTGGCAAAGACAGGCGGAAGACGAATATTATACGAGACAACGGCAGTTCTCCGCTAAAGGTAACCGATAGAATACATCGTAATATACACGAGGAACGTTTCCCGAAAACATTCCTTTTCACGCCCCTGTTATGGAAGATTACAGAAAAAGATAGACAGATACAGATTCATTCCAAAGCGATTGATGATTTAAACGACAACGAAACGCAGATTCTACTGGTTGGCGATCCTTCGCAAATCGCAGCGTTACAGGTCAGTCAAGTTCAGTTTTTTTTGTTCCTTCAATTCGCTCTATAACAACACTGGCCAACACGAATGTCCACTGGACGAACCTTGGACACAGCAAAATACGACGTTAATGGATAATTATATATTTATATATAAATATTTATTAACGTTTTTATTTGTTGGACACTATAAGCTTTATGCGATAGTAATAACTCAGGCCATCTTCGGTGTTCATTATGTTCACAGAAGATCGAGTTAAATGGTGGGTTCGACGAACCTGGCATCGATACTTCGTTCGAAGAATTAAATATAAAGATCGAAGACATAGAGCTTGGATGGAATTAATATTTCTTCGATGGCACAAACTCAGAACGTTGAACAAAGAGTTGAGTTATCATTTTACGAAACGCGATTATGTCTGAACTAATTTTCTGATTCTATCGGCACGAATTATTTAGGTAACGTTTCGGTGTCGTAGATTGACACGTTCAATGCATTACCCGTATCGTGTTTCATTCAGAGTTGGGCGTCAATCGTCATTCGTTATTTTGATTAAATTTTGCCTAACACCGATCTCGTTCCGTGCGAGCCATACTTTTATAAACCTTCGTTACACGCTAAGAAGATGTATCTGAAGTTTTTCTACTATTTTTATCGAAGTTTAGAGACTGCAACCGAAGAGTTCACGTTCCTATTTTCCCTCTTAACGAAAGTTATGAAAGTGCAGTACGGAGTGTGACCGATCCGTGCCGTAAAATATGAAAGATCACGAGAACAGCCATCGCAGTGTACGTGTTAACGACAATTCAACTTTCTTGAATTTTCGGTGACGAGTGGAGAGATTTTTATGTTTATTATACGTAAAACAGAAAGATCGTTTCGTTTATTTTTTTAGAAAAGAAAAAAAAGATGCACACGAACAAGCATTTCATGTTTACAATTTGTACATAAAGCAACTACAGTTTTTTGATTGAGTTTTTTTTTTACAGTTAGGCTAAACGTCTCGTTGCACACATATATTCATTCCGTATTTCGCGTTTTCATTCCTGTTTTCATCCTATTTTTGTTGCGTGCCGAACCGTTCCGTTCCATCGCTTTAGATTTACGTTTCGTCGATTTTTGTTCGAACCATGCCGCTGTCGTCGATCGATACTACCGCGAGGAAAACTTTAATTTTAGTTCACGTCGCGGCATACGATGCCGCGAGAGAAGGGCATATAAAAGTTATAGAGAAATTATGAAGTTTGTGATAATATATCTTTTCAGTAAATAATACAATAATCTTATACGGTGCGAACGTGTTGTTTGTTAAAAAATATTGGTCCTGCGAAACTTTGTACCACCTATTTATCAACAATTTGCGTACCGGTATTATTAGTAAAAGAACGAAGATCGCCGATGAGACCCAATAAGAAGTTGATCGTTTCTTCTTTAAAAGGAAGACGACGTGTAAATCATCGGCAAATAACATGGCTATACTGGAGGATCGTGACAAGAAAGAAGTACAAATTGTTATTAGCACGGGTTTACTAACCAAACAACTTTATTAACATCTCGATCCACCGGCTTGAGATTTTTCGAGACGTTATTATTGTTAAGTCCGCGCTGCGTTACATCGAATATCGGTTTCGTGCGCGATTCGACGATATAACTCACATGTATTCTAGAACCGGTGATTTTGTATTTGTCTGATCGTTTTCATCGCGATAGTCGCGGCAAAATTAACTTCCGCGCTCGAGTACGCGTACCTCGACTGTTCCGTTCGAAAACTAAAATCGTATGCTTTTTATTTTTCCGTAAAGTTGTTAACCTTGACACGTACTCCGTGCTCGTACGAAATACCTCCTAGCAAGGGTCGTTGGAAATTACTTCCGAAAGTAGTACGCGCATACAAGCAGCCTTTCCGAGCAGATCTTGTTTCTCGTTCTCCCACCAGCGAAGAGGTTTTCGGATGCGATTGCCAACTAGTCCACGTTCGGACGAGTCGGCTTGCACGGATAAAAGTCGCGGGCACCGTCTAGTTCAAACCGATTTTTTAACGACTCGACGTTCAAGGTACATCAATCGGTCGATACGAAAGAGATTCGTCATCGAAAGATCGAACGTAACGTAGTTTGTCAAGTATCATCCTCGAGACCGTAAAAGTTTGCTCGTTGGATAACATGGAAAAGAAGCATTGCGAAGCGTACGTACTTGCTCCAACACGGGTGTGTCAACGTTCAGATTCTGACAGACGTGTATGAGTTTAACGTTTAATTCGTCATTCGCGGACGACCCAATTATTCAGTTCACAGTCGTTGTACATTGGTTTACGTACCTACGTTTCGTCGTGTCCCGTATTACGATTTGTATCGCGTTCGTTTTACGTGTTTCTCCTTCTTTTTATTTTTTTCTTTTTTTTTGCGGCATTTTTACGCAGCTACAATTACGCGCGTAATATTTTCGAGAATCCGCGACCGCGTCTGTCGTCTCGTTAAATTATTATCCGAGAAATTCGCGCGTAAATGTTTAATCGAGGACACCCGACGATGGTAATAGCAAAAGTGAACACTTCAAGAACAAAGAGTTAATTGGAATAGCAAACTACAAGGGAAAGGCGAAGGATGCGCGAAGATGCGCACATACGTACGCGGAGAGAAACTTTGACCGAGGAGATATCAGCGGTGAAACCGTATTTGGGTTTTCGAGGCACAGTCGAAGGCGTCTTCATCCCCATCGTGCGGTACGTATTCTCCCGTTTGTGGTTCGTTGATTCAGACGATCGAAATCGTTTTGGTATCTTATTGCTTTACTTCCGATAGCTTATTATCGAAGGCACTTTGCACTTGTTGCTATCGTGGCCCGTTAATCCGCGTTTATTCGGTATCTGTTTGAAAGTCGTCTCGATGTGTAAAGAAGATAAGCTACTGTAATCTGCGGGATCTCTACGAAAGGAAGCTACGCGAGTATTCAAAGGCAGATCAGCCGATCGTAATAGCATCCCCGCAGCATCGTTTCTTCGATCGTTTCCCCCTCACATTTCAGAACGATGGAATTGCTCGTGACATCGTTGCATTAGCAAAGAAATCGTTGGGTCCAGTTAGAGCGACGATCGTCCGTGTCGTAGATAAATTAGGCCTGATTCTACGAGCTCGGTTAACCAGAGAAATATTTTACTTGTTCCAGATACCGAGTCCCTTTAACGATCCTCAAATATCCGATGGTACCATAAGCCAAACGAACTCATTTTGGTCCAAGAGCCAATTTATTCTTTGCTACCGTGTCCCTGGTCATCGATGTCTAATCAGAATATGAATAAAACCTGGTATGAAAGTGATCGAGAACTCTTTTTAAGAAATTTTATTTTTGTATCGATTTTATTCTAATTAGAATCTTTAATGTAATATGTAAAAGTATGAGGAATATGATTAGCTTATGTCATACTAGTCGTTATTATGCACTAATTATAATGCAGGAAACGGTGATAAAGCTACGATAAGTTAAAAGCACGTTAGTTCCTTTCACTGTTGAAATTAGATTAGATTAAAAATTCTTTTTACGAATATGATATCGTTTTTACCGACATGCGTATATTTTTATTGCTCAGTCCGTCGAATCTTGAGTTATGAAAATCGAAGAAAGGTGTTCATCGGTTAATCTTGATCTTCCAGACGTTTTGCTGTACTTCATTATCGAGCAAAGTTGTTTACATAAATGTATGCTCCATAACGTAGATAGTCCGTGTGAACAAAATTTCGTATAATAAAAAAAGATTAGAAAATTGTGAACAAATCAAGCCCGTCGTAAATTATTTCGTATTACTATAAGCGACTGTTACTTGCTTTACTCGCTGGCGGTATTAGCGACAATATGGTCAAAATCTCAAATCTAGTCCATTATACGCGATGTAGCCGAACGTGGACGGTCACAGTAGGGGAAAATTGTTAAAATCGTTCCACTTAAGATATTTTATCTTTTACCTTTCATTTGCTACCACTTTGTGCGTAAATTAATCTCGGAAATTCTAGTTTGATCTTTAAGACTCTATACGCGATATGTTAAATCGTTTATCAAGAATTAATCAATTTCGTATAAGCCGTTTTATAATATAGTCTAAAAGTCAAGAAGAGAAATTACTATACCACGTCATGTTTTATCAAAAGCTTACATAAATTTTAAATTTAATTTCCTCAACTTCCTCGCGACTGAATAGGAGTCTAATATTCATCTTGATTAACAGTTGTTAACTACTTGCACCGCTAAATTATACTTTTACACGGTAACGATATAATCAAAGAGGTGATTTAGGCGATTTAGGCGACTGTGAGTTAGGTAATTCTTTCGTAGCTATCGTTTTCGATCAAAATGACGCCTAGTTTTTTGGAACATAGTTTTGCTTCTACGAAAGCCTATGGATTAGCAAATATAAATGTTCTTCTTCTTCTTCTACTTCTTTTCGGTGCGATACTGGCACTATCAGCTTCGTAGTAACACCATTTATCTAAATATAAATGTTCTTCCAGCGATCAGGGATCTCAAAACGTATCGTTATAATTTCGAGAAACAAGGAAGCGATGCGTAAAGAAATTTCGAGAACTTTTTAGCCCGAAGTCGCTTATAAGTTCTGAGAATGGATCGCTTCCCGATGCGATAGACGGGTATAAAACGCAAAAAGTAGACCGCTGCGAAGGAAATATAAATCGATGATTCACGGGCACAACAGAAACGAACGTGTATTCTCTTGGACGATAAATCATCGGTGCGATCGATCTTGTCCTTCGATCTTTCAACCGACAGAATATATTGCGCTCTGCTAAGTACACCGTGCGAGTTACGTAAAGAGCATTGCCGAAGGGAACATTTTTGTCGCCAATTGCGCGGTAACAGCGAAAATTGTTGTCACGCGCCTAAGAGGGACGTCCCTAAGTCCGTCATTGACCATCGAAACGATCGGTGTATCGCCTCCAACGGCGCGTACGTGAAAAAAACGCTGGACGTAATCGCCGGCTACCGCCTTTGACAAAACCACCTTTGTCTAGAGCATTCTCTTTCATTAGGGTCGTGTCATCTCCCGTTTCAACCGGTAAGAATTGAAAATTGGCCCGCGTTCTTGACTCATTGTTGCGCGCGTTTTCCTTAAACGCGGCCGAACCTATCACGCGATCAGTCCTCCGTGTCCAACTGTCCGAGCGTTCGTTAGTTTATCTGGCTCGTCTATCTGTCTATTTAGCTCGTTTGCCTGCGTGCCTCGAGAAACGCACAAATAACACGATCGTCGCCATCGAACGGTTTAAACATCCTCCAGTTCCTTTCCCGCGAACCAAATATCAATTTTCGATCGAAGAGATCTCTCACCCCATCGGTGAGCGTTGATAAACTTGTCTGACGTTTGTACCTTCTTCTTTGCAGGGTACACGGAGATTCCAGGCGTCCAGCGATGAAAATGGAACCGATCGAACACTGAAAGCGCAAAGCATCGATCGTGTTTATCGATCATGGCCGGTTCCCGACACTTAAAATCGTATCGGATATCTGACGGAGCCAGAGTCGACGAGGGAGAAGAAGGTGATTTCTGAAGGTCGCGAAATCAGAGTCTAAAGAATTATCACGCGATAATGGCTCATCGTCGTGGTCTACTTGACCGTCCGTAATCTGCTTTTAGTGTTGTGGTAGTAAGAATCGCGGCGTATCCGTCGATCCAAGCCGCTCGCGGCTTCGTTGTTCCGTCGCGTTCGGTCGGTTGGACCAAGTACGGGATAAGTAGCATCCAGAAGCGTGGAGTCGCGATGATACGCGACGGGAAACCGCGTTCCTTTCACGTCGCAGGTCTTCGCCGTTGCTCCTGACGTCGGCCCCCGGAGTCTGCAACCAAAGAATGTCGAAGAAACAATGGATGGTCCTGCTGATGCTGTTCTTGACTTACTTGCTGCTAGGTGCCTCCATTTTCTACCATATCGAGAGCCGTCTGGAGATCGAGCGCGTCGAGAAGGCCAAACAGGAACGCATCGAGATCAACGGTGAGCGCACACCGGGCCCCCCGTTAAACTGTCTTCCCGTTCATTCAGTAAATCGTTATTCGAGATACCCATCTCTTAATCCTTTAATTGCGATCCGTTGTTAACGATCGATCAACGAATTCGCCGTGCCGGACACCGCGATAAAGATACGCGATGGAAGCGACGATACTAAGTCGTTGACTTTCTTTCGTTGGCCGTTAAATCTTTCGTCGTATCTGTTCGATCAAATATTTGCCGCTGCATCGTCGGGACGACGGGTCATTTTGTAAACTGAGAGGGATGGAAAAACAAATTTTTGCTTGCTGGCCCCGTTACGGAATAGCAAAAGAATAGAATCAGATTTGGAGAATAAAGGGGACTAAAGATGTTTTAAAGCTAGTCTAAATGTAATAGCTGTGTATATTTTAATTTGCTATCTCTGGTATAGAAACATCGTTTTTCTGTTTTTGGGAGCGCGTTTTAAAGAGATTGGGAAACCATTGCGACGATAGTGCCGTCGAAATAGCGTCGATCGTTACAAAAGCGATTATTTGCGAAACGGTCTCGCCCAGCCACTCCTAAAACGTATTTATCCGGGGAATTAATCGCTACTGGCCCCAAACGTTTCCTCCTTCGCGTACGTGTTCCAAAACTGTGTTGAGGATCAGATTTACGACGGTCATGGTACTCCGTAACAGTCGCCGGTTTTGATCCTCGTGGAAGGAATACGGAATACGGAATACGGTTGCAAGGAAATTGATCAATCCTTGTTGCTCCATGTAACTTAACTGTTTTATTTTTGCGTCACTGTACAGTATTTGCCAAAATCTTCGATCTTAGCCAAAAGAATTAGTTTCCCCTGGACTTGCCCTGCCATCGGAGAAGTATGTTTATCGGTGTTTATTGTTCGTAATCGTTATCGTCGAAATTATATTACCGCAGATGTGTTTCCTCGAATCAGAGTCGATAAGTAATCGGAGTCTCTACAATTCGAGCGACGTAGGTGGCCATTTTACTTTAACGGATGGAATGCTTCGCCCTGGAAACCATAGTTTTGTACGAACGTCCAGTCGTGATAGAAAACTATCAGTCCGTTGCACGGACGTAAATAAAGTATTGGCAATTTAGAGCAGGCGGTCGATATAATTGATAAATAAATACGTGGCGATAAGATTCTTTGGATAACACTAATCCGAAAGTAGATACGTGTGATTTAAACGTCACATTCAACGGTGGCACACGATGCAGAGCGAACAAAGTTTCGAACGTGGGAGCGTCGATTGTAGATTAGGGTGAACTTCAGTGATTGTCCTTTTTTATCAAAATTTAATCATTTCTGTACTCTGCATTATATTCAACATTTTAAAAGAAACCAGCTTGAAGTGCACGTTTTATCATCTATTGTTATTATCAGCAGAAACACTAGTTATAAATCGCTATACTGGAATTAATATAACAAATCAGAGGAAAACAATAATGTATCTCGGGATGCAATGATAAAAGATATTTTTAATTGAAGTCTGTGATTAACGTGTTTTTATTTGCGTTCGGATAACGCTGCAATTTGTAAAATGAATCGCTCGTCCTCTTCGCTTCCATTCGACCAATTATCCTCTCGCATTAATTTAACATCCAGTTTTGCAATACCGTTCGCAACTTCTACTTTGAAATTTCGTATCATTTTACTTCCACGGAGGAAACATTATTTTCCGGCTTGTTATTAAGATCCTGAGTCACGAATATTTCACTTTCAATATTAATATGATTATCAAAAATGATAATGTTGCGTTTTCGGATGTCACATGCCATAAATGACTACATCATTTCTTAACCGGTTTCAGATCTTGATAAGCGACCGTAGATACTGGAGCTTAAATCCATGCTTGGATTATAAATTAGTTAGAAATATACGTATCCTCGTATGTGAGATCCACTTGAGCGATGAATTGGGGACGCACGAAAAGAAGTTCATGTAAACCCATGTCCTATTCGACCTTGTTCCTGAATTATAGCCATTTTTGTACTCCAGTGGTACTTGTTTACCTTCGCAGGATGTGCTCAAAACGACTACCTTCGGCCCAAATACGCAGAGTGTTTTCCAAGGGCATAATTGCAAATTATAACTACGGAGCGCCTCCTATATGTAATTCAATTATTCCAGCATCGACGAAGGTGTTATAAAAATAAAAATCTAGCCACAAGGCCTGTCCATCTGTTAGAAAATCGTTCGTCCAAGAAGTGTATGGCTCTTCGACTGAAATGGAACGGTGCACTGTCATACATAAACCATATGCGACGTACACCTAATGGAACTTCTTCCAATAACTCGTACGACTGACTACTCAAGAAATTGACGTGAGATTGACTGGTTAATCACTCATTAAAGGAAACAAGGAGTTATCGAACGTTGTCCGCAAGCTTAGGAAAATCACTTACATCCGTCAAGTTTGTGATTAAAAATAATTATAACTCGGAAACAACGTCAAAGGAGACATATAAAACCTTGTCCAAGCTTTTTCACGTATCTCCATTTCTAGTATAGTGATTCTATCTTATCGATACCGATTGATGTCTTATTTACAGTAATGATTTTAGGGAGTCGACACCTGCGCGAATATTTTTACTTTCCATAGATTATTAAAAGGCACTCGTAATATTTGGCGATTGATAACTTACACAGTTACCATTAAAGAAAAATTCCGACTTTGACCAACTCTCTGTTAGCTCATGAACGATTCGTACACGGCTCTTTTGCTTATTGATCAAAGCGTACTATTAAAGATCTCAGATGCTAGAATTTAATACAAATGCTTGCTCCGCTATGTAATATAATACAAGAATATATCCTCGGTTAAAAAATCACAAATAATTGTACGTTGCTGTTTGTATACTCTGCGTCCGTGGTTCTAATTTCTAACTCGACGGCCAAGGGCTGTGCCCATCAGTGACCCTTCTTCGTCGGTCATACAAGATCACGTTGGCGCGTGTCGCGTGCAAATGACTAAATTACAACTGATGCAATTATCGTGCACCACGTATTAGCTGAATGAAATGCAACTCCCCACGTTTTGCCCCACTTTCCCCTACACAGAAAGGAACACCAGCGTCTTGTAACCTTTTACGTTCGTTATTTTTTTCAGCGTTGCTTCACACGCACTACGTGCCCAGCAATGTCCACAGTTATGACGAGATACTAAAAAAATTGACGCGATACTGTGGAAAGTCGGTCTACAATTACACAGAGGACGAGATGGACCCTCTGAAATGGGACTTTTACAACAGCTTTTATTTCGCCTACACCGTCGTCAGCACTATAGGTATTTATCGACGATTAGCTTAGTATTTGTTAAAATTTTAACGCATCAAAATTGAGAAGTCTCAAGATTCTGTTATCAAAAAATAATTTACTGTTCAGAGAATTATATTTACATGTGTTTGATGTGCTAAAGATCGTAAAGACTTCCGTTAACCACTGTATCGTCGTTGATGGGCGCAAAAGAAAATGGCGGGAGCGATTCCAAAGTTGGAAACGTGGAATGTTCGATTTTCGGGATAATTGTTTCTTCAGGTTACGGGAACTTGGCCCCCACGAACATACTGAGCCGGATCTTGATGATATTTTACGGCGTGGTAGGCATACCTATAAACGGGATTTTGCTGACGCAGTTGGGAGAATTCTTTAGCCACGTGTTCGTCAAAGCGCATCAAAAGTACAAATCGTACAAGCACGGCCGCAACGATTATCATCCGAGAAAATTGACCACGTTCGAGACGAGGAAACTCGGCCTCGCCGCGCAGATCTTCGTTTACCTGACGCCCGGATTCGTCATGTTCATATTTTTCCCGGCGTTTCTTTTCTCCCATTACGAGGGCTGGAGTTACGACGAGGCAGTCTATTACGCTTTCGTCACGCTAACGACCATTGGTTTCGGGGACTACGTGGCAGGTAAAAAACATTTAATCACGCTGATTTTCTTTATGAATCTGTTTTAAAACTCTAAGATTTACGAAATATTACGGCAATTTTTTTATTTGCGCAAACCAAGAAGTAATATCATAGAAATTATCTACATACTTGTAACAAACCTTATCACGATAGGGACTATAATATTGCCTATCAGAAGCACTCGAGCATCACATCCTTTATTACAATGGTTTAGAAATTTTTTTAAACTCATTGCACAATCTAAAGGAAGATTAATCTCTTCGAACTTACTGGGCAATTTAGAGCAAATAAATCTGGCACGCTACTCTTAATCCTATATAATTATACGCTTTAACGATAGTAATTACCAAGATATTTGGTCAATGTAGCGGAGCAATAGAATTTTAAGAAATGTGCATTTGAAGTTTCCAACTAGCAATAATTACACCCTAATAGGACTCGATTGGTTACGATATTGCTACTGCAGAGCTAACTGCAATGTACTAATAGATAAATTGTACTTACGGTCATACTCAATCTAATCAGCTATTCTTAGTCAGTAAAGTAACCCCTCGTAGGAATTGATTTTGAGCATTGTCAGGCAGTTTAAACCTCTTTGCTTGATTTGCTCTTGTCACGAGCACCTTCTACTTTAATCGTCTAACTCAGGCCCACGAAAAAGTAGAGAAACATAGTTATAAATAAAAACAAATATTCCCCCGAGAATTCGAAACCATAATCCACCCCTTAAAAAATTAATTAATCGTATGATCTTTTGTACACGCTTATACGAGAATTCCACGTCTCGAAGTAAGTAGAGTCTCCAAGTATTTAATGGCGTAATTGAAAAAAAATTAGCGTGGTTCAGACGCTGAAGAAATTGTTTCGTATTCGACAGGGCAAGACAATAGCAAAGGTAGCGGAGTGTTTTTCATTCTGTACAAAAGCTTCCTGATATGCTGGATCTCCTTTGGATTGGGTTACATCGTTATGATCATGACATTCATCGCCCGCGGTATGCGCAGCAAAAAGATCACGAGAATCGAACGTAAACTGGCGTTAAATTTAAAGCACACGCAGAGTAAAATATGGAACGAATTCAATAAAGAGATAGACTATGTGCGCCGTGTCTTCAATGAACTTCAACTGTCCAAAGTCAAGGTAAAGGAACACATTATTGCGTTTGTCCACGCTTGTTCCAACTAGCAATTTTTTATCCTCAACTCACCTTCCGAAACGAGCGGCTGACATTCGATTTATTTGTTGTTGCAGAGAGTGTACGTGGACGAATGCAATTACGAGGTCCCGCCGGCGAAGTTCCCGCGAAGCAACAGCTTTCCCGACCTTCGTGATTTGCTGCATGGCGCGAAAGGGAACGACAGTATGCGTTACTACAGACCTAGACGTCGCGCCAACAGCGAAGTGGTGCCCACCGAGGTAAGGAATCTGGTCTCGTTAGAGTCGAGAATCTTGTTTACATGTTTTCGAACAAATCAGGACTAGCCTCCAGTCAATTTTACCTAATTTATGCGTATTAAATGTCATTGGGAATGCTACAAAATATAAAGTATAACATTCCTATGCATGGAAAGCTAGCATAGCAGCCAACGTGTCAAAATGTATGCATTGCGGATGTGAAAGTGATTGAGTGTCTGAAAATATCTGTTCCTGTAACGCAAGAGCTTCTATCACAAGAATTCCGTTGAAAAAGTTCCGACCCTTGCTCCTTGATACAAGATTTCCAAGCCGTCTAACGAATGTATTCCATAGGAGGATAAAATGGCGCGCGTGGTCTCGGAGACGGACCTCCAGAGGATCGACAAAACGGCAACCTTCGCGACCCACGCGATGGTTCAGCCGGCAGAGCTCCTGGCGAGATTGGTAAACATTCTTGGCTACATGCCGCCAGCCACCGACGATATCGGAGCCGATGGCTCGAATCAAACCACTTTCATAGAGACGGAAGCCCTCCAGCGCAGCAAAGTCGACGAAAACGTCAAAGACCCGTCGTCGAGAAAGAACTCGATGTTCGCGCCAAGTAACGTCGGGCCAGGCAACTGGGCGATCGGTAACGATCGAATACTGCGCACTCAGCCCCGTTCGAGGGCAGCCAGCGAAATCAGACTGCACGAAACTAAGAACGAGGATCGTCACGTGGACTGGACGTGGTCCGGACCGACGGCCACCAGAAAGATCCGCGAGATGATGAAGGCGCGTACGACCGAAACGTCGGGCAAGGATAATCGCGTCGCCAAGGAGGCCAAGTTCTCCAAGCTTCGTAACTTCTCGCTGGCCAAGTCCGTCCCGAAGGCGTTGATTTCGTCCGCCGCTTGGAAGAATCGTTTCACCTCCAGCACGGAGAAGAAGAGCGCGGAGGCGGAGCGCGAGATCAATAGCAAGGACGCCGCGGAATTGTTCATGGCGGGACTTTCGTCGCCCGAGGACAGACGACGGGACTCGATCTTTGCTTCGACCTCCGAGGGGAATTATTACACGCACACGGGGGCTGGTAACAACGATCCCTCGGAGGCGGAAGGCGGTAATCTGCTCGAGGAAACCAGCTTGGCCGATTTCCTAAGGGCTCTGACGTTGTTGCACGCCAGCGTCGCCACCACCGGCAGCTGGACCGCCGGGGTCACCGACGACGATCCGACTGAGCGAGAATCTCGACCGCGAAGAAAAATGGGCACAGCTTCCCTGTCGCCACCGAAACTTCCCAGCCTTTTCACCTTGTTCTCCCCTCTGCCCGGCTCCACCACGCAGAGCAATCAAAATACCATCACGCAAGAATCAAACGGATCGTCGCTGGCTCAAATCGGTCGGGACGTGAGACGGGGCAGCTTGGCGTTCATCGCTCCTGCGACCGTGAAACCGAGACGATTTTCTCTGAGGCCAGTGGCGACGCCCATCAGCCCCCCAACGCCCCCGAGCAGCGGTTCGCCGTTTCTATCGGTAAGCTTAACTTTCGGTAAACATCACAACATAATGGACACTTCAGCGGGAAAAGAATGAATAAAAACGTCACGTGTAAACACTAGCGTCCACGTTACTCATTTAGATAAGATTTACTATCGTTTACCGTGTAAAGATTTCTACAATCGCTTATTGTATATTTCCAGTTATCAATATCTATACAATATCAGCGCGAAATAAAGATATACTCGCGACAATTTTGGCATTCGGAATAAGTGGCCAGATGTTCTTAAAGAATGTTTAAAAATATTGGACATATTTATAAGTGAAAAAATATCATAAAGAAATATTAATCAAATTCCAATATCTTCGTGTATAACAATATCAAATGTATTTAGATTTATTCGCGTATTACACGATCACACGTTAATCTGATGTTTACGTTTCTTTTAATGCGTAGCAATAATATTTACGCAAAGTAATTGCGTAACGGGGTTAATGATTTCTTTTGCCAGGACTCGCGACGAGTGCCGTATGAAAACAACTCGACGTTTGTGTTCGACTCGCACAAGGAGCCCCTCATTCGAACGGAAGGTGCACCGGGTCTGTCATCGCCGATGGTATCGCAACCACCACCCCCGCCAACCGCAAGCAGTCGACCTTTCCCATTAAGACCCGCTCAGAATCAAGGTGGAATCTCAACGGTAGGAAGCACGACTCCCGTCGTTCCTGCGCTGAAAGCTATACCTCGTTGGAAGGCTGGCATGCTCCAACGGCAAATCGGTCAAAAGAATCTTCGACGTCGGGTCAGGGCCTTCAGTCTGAGCGACGTTCACGTGGACGATCTTAAGGAAAAGACCACAGAGTCCGTTAGTCCATCATCCAATATCTATGCAAAGAGAAACAGTCGCGATATATTACGTAAAAATGATGGTTCGCGCGAGGCCAGCGACGAACCCGCGAGATCTGTCGAGAGTTCAGATCCAAGAGATACTACGAACATTCGATTCGAGGACAAAAGCACTTTGCCGTCGACGGAACGTGCTATGCCATATCCGCGATCGGATGGAAATGGAGGAAAGGAACAATCATTCAAAGATAATCCGCCAGTTACCCGTAACAATGAATATACTCCGTCCGTCATTACCGATATAAAATCGTGGCAACCATTGGTGGAAGTGAAAGTAGAAACTCCCGTTGTGGGTTCTGTTCAAGATTCCGTTTCAAAAATAAATACCGGCGTACCCGGAACGGACTTTCTCGATCTCACGGAACTGAAAATCGAGAAACCCAAGCCAAATTCTAGTTCGAGCGAATCGTGACACAACGCCATTGTTTGAAGGGCACGATGTCGCGACAAGTCTAGACTAATTATGATTAATATAAATATCTTCGTAGCTTTTACGACTTGACAGTGATGTGATTTACAGATTTGGGACGCAAAAACTAACACCATTAACGAAGGAATTGTATTTTTTTGCAATACGATTCCTGAAACCACTCAAATTTTATTCGATCATTCGATACAATAAATTAAGTATAATTTAATTTATAATGGAACGAAACCTTTTTTTCTCCTTCTTGGTGTGTCAGATGAGGGTATCGAATGTGCGAATCAATAAGAAAAAATATGCAGTATATTTTCACAGAAGCATGAAACGGTCACTGTTTGGTATCAAATTAAATGCATAAAATGGGCTAAATTTTTAAGTAATTCATGACTTTTGTAGCCTCTTCCTTATCTCTTCGACCAAAGTTCCACGGGGAATCGGAACCTCCGCTCGAGTCGCAACATCTCTCAACGTAACTTCGCCTCTCGTCAGTTCCCTTTCACCGATTATTATGGCCAACGGTATACCATTCTCTTCGCAGTATTGTAACTGATGGAGTAATTTTACGTTCTTTTTGTAGGACTGTTCGGCTTTCAATCCAGCGGTCCATAGGTCCGATATAATTCTCATTCTTTCTTCGTGCAAATTCTTTTGCGCGCTCGCCACGTACACTTCCGTTTCGTTCGTGCGAGTTTTTAAACCATCGCGGCTCAGTTTTGCTTCCAAGACACTGAAAATGCGCTCGACGCCCAACGATAGACCGACACACGGGACCGTTTTGTTTTTGTTGTCGAACATTCCCACTAAATTATCGTAACGACCACCGCCCGCAACACTGCCAACGCCGACGTCGTCACCTAGAAATAAAATCAAGATCGATTCTATAGATCAGTTTGTCGTTCGATGTCATCATACACTCACCGATTAATATCGCTTCGAAAATTACACCAGTGTAATAGTCGAGTCCTCTGGCAAGACTAAGATCGAACTTCACTTTATCCATTATTTTGTAAATATTACAATATTTGAATAACAGTTCCATTGATTCGAGACCCTTCGCCGCGGACCCGTGTTTCATCAATTCAACGTTATTCCTCAATTCGGCGATCAGTTCCACTCCACCGGTCCGCGACACGTACGTTCCGATATTGTCGGCGCTCGTTTCGTTCAATCCCTTTTCTTCTATCATTTCTTTCCTGACTTCCGACCACGGGCTCTTGTCGAGTTTGTCGATAGACGAGCAAATACTGCGAAACTTATCTTGCGGAACGCCGCAAGCAGCGAATATACCATCTAGCAACAATCTATGGTTAAATTTGATCATGTAAGGCCCTACGTCCAACGATCGTAACGCTTCGCAAATAATAAGGATGCATTCCACATCTGGCATCATCGGATCATACTGACCAGCTATATCAAAATCCTTGAATAGAACAAACGGTAAATTACAGGAACGCGTTAATATACTTACCGCAGTTACACATTTTCAAATAATTATACGCGGTTATCATTACTTCACTTACACATTGATAAAATTCCCTATATCTGCCCTTTGTTGTGGCTGGATTGTCCCTTCTGTACACCTTTGCTATATGGTACCTTTTAATGCTGGAGACCTTTCCCATGGCCAAATACCTAGCAAAGGGTACAGTTAGATCGTATCTAAGGGCCAAAATCTCTCCTCCCTGATCTTTTAAATCGTAGATCAGTTTTGAATCTTCCCCATATTTCCCTGTCAACACATCCTAAGCCAAAAATAATTCAAATTCAATCAATTTTGTTATGTTCATATAATTGTAACCACATAGTTATACTTTATACACACTTTTAATTCAAACACAGGTGTATCTATAGTCTCTGCCCCGTGTTTCTTAAAGACAGAAATTATTTTATCCAAAACCCCCAACCGTAATGCCATTTGTTCTGGTCCATAATCTCTGGTGCCCTTAGGTGTTTTAAGAATAAGCTTGGATGGGGCATTCTTTTCACCCACTTTAGCTTTTAGCTCCAACAATTTGGCGACTTCATCCGCTATCTACGCAAAACAGGAACAACTACAGTTAAATGCAATATGCAAGTGGATTTGAAATCTTTGCCAAAAACACCATAGATTTAGATTGATTTCTCTTCTTGTTATTAGACTAACAGAATGCTTATACGACTTTTGCATACCTTTAGCCCCGAAACCATGGTTGCATGGCAATATTTTCGTACAGCGTGGAAGATATTGGTCCGTGTTGGACGTAACATCGCAAAGGAAGCAGTCATTTTTAAACAACCAGAATGAAAGAGAAAAGTCCGCCTCAATGTTGATTATAAAACTAGCCGAAAGAACAGACAGTACCATGTAAGTAAGCCGACAAGCAAATGCTATAAATTACATTCTATTTGTCTTTGATTTTTTATATCCATAAATAGATATTGTAAAGGCATAAGAAGATAATACCAAACAATTTCCAAAACCAATAATTTATAGCAACTTTGCCTGAGAGCAAACAACTGCCTCACCTTCTCATCAATTGTACTTGAGTCAACAGGGCACAAATTGTGTATGTGATCAACCTTCCTGGACAAGGAAGAAGTAACTTGTCCTTCTGGGTCAGAAAATGCGACACGCTCCGCTCGATCGAAGCTTTGAATATTTATAAACCACCTTTTCAAGTGTGGCCATTTCGAGAGTCGATCGCGAAGGGTAACACAGAAGTCAAACAGTACTGCATCTTTTGTAGTAGGCACCCAACCACAGACATAACTGACATCCGCGAAATCGTGGTTTATGCTTTCCAACTGTGTTTCTATATCCCAAGAATTCGTTAAATCCTAAAGGATGGAAAGCGATGCGACACTGCGATTTTTGTTAAAGGTTAAGATAAATGAAAACTACTAAAGGTATTGTCCGTAGGAAGTCGGCGGATTTGTTCTCTTTCTCAAAAAAGAAAATAATCGCACCAGGAGACAATGAATCGAAGAATAAAATATTGGCTCTTGCAAAAACAAATTAATCGCGAGCAAAATATAGGATTATAACTGTTAGAACAGAGTATCGTATAACGTTAAACTCGGACACGGTGCTGACGAAACTGTGCGTTCCCAGAAGGTGTTGGTTTTCCGCGCGTAATAAGAGATTCGCACGAAAAAAAAACCAAAGTTTACGATTCTCGATGAATAAAAATACTTGGTCGTACCACGGTGTTGTTGCTCTTCGCTGCCTTTAATTTCCGTACGATTTCTCCCTGTTCTTTCACCTGTTCCAGTAGTCTTTCCCTGATTTCGTCAGCCATAGCGCGTGGTTCAATCTTTCTCCGTCAAAGTCCAATTCCAAACGTTTCACGCAACGCGGCATCACTGTACTCTCCGCTAGGTTATGCTGAAGTTATACTCGGATTTACTACGGTCTACTCGCCACACTGGTAATACAATCGCTTATGATTCAACCGTTTACGGTTCCGTGAACACTTTTTAGGAAACGTGGAGATTTACACGATCGCATTGGTGTCTAGACTGTTTCTCGAATGTGCGTTCTACCATCGACAAGGCATACCGCGACCATTTCCTTTTTGCTTGAAATGAATTTTTCGATTTACCGGAGCATTTTTAATACCTATTTTTTCTTCTTCGATTGATTGAAAGAAGAAAACAGTTGAATAAACGTTATACGTGCAAACAAGACAACCAAAATGTTTCGTATTTAGCAATATTATCTCTACGAAGAATAATATTATTACGAGCAGTGGTAAGAAATTGATCGAAATTGATTGGTAGGAAATTGAGCACCCAATAAAGAAGCTGCAATAATAACCATAATATAGTAACAAAAAAGTAGTAGTAACAATAATATACTGGAGAAAGGAGTTTACAAATGTTGCAATGGGTTTGTGTCATATTGAAAACATTGATATGGAAAGAAGTAATATTCGTATCGTGAATAACTATGCGGTGCCTGAACGTTAAAAGAATGTTGTCGTAAAAGATGAATTTTAGTTCTCATTACGTTTCAAAAGTTCGTGGTATAACCAAGGAACAGGGAACGAAGATGTAAATGAAAGTAGTCACGTGAGCACAGTTTATAGCCTATGAACGTGAAAATAAGATGGTTACGTGCATAGATTAATCATCATGGCTATAGCAGTTAGAAATATGTATCTCTCCGATACAACAGAACTGTAGAATAAACAATATGGATAATGAAACGTGTAACAAACTAATTTGCCATCAATCGATTGTCTGGCAACGATGCTTCCATTTGGCGGGATTTCCGATTCAAAATTTGTTGCTCCAGAACCATGCGCCATCTATAATCCAGAACAGTAGTTTTTTGGAACGCCATTTGGTAGTTTAATCCAAATCCGTAGTCAACTCACATGGATTTACGCAAAACTACAGCTGTTTGCCTATCAATACTAATTCTATGAATAGTTTCTCAACTGACCGCCATCCATGAGAAGAGGACGCTAAAATCACCTCCGAATTTTTCGCTCAATATGACAATTGCTCGGACTGACGTACAAAAAGACAAAAATTAACGAGATACACTCTTCCAAAGTGGAACAAAATGTTAAAAAGATCATGCATCAAATTGTAAGGGAATCCTCGTAAGAAGGCTTTAATCTTCGTAATGGTTTTAATGAGTCGATGATCAACAATGACTAGCTTATGGTCACTGGTGGTCAACAGTGAGGTTGACATCAAGGTCAGCGGTTCAGTGAAGATCCAGAAATGGTCAAGAGGTGGGACCAATCGAAATAGTTTCTTTGTACACAAGACAGTCTTAACTGTTAACTTTAACTTTGGCTCTGACTGGTCTCCCCACTCTTTCATCACCTTAGACATATAAGCAGGGTCACTGCGAAGAATTCTTCAGTCTCGTCGCGAATTCGGGAGTGTGCAAATGGCCAGAAGAGAACTGGGGACCGCTGCTGACCTCTGCTGGCCGCTGCTTTCCACTACTGGCCAATGCTGACCAGGACTGACCAGAGATGACCACTACTGACCACTACTGACCAGTTCTGACTAGTGCTCCTACCACTACTGACCACTACTGACCACTGCTGACCAGTGCCGGACGGTGATGACCAACGGTAAGAACTGTTCAAAAATTCTCTCCCCTCTTTTATTCTATCGTTTGATACCAATTTCGCTTCAATGAACTGATTTTGCCTTGCTTGTCTAACTGACGTTGCTATAATATGAATATTTTCTTACTTTACAGCCGGCCTACTGGTAACTACCCTATGTACTGACAACAAGTAGTAAGTCCACTCCACTTATTAATATTTTATTATTTTTATTTGTTTGGTTGATCTGAATTCAACTTCATTTATCTATCTGATTTTATTTGGTTATTATGAATGTTCCTTTTCTCTGTTTCCACTTTTACATTGTTCTTCGAATTTATGTGATTGCTTCGATATGTATAATATTGCAGGATATCATGAATTTTTATTTTTAAGCTAGGTGATAGGTTGATAGGTAATTTTTAAGTGTTTAAAAACCTCCTTTTTAACCTCTTAGCTTAATGATGTTTCAGAGAAGCGATGAGTCTACCGGGCCAAACATGAACAAGACGTCTCAGAGAAGTGATAAGTCTACCGGGCCAAACCTTGGTGACGCTTTTGACACGCACAGTTGGAAATTAAATCGTAAGGCAAAGGGGTAAAACAACTGGTTGTATACGTACTTTCTTGGGCAAGTGTAGTTAGTATCTTTTGCTTAAAATTATAATCTTCTTGCACACCGCGATTTTTAAGATGACAAATGTCATAGTAGATTCATTTTTAATTTGACACTGATTTTAAAATGAATATATAATGAGTACATATACATATATGAATAGTTCACTTTCTCTCGTCCGCTTGTTCTCTGGTTCTCGCTTTCTGAGATTATGTCTTGACTGAAAGGTCCGGAGAGTTTTGCTCGATCACCTCTGTTTGATAGTATGAAACATGTGACACCTGTGTAGTAGGTGTGATAGCTCTTACCGCTTCAACCCTGGTGCAGCTTGGTTCAGCTTAAGTGGGGCCTCACCGAGCGCATATATTCTCCTCTTTATACGGAAAAGAGAATGACCTCCGGTGAGAGTTCTTGACCCATATCCGTTCTCGAGTACTAAGCGGGTCCTGTTGTGATCATGTGTCCTCCAGGGCCCGGCGGTTGTACGTAGAGAGGTCCGATCGACGTGGGTCAGGGGCGCGACTTGCTTTTCTGATAATCAAGGCCGGGGGGGATCAATCTGATACCCACACTCACTGCACGCTATGAGCACGTGTCGCGTCGCGTTTTATTTAAGCGTGCGATGTTTTTACACGCTGCAATTGTCAATATGACAAATATCGTAATATCGATCGAAAGTAGAGTCATGATTTTAATATCTTTTATAATACTTATAATTATATTAATTTTAGAATGAGTGTCAAATTAGTAGCTTCTGATTGTTCTTTACATTCTTCAATAATTAAATTCACTTTTATAATTGAGTTGACAACTTTGGGTATCTTCGATATCGAGGATACCCAAAGTCTTTCTTTACTTATTAAAATATATCATTAGATTGACGTGCAAGAAGATATTTTGTGACGAATACATTTTAGAGTCAAACTAACCTCGTATATTATGTACTATTTTTACTTTCTCACTGCACTTGCCTGTAGTTGTAGTATTTGTAGTTTTACTTGTTTTGTTTTGTTTGTTCTCTTACTAATCTATTAGACAAGTTTCTGTTACAGAGCAAATTCCTACGGAAGTGTCAGGTTTATAGAGGTAATAATTAAGAATTGTTACAATTTTCATTGATATTGCTTCATTTGTGTTTCAGGAAATCTTCGTGGGATAAATAGAAGAAAGAAGAAAGAAGAATGTATTTCATGTATTTTGTTTCAGATTGTTTAGTTTATGTTTTAATAATTTAGATTTATACTTAGGTAAAATGTTACAGTATGTTTCAAGAAATCTTCGTCGAAGGATCAACAAGTAAGAACATATTTTCTAGGTATTTTGTTAGATGATTAGATAGGTAGGATGTAAACGAATTTAGATTTATAGTTAGGCAGGAATTTGGTTCTCTATATTAATCATTATATCGGGCAGGCAATATTTTGGTCCATTTCTCTGTTTTGTCGATGAGAATTTAGAAACAAATTCTTTCTCAAAAACTCTTTCGTTGGTTGTTTCTCTTCGTTGGTTGCACTTTCGTTTATTGCTTCTATGAGCAACGATAAAAGATCTTTATTAATGGAGGGTGGTTGGGAATCGGTTAGGGCGGGTCTCCATTCGCAGCAACCTCCTCGTGGTGAGACCTGGGTAATGTTATTTAGCGTTCAATTAATAATCGTATCACTCTTAGCTGGGTAATGCAATTATTAATTAAAAACTGAATAATATTAGCAAATTGGCTGCGATCCGCTTTGCATAGGTCATCATAAATATAGAGCTTCTTCACTAGGTTAGTTTTGATTCAAATTAATTCATCAAAGATTCTAGAGTATTGTCACAGATGTGGTATAGAAGTAGATCCTTCATACAATGTATTTTTTCGGCCTATTTTTATGGGGTCTCGAAACCCCATTACCATTTTCGTGTCATTCGCAACGTTACCGACAGATTTAGAAATGAATTTTAATCTCTTCCATAGTCAACTCGCGTGTTTCTCAACTGACCGCCATCCATGTGAAGAGGACGCTAAAATCACCTCCGAATTTTCAGCAACATGCGTTGTGTGTTAAAAATTATGATTTGCTGAGATGCGATGAAGCTTATAATTTATAGAAGACATAGTGACGAGTCCCGGATATTGAATCGTAAGATTTATTTTAGTCTAATAGTTATTATTATGTCAAAGCATCGAAAAGATAAAGTTCGTATGTTTAGGCATAATGTATGCAACGAAAATAAGTATTTCAAATTTACGGGTGCAATTTTACGGACTCCTAGAAAAAACTATGCATTGGATAGACCCGATATCATGGAAATTAGCGTCACCACGGATAAGGTGCAGAGTATACATACAAAATGGTACGGAAATCGGAATTTGATGTCGTACGAACTGAAATACCGACCTGGTAGAAAACATGTGGTTTTAGAGCGACCTCCATATTTGAAAAACGGTGACCTGAGGAATTATACTCAACTGACCCATCGAAATCGGTAATTTTTTAAAAATCATTTCATTTATTTAAGGTAATACAGATCCATATGTCAATTAGTTTTCTAAATCACTACTTTTGTTAATCATGCACATATATATTTTCCATTAAGCGTTATCGACGATGTTCCATTCAGAGGCACAGTTTCCTCGCAATTCCATTGCGCGATTTTCTGTAGCTACAAGGACAATATTCGGGCAACAGAACTGAATTTATTTCGTGAACTACTCCAGCGCTATTCAAAATGTCGGACTTAACAAAAATTGATGAATTGCAAACTGCGTACGGTTCGATCGTTTGTATCAAAATATCAGGGGACGACTTACTAGCATTTTGTCATTTTTATAAGAAGAGAATAGGAAGAACCTATTTGGCACTTCCACGCAATACACATTTAATAAACGGATCATGTTTTCTACACGTGCTTCGTTGCAGAGGAAGCAAGTAACCAGTCTTCTCTATTAAGAGTAACGATGATCGTTTATGATTGTACCGGTACGATTTAAGAAACGTTGCGATGATTGAATCACGGTCACTTTTCAACAAATACTTTAATCTTTCCAGTAATTGTGCGTATAAAATAAACGCGAAGCATTGCAAAATTAATTTTTTTTTTGTTCGACGTTTCGATCAATCTCCTAGTCGCCGCGTCGTCTCTATTGATCAGCGGTTCCACTGGATGCTGGACAATAATTTGATTTCGAAATCGCGACCACGGAGACGCGTAAAAATAGTAACAAGATCGCGTGCACCTCCTGTGCATCCGGAATGCCCGGGGACTCTGTAATAACCCAGCAGCCGTATCTTACGAATCTGCAAAGCAAATGAAACCACCGAAGTATTCAAACGAGCACGGTACTTTCATGTAATTTGCTTTCAAGCAACGCGAAATTATGCTCACGTCTGTTTGCCGCAAATGTTTCGCGGATTCCACTGTCTGCTTTCCGCGTAGTAGGTGTAATTTATGTCGTCGTTCGGTCTTAAGCGAAGAACAGTCGTACATAATCATTAGATGGTCCCACTGATGGTGGATTTATGGAAAATGTCGGGCATTTTTGTCCCTTTGCTTTTTAGTTATCTCTAAAGTGGGATCTATCATTTGACAAACTGAAGCTTTCGAGTGTACAGTATTTTCTAGCTCCATCCACCCCTTCGATAGCGTCAATATTCTCCAATTTCGTCGAGCATGTTTATAAAAATTCGAACGCGTAAAAGATGGAAAATTCGAGCGAAACTCTGGTCCGATCCGCGACGATTCTTATTTTAAGGGCTGCGTGCTCTTCTACCCCATCTTGATCTCGCGCGTCTGTTGAAATGCATCGATGTTATCTGTTTAAAACCATAACGTGAAGTCTAGTTTCCTTTATCATTTTTCTCAAATCGCTTCCACTCAAATCGTTTCGCATTTATTGGAAATAGGCGGTGGACTAAAAAACATTCTTCTCGAAATTCCTTTCAACCAAGCTTTAATATTATTTGAAACGCTTGGGAAGCACGTCTGCACAGTTTGAAAGAAACATTCAGAATAAAAAGCTCAGTGACGAAAAAATCGGTCCTATTCTTTGTCTAAACAAGCCAAGCTTGTACCCTCACACAGCTGTACCCTCTTGACTTGTATCTCGAAACGCGAAACGCAACACACATGGTTTCTGTCAAGGAAAGAAAACTTTTTCTTTTGGAAGAGACAAACCAACAGCATCTGTGCAAAATTGCTCAGCTGCACCTTGCTTCGGGTTCTGTGAAAAAGTTTCGTGGCCTTCGAACGTGTCATATTTTACACGTCGACATTTCCCTGGAAAACATGCATTTGATCGAACATTAATACTTTTCAGCTACGCCTTTTGGTCGAATCGAAACATGAGCGACAGAATGGTCGCTAGTATTCTCGTATTGGCCAAGTGCGCGATCCACCGTGATCCCGATATTAGTCCGCGCGTAGTCATCGCTCATAGCCATCATTACTGGAGGAATTAGGTTGCCTCACAACGGATATACAAAGGGGCCCAACAGATTGGCCCGAATCCTACACGCTTTCAAAATAATCCGCCGCGGACGCATCGAATGCGATCTGCGTTCGTGACAAATGCGTCGGGAACGATGCCAATGAGATTACGATCGCTGTCGGTTACGGCGAGGGGATTTCGAGTCAGCCGCGCGAAGTGAATTGGACTAATTTAATAAGCAGATTTCGCGTGCACGGCGGTCTGTTCGCCATCGACGGACGCGACTTTCGTATGTTGGCCAAGGCTGGGGACGTTGGTTTCCCGTTAAAATCGTCGTTTAACAAGGGAGACCGACGGCGAGTCGCCCACCTTGTTCCGCGTAATCGTAACTCATCTTTCAAGCCAGTAATGGCGCGCAAATTACGATGTTGTCTTTTATTCGACCGAACGGACCTTCCAGCGTGGCACGTGCACGTATCACCTACGTACAGTTTACGCCCACAACCGGGCCTTTCTCTCGGGTGTACTTTAAGTTGGGAAGCTTAACTCGTTAGCACGTAACGATTTCTTTCCACCGACATCTGGAAACGCGGTTCGACCGTGTTTTACAAACGAGTTTATCGGTTTACGATTAGCGAAACGGCAGCCGTCCAAGAGGGCGGAGGTTATTGTTTCTGGTCCGTTCAATTGCTATTAATGGCCTTCTACGTGCCAATATTCGTCAGGGATTACAATTCCATATTACAAGAAACCCTGTCCACGATTGATCGTAGCATCACGAAATTGTAGCATTCTCAATTGGCAAAGCGTTAAATGTCGTTCAAGAAACGTTTCGAGCGGTGTCCCCCTCAAATCGACCGTGTCACAGTTCTCACGTACCGAAAGGGGGGAGCCGGTCGGGCGAAATAAATAAATAAAGAACGCCGCGGCGCTAATCGTTCCGAGGGAGTGCGCGCGCCAAGGGATGAACCGTTCCGAGTTCTCGATTCGGAGCAATTTAAACGCCGGGTCTATTTCTACGAAACGGACTCGCGTGGTGCAGATTTTTCTCCCTTCTGCTTATTCAGTGCCGTGCGACCCGTTGTGATGAGTGACCTCTTCCTGTGGCCGGTCGTCTCTCTCGCTCCACGTACGGTCTCCCTTTTCTCTTTCGGTGGTCGCCCGCCGGCCCCCCCTCTCGGCGTCTAATCAGCTTCCTGGATGGGGCACATTATCTACGTGATGGCAGATCGTAACTACGCGATACCCAGCCAGGTCCCGATCATACGGTAGTCGCTCGACAGTCCATCGCGCGTTAAAGACCAGCCAGGATCCGCGGTTACGAATGCAACTTGGTTTCTCACACGATTACACGGTTATCGGTGCAGCGGTCCTGGAACGACGCGTCTCCCATCGGGGACTCAGGTGTGACCTCTTTCTCGGGATTCCTCCTATCCCTAGCTCACAGGGGGAACGTCGCGAGTGCCTTGATTTCGTGATCGAATACGTTGGAACTGGTATCTTAACGAATTTTTATAACAACACTGTACGTCGGATCGAAACGAATGTTCATCGCTAGAAAACGCGTAATCAGCGGGATTTTTCCTTGCGTTAGACGCGAGCAGACAAAATGGCGCTCGCCTCGTTATCAAATTTAAGTGTTTTGTACGGCGTACGGTAGTTGTTAAAATTTTGTCGCCGATACCAGCGTAAAGAATAAATCTTTTCTCAACGGGATTATATCGAACGATATTTCAGTTTGCGTCCTTGCTCGTCGAACGTCCCTCGTTTAACGGGCCCTCGATCTGCTTGAAACTCAACGATCGTCCTTGGGTTTGCGAAACGCAGATGTCACGGCGGTGAGGACCGCGGGATGATAGAAAACGTGTTCGCCACGATCTTCCTCGTGCCCAGAGGGAGGCTATCCGAGAGCTCTTAAAGCGACGTGTTAGCGGGACCAGCCACGATGTCGCTGATGCAACGTATTTCCGGTGTCGTCGCGGTCCTCAGGGGCACCGCGGAGATTAAGGAAACTCACACGTGAGAAACGAACGAGTCGTAGGGGGCTCGACAGTGTTTTGGTTTGGCTTCGGTAACGGTGAACAATTGTGTAACCAGTGGGCAGACTTTGGCGATACTCCGTTCAACGAGAACCGGCAGGAAATATAAACTTTGCTTTGACTTAGGCTCTTTAGAAACAGTTTTTTAACGCTGCCTCTTCTCGTCGAACGAAACACGCTCGTTACATAATTCCTCGCGCGCGAGATTTACACGAGTTCGTTCCGGAGCTATCTTCTTCTTTTACCTGGAATAATTTTCAGATCATGTTCGGACGAGATCGAGAAGATTACGTCCGAGGACGAAGTCAAAGTGCACGACCACGTCACGCCGCTCGACAGATTGCAATCGGTTAGTAGGAATCGCATAATTTCCACAAAGATTCGATTCTATCTTGGAGCACGAACTCGATTTCAGGTGGTAGATTGGATCGGGGAAAATATGCTCCTGGTGTTCACGATCCTTGGCATTTTGGTGGGTCTCGTCCTCGGATTTCTTGGTCGATTAGCCAGCCCCTCGCCACAGTTCATTACTCTCGTCAGTTTTCCCGGGGAGCTCCTCATGCGGCTACTGAAAATGTTCATTCTACCGTTGATTGTCTCGTCGCTTATCACCGGTGATTATTCAACGTTTCGCGTCGCTATCGGTTTCTGAGCTATCCGTTTTCTAGGAATGGCGCAGCTGAACGCCAAAAGTTCAGGGAGAATGGGACTCAGAGCGCTAACGTATTACACAGTTACGACTATTCTGGCGGCTATAGTCGGTATATTAATGGTTTCGATTATCCACCCGGGCGATCCTAGGATTAAATCGACGATCAGCGCGCCTAGATCGGACGATACGAAGGTCACTACGCTGGACGCCTTTCTGGACATAATTAGGTACCGTTCTGGTCCTCGTGTTTGACGAACCACCAAGTAAAACTCACAAATTTCCACGCTTCTTCCATGCATATTCTCTCCTCGCTTTACTCAGTTACTCCCTTGGGTCCTACCTGAACGACTAAACTAATTTTAGAAACATGGTGCCGGAGAACTTGGTGCAGGCGTGCTTCCAGCAAGAGCAAACCACTTACGTAAAGAAGAAAGTGATAACGATAGGGAACACGAGTCAAAGTAATTACGTCCTAGAGCCGACGTTAATATATAAGGACGGGATGAACGTGATGGGAATGATTATGTTCTGCATCACGTTCGGTCTTATCGCGGGGCAGATAGGTACGCGCGGAAAATTGATGGTCGACTTCTTCGTGGAGCTGAACGAAATAACCATGAGACTCGTCACTATCGTTGTGATGTGGTGAGCGATCGTGTCACAACTTAATTTCACGCTTGGTAGTTCCCTCGCTACGTCCGTATACGTGATTTAGACGACGAAATGTGGGCTCGAGTCTTAATGTCACGCAGGTACTCTCCGTTCGGAATCATGTGTCTGATAGCTGGCAAGATAATGTCGATCAACAATTTGGCGGGGACCGCTCAGATGCTGGGTTTGTACATGGTGACGGTTATCGTCGGTCTATTGATTCACGCTGTGATCACTCTGCCGTTGATATTTTGGCTGATGACCCGGCAGAATCCAGCCGTGTTCTTCAAGGGTATGATGCAGGCTTGGATCACAGCCTTGGGAACGGCGTCGAGGTAGAAATCGATCCGCAAGTATCCCTGATCCTTACGTCGATAACCGAGTACCCCAAATAAGTTTCCGCGTTTCTTATAAATTGGTAGTATTCTGGTTATTGACACGAGGATTGAACCAGTAGAGACCGTAACGTGTACGTTCCTGATGGTTTTCAGTGCTGCAACTTTGCCCATAACGTTCCGTTGTCTCGAAGAAAATAATAAAATCGATTCGCGAGTGACTCGATTCGTAGTGGCGGTCGGGGCCACGGTGAACATGGACGGAACGGCTCTTTACGAGGCCGTGGCTGCCATTTTTATCGCGCAGATGAATGGAATTTTGTTGGGGATAGACGAAGTGATAACAGTCAGGTTTGTACGGTCGACCAGAGTCGGGTGAATTTTACTTAAGAATAAAATCCCCTTTGATCCACGTAGCTTGACGGCCACCTTGGCGAGCATAGGGGCGGCTAGCATTCCCAATGCTGCCTTGATCACGATGTTAATAGTACTCACGGCATTGGGTTTACCCACGAACGACATTACCTTGCTCTTCGCCGTGGACTGGCTATTGTAAGTTCTCGTCGCGATTCACCGTCTAACGGTCGTTAACGTTTTATTTCGCGTTTGAAGAGATCGACTGAGGACCTCGATAAACGTTCTGGGCGATGGATACGGGGCCGGGATAATTTATCACTTGTGCAAAGACGAACTGGATAAGATGGATCAGGAACGGAAATTAGAAGATCTCGAAACGGGGACGCCTCTCGAGGACATCCCGGAAAGTTGTCAGCGGGAGAGTGCACCTGTTCCCGAGCAAAGCTCCGAAACGAAGATCTGATTCGCAGGGATATCGACCGTTTTTCCAACATCTCGAACGGCGGCATAAAAGAAAACAAAATTGAATTACCGCGACTGTATCCGATAGAATCGATAATCGATACAAAGCGATATCGATGACCGCCAGTTCGCAATTTGAATAAAAATTGCATGGTTTTAAGTACCAGTAGGAAAATCAAATGTAAAATGTTCTATTTTTGGAATTTAAACGTTTCATTTGTTACAAGATGAATAAAGGTATCGTTCGTCGATTTGTCCAGTCAAACGAAGATAGGGCTAAAGCGTTTCATTACGATAGCAATTTAAGCATTTTTAAAACGTGTTCACTAATTCGTTGCACGTTAGATGATTTATCATTAGGGAGAATGTAGGATTTTGTAATATTTTGTTTACAATGTTTGTGTATTGCATATTATGTGAACATAGGAATAAATATAGATCCAAGTACAATGATCGTATTATAATTTTTCTGCTTACATTACGGGAAAGGTGAAATAACGAACGAGATTGAGCGGGTGGAACGGTGGAATAGATGTATTTTTGAAAGAGTATTCTATGTACATACATATATAATACATCACGCAGTGCTTCTTCAACAATATTATTACTCTGGCTAGTAACTTGCAATTGTTTGTGATATATTTAATTAATTAACGACATACCTATTTAATTAAAAAATATAAATTCTTAAGTCTAAATATCCTTTAGGTCAATAGACATGTACCATACCATACAAAAATCTGAATTCTAATTAAGGAAAATAGAGAAATATAAATATTATGTTGATTAATACAGGCGTCCCTTGAGTCACGCGATTAATTGGTTCCGCGTAAGTCGAAACTTAGAATTAGTCTCTGAAATATATACAAACTATTGTGAAATACCTATTATCTTTTCTTTTTAAATAAAATTGCTACAAAACCGCATAACTCAAGGGATACCTGTATAGCATGCATGTAATATACTATATTTGCAATTAAATGCAAATACTTTGTTTAGAAGGATACGTCCAAAACAACACGTATGTCTGTGGTTGTAGCAACGGTTTCTATTAAGGAAAATACTTTGACACCCATAAATATTTGATATTTGATAAAAGCATCTTTTCACAATGCTATAAAGGATACAAAAAGTCCTCCAAAAAATCCACTTGTTAAAAGATTTCGCCTGCTTATAAAATATTTCTTCCACTGGCCCCCAGCTTTTAATAATAACATTACCTGCAGAAAATATTAGTCAAGGATTTGCAAACATATAAAATGGTCGATTCTTCTTACCCATAATCCGAATACTGCAAAAATGTAGAAACCAAAACCGTATAAACCTGTCAGCCCCAATAAACCAGCTGTTCCACCGGATAAAGCTGCCATTGATATCCTACAATATTCAACTACAGCAGCATTATTTACAACAGCCGCCTCGCTGTATGCAATAACCTCTGAAAAACATTATATAAATTCAATTTAATTATTAACGAAATAATTAACAAATAAATAACAAATTATTTCTACTTCAAACTAATGAAGTAGAAATTCTACAAAGAACAAAGTATATTTATATATCGCTCTAGTATGAAAAGACAGGCAGTAATTACACAGCATACTATTAAACACATACATAACCTATAACGAGAACTATCGAAAGAATTCCGTGATACAAACTATCGAGCACAGCGGATGTACCAAATTGATTCATATTTTCCTACGTACCTCCTTTCTCTTGTTTTGTTTTAATCTTCCCCAACATTATTGTACTTTTAACGGTATCGATGCACAATTTGTATAATTTAACCTAGCAAAACATTCGTTAATGATTATTTATATACAATGACTGTGTTTTGAAATGGTTACGTGGACGTGAACGTATATTCTTTTTTATTGCGAAACATTCAGTGGTGTGTATTAAATTATAAATTATGTGCGTTTTATAAAATTGCAAAGTTCAATTTGAAGGTCGTTTCTGTTGGCAGTGGTTTTACAGTACGAACTACGTACCAGTTGTAATGGTCTCCGGAACATAAGGTAGGTCATAGATAGCAGACTTGAGTAGACTACGTTAGTCGAGTTACAACCGATTGCGTAAGTATTGTTGGATCAAATTTATTCAGAATCGGAGACCAATCTATCTTTTTGCATGACTGCAGCCGATCCATGTAAAAAATTTGCATGCAAATTGCAGCAATGTTTAAAGGGTTTGTGTTTCGTATAGTATTTTACACGACGCAGTGACATTCGCCTCATCTAACCTTGTTGGTGTATTTGAGGTTAAAACATTAATTCGATTTCAGATAACGTTTATCAACCGTCGCGTTGTGAATCTGTTATAGAGGAACTAAGGCAGTGTTGCATCTTACACAAGGCTAAGTCGACGGTTTGCGAGGGTATCGATATTTCTAAGCCGTACGAGCATAATACAGTGAATTATGTAAGTTTGCAACAGTGTCGTGTTGTGTCTTCAATTTGTTATCTACATTCTTTGTGAATACATTATTTGTTTGCTTTCTTCCAGAAAAACGCTCAAAACTAAATCATGACCGCGGATAAGATCGTGAGACTTAGGATACTTACGGGACTAGTGGCAGCCGATGTAATGTTTCAATTTTACCTTGCAAGAAGAGTTCCTCCTAAAAAATAGATGAAACTTAATGTTTTGTTATAGCAAGTAACATATTAATATATGATAAATATGTCTTAACATGTAATAAACATGTGTATTGGTATGTAGTAAATAACATCATAGATTTATATAGTTAAACATGGAAGCAGTGAAGAAGGCGAAGGAGCGAATTAGAAACTATCCAATTCTTATTGCACAGTGTCACGAATCTGGTGCCAAGTATGCCGCGTGTGTATTGACAAAACCTAATTTAAAAAAAGGCGATTGTGAAAGCGAGTTTAAAGAATTCAAAATGTGTTTAACGAAAGCTGCTGCAAAAAGTAATGTACGGTTATAGGGAATAGAATTAAGTAGGTTCTCTCTTGCTTTTTACTGCTTGTTTGGTATCTATTTTTTGCAAAAAATACGTTATACGATTTGAAAATGGATACATTGTCGTTTAAGGGGCACTGTTCATTGGCCTTCCTACTTAGAGTGGTTTTAGTGGTTTATTCAAATTATCACGATAAAACCTTTTATGTTCCATACACTGATGTGGATTATAAAGTATTTACCGATGCCGCGAGGTACATGGTGGAAGGAAAATCTCCGTTCGAACGCGATACATATCGCTATACACCACTGTTAGCCTTGCTTCTAACACCAAATATTTTGCTGCACCAAAATTTCGGAAAGATTTTATTTTCTTTCGTCGATGTTCTGGTAGCAATTTTGATAAAAAAGATTCTAACGTTGCAAAATTGCAGCGAGAAACTGAAATGTATTTGTGCCATGCTATGGTTGTATAACCCTTTCACGATTATAATTTCAACCAGAGGGAATGCAGATTCCATGGCAGTTCTTTTAGTTATGTTGACCTTGTTTTCATTTCTACGACATAAATTCATTCTAACAGGGTTATTGCATGCTATATCTGTTCATTTTAGATTATACCCTATCGTGTTCAGTTTGCCCATGTATATTTCTCTTAACAAGAGAAATTTGGTGCCAAACAAAAACCAGTTAAAATTGGTACTTAGTTGCGTATCTTTGGTAATTCTTTTGACCATCGTAAATTATTATTTTTACGGATTCGAGTATCTTTACAATAGCCTTATTTATCACGTGATACGTAAAGACACGAAACACAACTTTTCTGTTTACTTTTACATGCTATATTTATCCGTGAATTATCCACCAAGCATAATTGAAAAAATTTTCACGTTTCTACCACAGTTAATGCTGTTGCTGATGCTGTCGTACAAATACTCGAGTAAATCCGAATTGCCATTTGCAATGTTTACACAATCCATGGTAATGGTGACGTACAATCCCGTGTTAACATCCCAATATTTCTTCTGGTTTTTATCTCTTTTACCATTGTGCCTTCCACATTTTCGTTTAAGCGCTAAGAGATCAGTATCTTTATGTTTTGCGTGGATCGTGAGTCAAGGCCTCTGGCTACTGGCAGCTTATTTCTTAGAATTTCGAGGGTCAAACACTTTCATGTTCATTTGGATCTCTAGTTTACTATTCTTCGTTGTCAACGTGAAGATTTTTAACGATATCATTGCATATTACAAGCAGTAGATAAAAATTCGTTCAACGATTGATATGTAAGCGACTGATCCATACGCAATATTTTATTCAAAGAAATGTACGCGTTATTAGCATAGATTTCTACGTGTAATCATTTATAGTTTTAAAACACGAAATATATGATCGTTTCATTGTAATCATTACCAGGAAGAATCATTGAATAAAGCTTTGCGAAAACTACATAGGTATGCATTTGTATTAGGTCATCGAAAAAAAAATTCGACAACATCGATCATATTTAAAAATTGCCTCCAAGAGCTTTTTGGATGACCTAATAATGTACATAAAAGTGGTAGGAATATAAAACAATCGATAATGATTCTTAATTTTATTCTTGCAGGAATACAAAATACTTATTTACAGATGGTTTCGTAAAGTAATAGTGGTAGATTCTTAAAAGGAATGTAGATATAGTAATAATGATACAATAATAGTAAATCTTAATGTAGTAATCTAGATCAATTGTGAGCAAGAGCATCCTTTGGATCATCTTCAGAAATATTTCCCGTCGTTTACTTCTAAGCTGCTAATTGTTGATGATATTAATTATTATTGGGGACATTCCTCGTCAAATTATACGAGAATGCTTCTCACAATTTTTATTTTTTTTTTTACGACACCACTCGGAACGTATAGTAACTTGTTTTTTTAAAGAGTATAAAAAAATACCGCGTCGATATCTTTCGTTGAACGACTCGAATATTGATCGGACCGAGAGAAACCGTTTTCTCGATCAATTCTCAAACGATCCGCGCGTACGTGCGCGTCGAAACAATTCGAAAGAAACCAACACGACCGTGACACGAAATGGCCCAATCGATTAACACCGGGGACGAACGGAAAAAACGAAAAAAAAAAAAGTAACACAAGCACGGTTCGTATAACTATAGATCACCACGGCAGACGATGCAACATATAAAAATAGCATTATTTTCTTTCATTGCTTTTGTTACAGTTTATCCGACTGTGTGCTATGTGAAATAATCTATTTTATCTCCATCGAGGTGAATAGAGGCGGTCGATTTTTGCCCGGAAACCAGCTCCCCTCCGGTTAGGACCAAACTCACCGACGATAAGAAGTAACGGAAGAAGTGACGTTCTTAGGCCTTGCAACGGTATCGCGCGAAACGGGGTCCTAAAATAGAGCTAAACCTCGTTTCGGGGTGGCTGCAAGGTCCAGAATAGCTGCCTCGGATGAGTTTACGCGTATACTATATTAGAGAAACCGATCGTCGCCGCGCCAAGATCATCCGAGATTGATCGCGTCGCCTTGAACGGAAAGTAGTTGCATCTTCGAAAGAGGAAAATAAAAGGAAAAAAAAGAGGGAAATTAACGCCCAGCCTTTCCCCCGTTCGGGGCTCGTGCGACTAAAAATCTCTTTGTTCGGAATTACTCCCGGAGGATTTGCTCTAGCGCGAAAAGCGCGCGTCGTTGCTCGTTAGTTTTGTTTCGTATGGAAACATCACGGATAGACTCGAGTGCGTTCACCGGGTAGCAAGGAAACGACAACACGATTTACTTACGAGGCTTTGAAACGACGCCAAGTGACTCGATATTGCACGCGGCCACGTTTTCTGAAAACGATGCAAAACGTCTTTGCCGCGACCGAACCCGCTTGTTCTTCTTTTCATCGCGCGCGTCGAAAGGCGTTTCCTTCGATGCTGTGTCGTTCCGTTCCCTTTCATGTTTCGTAGGTCCTTCGCTTTAAAATGAAAACAAATCGCTGGTTGCAACGCAAAGCTCCTCGGGGGCGCAATTCAAACGGCGACTTTGTCGTCGCGCGACTGGGAAGCGGGAAGAAGCGACTGGGAATGTGTGTGGACGCAAAATGTTCCAGAACGAATGTCGAGATATTAATAAACGTATGTAAAATATTATGTGACATATTGCATAGGAATGGAGACCGTTTCGTGCAAGGATCGTTTATTGTTTTCAAAAAGGAAACTGTGAAACAATTTTTAGTACCGTGAACCTTAATATTAGCCCCTAAATAAAATGACAAATTGGCAGATTGGCAATGCGTTAAAGTATTTGTTATGGAACATTTTGTGGATAGTAAGCGCGATCGCTTGGCACGCATGAATGGAGATGAGAACGTGAGACCACGGGGGGGCTATTATATGGCAAAGATTTAATAAAATATGATAACAGCGGTGATACACATTACACTGTACGAGAAGTATAAAATAAACGGCACTGGCTGCTTAATAATTAGCACGTAAACCAATTAACTATAAATAATAATAGTAATAATCGTTAATATTATAAATGGATGCTTGATGGATGATTAATCGTGTAAACGAAATGTACAGCTTAAGTATAAAAGATTGCGCCGATCGTTCGCGATGATTACACAATAGAAACTTATATAAATGAAAAAAACGTATGTCGTATAGATATATGTTTATAATAATATAATAATAATAATAATAGATGACAAAAAAAAAAAAAAAAATTGAGAAGATAATTAAAGCACTCGTTGTAACGCACGGATAAATCGACTTACACGACATAAACTCAATTAATATACACAACATTAAAATAAACATCTCTTTGGTCTCGTCGTTTCGTTTCTTTCTTTTCCTTTTTTTTTCTGTCCGCGGTTCCCGTCGCAAAAAAAAAAAAATGACAGAAAGAAACGCGTGTCTCGTCTCGCGAAATTTCGTCCTTCCGGGCGCGGAGAGACAAAGCTCGATCGTCGAGAGAAAAAAAAAGAAGAAGTAGAAACGCAACGAAATTCGATGAGAGGGGCAGTAGAGGGTGGCGGGGGGAGAGGGTCGTATAAAAGCGAAAAATAAAAAAAAAAAAAACGAGAAAGCGGACTTTATCGCGCGTGCACGATACACGTAAACGTTGACAAGGACACGCGTTAATATCTATCGACTGCCGCGACGCGGGAAAGATTGAAAAATTGAAAGCGACGGGGCGTCGCGATATTTTATCATCTTTGTTCTTCTTTTGTACTTACATTCTCACGGTGGTAAAACCAAACAAACGCCCGACTATCCGTAGAACGAGTTTGTCCATCGAAACGCGGGGCTTGTTTAATTTTATCATCGAACGAGTTCTGGCGACAGAAATTTACTTGTTTATGCTTACGGGTAATATTTATTGCGCGCGTGTTGCAACGTGTTCGAAACCTCGAATGGCTCGGAGACGTCGAAGGGAATGAATAAACGCGATAGACGATAAAAGGGAAATTGTTGGCACACTATCGATATCGAAGGGTGGATTTTGCGTCGCGTTCGATTTTCGTGGAAATCTCGCGCACACTTTCTGGTATCTCTTTTGCTTCTCTTTCTCTAAACTTGACTCGCTAACGGAAGATCTTGCGCGAACGAGATACGTGGCCATTTAACCGATCTTTAACGCTACAGGTACATGCGAGGGATTTAGGATCGAGTCGCGATCGAGCCGATACGGACACCCACGAATCTCCCTCGATGCGCAAAACATTTAATTACATTTTTTTGAAACAAGGAGGACAAAGTGTTTGGAACAACGAACCGATTATTTTTATTCGGTTATCGTCGTTCGAGATAGAAACTGTATTTCCGACAAATTGACACGTTTCGCGTTAGATTGGAGAGAAGGGGTGTTCGCTGCGTGTTTCCTTTGTGCATCGTGGTTCTTCGTGCTCGAGTATCAAAACCAATTCGGAACGCGGGAGCGCTAAATTCTCCGCGGTGGAATCGTCGATTTCCGGTATCGCGTTCGTCGCGATTCGATTCTTGTCGGGGCAGCACGATAGAAAGGTTCGATCGTCAACGAAAAAATCCCACCCCCTCGAAAAAAAAAGGAAAAAAAAAACCCGGCGACACGTCTTACTTCCCCTTGCCTTTCCGTACGGAGATCTCGAATGTGTCTAGCTAAACGATTCGTAGGCTATGATACAAAGTAATGTACACTAAAAAGGATGATTCGCTGTTCGTAGTCAAATCTCTAGAGTGAAATATTTACACGGGCTCTGTTACTTCCCCCATCTTTAGCTACGCGAACTCTATAAAATCCGTGTGCTTCTGTCGCTTCGCCGAAGGACGCGATACGAAATTCCGACCGACAGTGGGAAAATATTTATCAAAATTCTTTTCCCTTTCATTTCGAATATTGCCAATTCGATACGTACGATCTTGTATATTTTATAGGAATACTTGTTACGCGTTTGATCGCTAAAAATACGGGTGGATTTCGGTACAGAGACGAGCGAAACTTTTATGTTGTTAATTCGTTGAAAAATGAAATTCCGAATCACAAAGTAAAAGTAAATTTCGCGTTGCGCGAACTCGAAAAGCTGATTCCAATATCTGGCCGTACGAGTGCAGAGAACCGTTGTATTTATACTTTTTATAATATTATACGAATAAAATTTCGCCCATCTCTGTCGACGTACGGTCGCGTTTTTCCGCGTTCAGCCATGTCGCGCGATAATTAACGCTCGCGTAATCGCGGCAATTACGCGGTCTCGAAACGAATTTCACCCCTTTCCAAAAAGTTTCGTCAGACTTCTCGTCGATTGGTCGGCCAGCGTCACGGGAAACCTTGCCGCGCCTCGTGCGTAAATTGAAGTTCCGTTGTGCGCTGTTTCATTATGTAGCGATTTTTTTACGTCGAAGAGCTCGGGGCCACGTACGCGTGAAAAATAAAAAATAACGAAACAGAGAATTTTTCTCCCGCCTCTTCGTACGCAAAATCAGTTGAGTGATCGCGATAGGACGCGCGTATAGAGAAACACCACGCTTCGTTTGCCTTTGGGAGATTTTGAATTTCTTTTTTTTGTGACAAATGTTGGGAATCGAGTGTATCTGTAATTTTTATCCAAACGAAATGTGCTGTATCGCTGAACGCGCCATTCTGTATCGTGCAATTCCAACAGTCGATTTTCACGCGGTTCCAGTCTTTTGTTCTATGATCTCGCGACGGTGGATCGGTCTACCGTACGGATCGATGCTCCAATCGCGGGAAGAGAGTTCGCGACGGTTGGCGAGAAATGTCTGTGTTCGTTAGTTGTTCCCAAGAGAATCGGATGAACTCGCGGCGCGAATTATCAGGATTTATTGGTCGAGATTACTACACACGGTGTACGTTGGAGAGTTTCAGTAAAAACGTAACAGCGTTACCGGATGCTAAATCATCGTCTCCGTTCAAACAACGGCCGCCAAAGCTTAAAATCGCGGTACCGATAGAAAAAACGTCTCGTCGAAATCTCGATCGGGGACGGTCATTGCGAAACGACCATCCGGTTCCACCCCGTCCCTCGCGAAACTCGTGCAATAAACGCGGCTCTCGGATCCTCCCCCGCTATACGCCGATAATTTTTTTTATTTTTTTTTTTTTTCGAAGAATTCGCTACGACTCGCTCGTATTTTTTTTTTTTTTTTTTGTTCGTCTCGCGGCCAGTTACACGCCGTACGCGTTCTGAGAAAAAAGCTTAACATCGAGAAAAATATGGGGGTATATATTATATGTATATATATCTCCTACATGTCGCTCAGTCGAGTTCGAAATAGTTTTTATACTCAGTATCGATGCGACCTGCTTCGACGCGGTCTCGCGACAGCTCGCGAGACGTCGTTCATTTCCTAAAAAGTCACTTTCCGTTTTATAATTTGGGGGATCTGGATAGGGGGTGGGGGGTGGGAATGGCGACTCGATCGTTTTTCAATACGCACACGTGTCGTCGGATTCGCGCGGTGTGATTTTTACGGTTCTTCTTCGGCGATCGGATAAGTTTTTACTGCTACTTTTTTGGTTTTTTTTTTTTATTTTCGTTTTCTTTCGTTGCCTCTTTTCTTTCGTACGCGTTTTACGATCGGACCCGAGCGGCGAAACGTTATTTACACGGCGGACAATATTATGGCACGTCCCATCGAATCGAAACTACAACCCTTCCCCTTGCTTTTCCACCCCTCGATCTGGGGGAATACCCCGATTAAATCGCGAGAAACGTGCCCGGTACGCGGGAGGGATAAAAAACGACCGAGTCGATAAACTTTGCGAAATAGTTAGTAATAGGCCATAATCCCTAGTCGTAAAGTATGAAATGTATCAACAAATTTGAAAAACTTCCCTCGCTCACCCGATTAGGCAATACTTTCTCTCTCGTCTTCTACTCTCGTTTCGCGTACAGTTACAGAACGCCTCATCGTTCGCTCGGAGGGCTCCCTTTGATCAGGGCTGGGACTATTCCAAGATTTTCTACGTACTCGAATACTACCATTCAAGCATCTTGCTATTCCGACTGTAAACTGTGGAAATTAAATATTTTTTAAATTTATATCAAGTTTCAGAATGTCTGTACACCTTGTATACTCTCGTATATTAAAATCAACACGTTTTTACACTGACGTGGCATTCATAAAGCAAGTCCACTCTCTTCTGTTAAGGATTATATCATAAATGAATGTGAAACAGGCGACGCAATTCGAACATTACGAAGCGTACGAATGTTCGAGTATTCGAATAGGGAAAAATTGCAGGATTAGTCCCAGCCTTTATCGTAGATTGCCTAAGAATTTCGCGTTTTACGACACAGCGCGACGGAGCCGGGCGCCGCGTGTTCTCGCCGAGGCGCGCGCGAGCACGTCGATCGCGAGCCGCGCGGATAAACTTTCAATGAAAACAACGATCTCGGGAATTGCACGAAAGGAAATGATTGCACTATAGAAAAATAAACTATTCGAAGATATACATTATATATATATACTTCTTCCCGGCGAGCTCCCTCGGGCAAGGCGAGGAGAGGCGTCGCGTGGAAGCGGAATCGCGCGACGCTCGACGCGCTCGAGGAGTGAACGACGCGCTGGCTCCCGTTCCTTTCCTTGACTAAAGGCGAAGAAATCGATATAATTTAATTAATAATTGACAGATAACCAATTAATACGTATAGGATGGCCCGAACGGCAAGAAGGCGTAAATTCCTAAGATTCAAACGACATAAACTTTTCTAATTTTAACATCGCCGCGGACCATCCAGTACATTGATTGTAATTACTTCCCGCAGAATACTTCGTTAACCTACGTTCTTTATAATAGAAATCATGTGTCTGTATGTAGAAGATCTCTGTCGGCGTGACATGGCGCCGTTCGTGAACGTTCGCGTACGCAAACCGTTTTCCTGCAACAATTCCAGGCGAACGGGACATTCCCATCGGTACGTGTACGCATATGTGTGTGTATGTACGTATGTGTATATATATATATATATATGTGTATATGTTCGTGTATGTTCCGTTTCTTGAATCTGTACAGTTCGGAATTCCACCAAGCAATTACACATTTACATGTTACGCGCGTGTGTCTGCGCGCGCATCAGAATTTTAGTTTTTTTTTGCGCGCCCTTCGAATGAAAATCTGGAAAATCTTTCTCACTCTCTCGCTTTTAAATAGTTAACATCAGCATGAACATTGTACAGAGTGATTTGATGTACAATAAGCTGGACTTCCGGCGGACGGTTAACCGGGTCGGTCACGGCGACCCCGTCGACGGGGCTGGTCGACGTCGCGACGACGAGAACTCTTACGAAGCTTTCGAACAGGATTACAGCGCGAACCAGGGCGAAGCTAATCGTTATTTTTTCTTTTCTAGGTATGCCAACGGTTGGAGTATTCCAGAATACGTGTTCGAAGATTTATTTCGAAGATCGAGAAAGTGATAAATTAACGCGTTATTGGTAAGTTCTGTTTATCAGACGGATAGAGTTGGCGAACGGTATACAACAGGGGTGACTTGCTCTTAGTGTTCTGTTCTGCTCATGCGCACAAGATCTTCCAACTCTATGGCTGCCACGCGGAGCTGGGACCAGGGAGGTCAGGTAGAGGTTCTCGGTATTTCTCATTTGGTTTCGGGCAGCTGTTCAGAACTGTGTTTTGCAGGAATATCGAGGATTTGGGAAAAGTATGATTTTCTACGTTGGACCTGGACTAATCGATGTTGTTTGAAAGTGGGACTCCTATGGCTATCGTCAAAGTTCGTCACCCCTGGCATACAACGTATGTGAGTACTTATGATTTCCTATTTTCCATCTTTACTCGTATTTTGTATCTGGATAAAGTGTATTCAACTCTCGTGAATGGTGTGCTCGAAAGTATTCTACTTCATCACTGTTTCGATTTTCGAAACAAACCTTCAGACATGTATTCTTGAATAGAAATTTTCTGATTACTCGACAAGAATTAGTCTGCCGTCTAATTTCCATTTCCTCGTCCGCCTCGACGCGACGTTGCGATCGCGAGCAAAGGAACTGATCGTTTCTAGACGATCGTACCGCGTATTTTTTTTGTGCGCGGGTGGATCGCGGAATGTGAGAACGAGTCCTCAATAGGAAGGAAGTATCGTTACGAATACTGTTTTTTCCGATCTCCGACGACGTTACCCGAATCACCCACGCGGGCAACCGTCCGCCTGGAAGCGCCTCGCGTAAAGTCGGATATGCACAATAATGTTTTTTGTTCTTTTCTTTTCTCTTCACAGTTATAAAACTAACTAAATCTTACGAGATACGGTGAGCAATAATTCCAGTTATTTACAGAAATTATGTTACAGACGTCATAATATAAAGATATCATCTGACAATACAAACGTAGATTCGTTCGTCTGGCGCCGGAACGCCGAACGCGCGACGCGCGACGTCGTCGTTCGATGCTCGAGCCCCGCCATTGACGCGTTCGCCTCGAGCTTTCCTCGTTTTTCTTCGTTTCCGTTCCGCCGTACACCGACGCGCCACGCGAGTATGGGGGTCAGTCCGTGCTGTGCAGCCTTCTTTTTTATCGGAATCGTTTTTTTTTAATAATTGATAGGCTACCCTGTTTCGTTATCGTAATCAATGGTATTTTATCCTCGCTGTACATTGTCGCGATGTATCTCTTCGTTTTCATTTCTCTTTGCCGCGTTACTTGGAACTCGAGGCCGTTCCCCGTAGATCATTGCCGAGGAAAACCTGCTACCCTCCCCCCCCCCCCGGATCCATGAACTACGAAGACGTTGCAAAACGAACGGAGAAACGAACCGATATATAAATACACTTCCAAGGTAAAACCAGAATAACTTAATTAACGAGCGTAATCAAGCGGAGACTTCCCGACTCTTCTTTCTTCTAATAACTTGCGCCCATTCGGTAGTTTTTTTCCCTTTGAAACGAGACGCGCGCGACGCCTTTCGTCCAAGAGACGCCGCCTCCCTTCCCTTCGACAGTTCAATTTCATTTTGTTTTATTTATTAATATCGTTACGTATTATTTACAGGAAGCCGTTCCACTCGCGAACGAGCTTATTTCAATAGAGTTTTGCTCTCGTAGCGCCACCAAACTATAGGCCCTATGTTCATATTGACAACAGGTGTATAATATATATACATATACATATACATATGCATATACACGTACGGGGCTTAGAGAGAATCGTGGCACGGCCGACGAGCAAATGATTTTTCGTTCGAAAATAGAAGCTCGAATAAAATTCTACTCCGCGCTCGTTAGACAACGATCCAGGCAGTTTATATTCAATACTTTTTTCTCGAAATACTACGAATTCCCGGTTTATCTTCGCAACGAGGAACCGTTTCCGGTCGTACCGCGATCTCCCCCTCGCTCTGCACATACATATACATATATATACATATACTTACATATATATACATATGTATGTATACCTAATCACTTTAGCTATCTATTTTACAAATCGTCGGCCTGCGTCGAACCGCGTCGATCGCGATCACCGAATTCTCAGGCCGGAAGGGGACGCTGGATCGCCCACGGATCTTGTCGTACAAGACCGCGCGATCGCCACAGAATGTCCCTCGATCTCGTGTCAGCGCGCTCACGCGCTACTTCTATTAACGTTTTTTTTTTCTTTATCTTTTCATTTCCTACAAATAAAAAAAGGCAGCGCGACACAGTGACGTCGTAGTGGCAGCCGAGACGCCGCCCCCGCCGGACGTCCGTCTGCATATCACATAATCGAAAAAGCGAATCGCCCCGCTAAGTCTTTTTTTCATCGTCGCCCGCGCGCCAGAGACGCTCGATCCCCAAAAACGTTACGGGACAATTCTATATCGTTCGTGTAAAAATAGCAAATCTTGCTTTCGAAAGTAAGCTTTCCGCTGGAACTGGAAATACAATACTGGAAATCGTGCTTAACTTAATTCTTTGATATCTGTTTGAGTGAAGCTCCAGGAAAGATACTTTTAAAAAGAATCAAAAACGAGGGATCCTTCGCTCGATGTTAGGATCGAGCGTTCCCGGGGCTCACGATCGGCCGGCGCCCAAAAAATCGTTCGTTCGGGCGCCGGGCCCGTGCTTTTCCCGCAAGTAGACTGCTACTACGACCACGGCGATCCGCGACGAGACTTCGATTCCCGTGTGTTCTCGTTACGTCGAACGAACGTTAAATGCTTATCGAGATCTAAATTATGCGAATAAAAAGATTGTCGATACCGAGTGGTCTGTTCTCGTTCCGAAGTTGCCCCTTCGATCTACGAGCCTAACCACCGTCCTTCGTTACCCCGCGAACCTTCGTAAACCCACCACTGTTCCGCTCCCCGCGTCCAACGGCGATCGTTTTTCGCGTCGAGTCGATTAATTCGTATTGCTTTGACTTTCATGATGGGGTACCCGTGCAGCCTCTCCCTGGTACCGGAGAAAAAAGGATTCACCGTTTCCCCGCTCACGTAGGGAACCGAGACAGTCTCTTCTTGCTCCCGGCTCGGTGTTCGTAAATGGAGTTACCCGACCCGGCGAAGACCGTTCCTCGAAGTCGATCCACGACGCGTATCTATTCTTCCCGGTCGCGTCAATTCCGTTTCGCCAGCAGCTTCGTCGCGACGTCGAAATCCGAGTGGCGTGCCAGCTCTCGCGGTTTCCCGTCCGTTGACATTCTCCGCAGCTTGTACGCCGCTCGAGGCTGCCAGGCGTCGTCGGCTCGTTCCTCGCGCGAGATCGCGAAGCTCCAGGACGACTCGGCGTCGACGCGATGACGTTGCTCCAGCAGCTGTCGATGGTCCCTGCTGGCCCTACGCAGCTGACGGAGCACCAGCTCGATGTACTTGAGCGTCTCGCCGTTCTCCGTCGTCCGCGGCGAGCGTCCCTTCGCGCGTACCTTCCTCCCGGCGATCTCGTCCGGCTGCGTCCTCGTTTCCCCGAGCAATCGTTCGACCTCCGGTGCGATCGCCCGCTGGGCGGCGTCGCGACGCTCCGTGACGACGTTGCCGCGGCTCCGATAGCGACAGCTCCTGCCCAGCGTGTCCGCGAAGCATGCGTCGCGCGGCCTCCACGTGTTCGAGCGCGAGCTCGCGCAGTGAGTCTCCTCGAGGGTCCTGCGATGTCCGAAGGCGGTGCTAATTAGGCCCGAACGTCGACGGTTCTAGTTCGGATAGACCCCCTGGCCTCATACGTGCGTCGCTAACGTCCCTACCGCCGACGTGCGCTTCACCGTCGCGACGCCGCCGTTCGGGCCGCCTGTGATGTAATGCGCTGACAGGGGAGCCTGGAAATCATAGAATTTCGCGTGAAATTAACAATCGTGGCGCGTCGAGGGCACGCCGCAGGCAAGTCTGGGGGACGTCGCGCGACCTAATCGAGCGTCGTGCAGATCATCGTAAAAGATATTGCAGAATACACGGATGGTAAATAACGAAAACATTCTTATTTTTACGATTGATCGATCAATCGGTCGAACGAGCTGCACGACGCTAGTTAGGGCGCCGCGTAAGGGAACCGGGGCCAATATGGGCATAGTTACATATACATTATTCTACAGAATAAGAAAAAGGAACTGAACTACCAACAATTTATGTACATATTTTACGGACAACTGTTGTTGCGTTTGAATTTCGCTCGCAGACGTAGCGAGAATAAATATACGGTCATCTACGATAATACGGATGTGGAATATTATGCTCGAACGTAGTGGGGGTGATACAGACACCTATGCGGGGGATATGAGCGGTTGTAAATTTAATTGCATTTCAAAATATCGTATAGAATTCAATGAATAATGCACCATCGGAAACTGTTGCTCCCCAAATGAATACAAAATTAAGTAATTAACGGCTACGGGGAGTATGATACAGGGTATATTACAGTTTACGCGTTCCTTGGGCTTTTCTCTAGATACGTCCCCTTTCCGATTATCGCATTCTCGTAATCTGCAAATCGTACTATACTGAATCACTAACTTAGACTTCCGAATCTGAACACTAATTCAAGCAGAAAAGTTAAATGGAAAAAGGGCATTTCTCGAGAAACGTGAGCTTAGTTATAAGTGAGTTACTTAACTGTAACATTTTTAAATAATGGGTGAAACTTTACTAGCATCGATTAGTATCTATCCTATTTGCAAGTAGAAACCGGATCATCAAATATGGTCGTCGATATATCAAATTGCATTCCTCGTATCTAGCCTAGTTTTCATACAAAAATGCTATATTGGAGAGCTGTACAGTCTTTAGAATTCAAATACAGGGATCTGGCTTACGGAAGATTACTTTGCTATCGATCAGGATTTTGTATGATACAAACTACCGACTAGTAACATTACTGGTGCGAAAACGCAATTTTACGGGCGAAAGAATGGATTTACCTTATACCATGAACATCACTCAGGGTCATTCTTTATAGCTTTTTACTACCGTTCAAAAGCTTGGAAGTAGTCGAGTATTAAATGATGATTTATCGCAACTGGTAAAAATATGGAGATTTCCAAACTTTTGGACGATAGAATGCTCGTTCCGGGTATCACAAAAAATCGTACACACAAAAATCACGTACGCTAGAAAAACGTGACACATGCCATGCTCGTCGGTTAAAATATTGAGCACCTTCATGCACGCTACAAAAATACCATACGAACCACCAAAATATACATGTGTCAAGCATACTCCACACACCATACGCTAAGTATATAAGTGAAAAAAGATAGAACATACACACTACCGTATACACATCGCACTAATGCTACCTGTATCACATACACACTGCCCCCCCACCCTACGTAAAATATTGTTTTATACGTCTTGGAAGACTATAGAACCGTGATTAGAAAGTTTCAAAAATGAACCCCATTGAAAACCATCAAATATTGATCAATATATAGAAAATTAGTTTTACTATGTGACTCGATTTATCAAGTTTACCACAATTCTAAATAATATCTGAACAAAACTAACTAGTGCTACCTTAGGAGCAAAGAAAGTAACGAATGCATACTTTAACCCTCGTCCAACGGACTTCCGGTTCGTTTGTACGTTAGTAAACAAAGAATTTAGAAACACGAGAGTGCAAAAATTTCGATTGGAAATATAAAGATCGCCATTCGAGGGTTAAATGTCCGGCATTCGAAAACGTAGGAACAAGAAAAGGGTTTGTTCGCCGTCAGAGTACTGTAAACAATATTCGAACAACAGTGCCCATATTACCCGAATTCCCTTATTATCGTAGCCTAGCCGTGTTTTGCTATATTCTTTTTATCGAAGGGTCGCTTCCATGGAAGCGACGAGCAAATAAATAAATAAAAGGATACGACTTACGCCTGGAAGCCCAAAGCAGTGTCAACGGTAAGATCCGCGTCCAATTTACGGAAAAACACCAATAGGAGGAAATCAATGTTAAGGGTGTACTTACGCTACGCAGCGAGAACACACTCCATCACAAGCGAGAACACATCAATCAGTCAACAGAACACATTTAACAAGGGGCACATCAAAGGGACTCTCGTCAACCATTAGACAGAACACTAGCCCAGTCAACCGTTCGCGGACACACGCTCTCACGCTTACGTAGGTTAGCGATGGAGGCAATCGTACCACGACTCGTGCAGTTAAACTTACCATCATTCGCAAAGCCCAGTCACGCAATATTATTTTTACCAAGTTGCAACGAAACGAAAATGACAATTTTATTATCAACAATATATTCGACTTGGAAAGTACAGTTGGTCGCGAACGATCCCCGCAGGATTACCATGACTATTAAGCCCGGCCTTAGATGGCCAATTTAGATTATATTATGTTTTGTCGGCGCTTCCGAGAACAGATTACTGAATTTACAGTCGTTATAAAAGCATTATCCTCTCGCATTATCCTCCATTCGCTATTCGTTATTCACGATCGGCACGATAAAGCGATATTAAAACGACTCGTATCGGACGAGCGATTCGACTCGGGGCACGATTAGATCGGCTCCTTGGTGCAACTATCTCCGACGAGAGATTTATCGTAACTAGTTCAGGTGAGCGTCGGAATGCGCGACGAGATGTCGCAACTATGTCTTGGAATTTGACACACATTCGTTGTCATTGTACTAACCTGCGGTCCAGCGCCGTTCAAGGTATTCAAGCTATTCATTCTCATTGCTTGCGTGTAGGGTGGTGGTGCTGGCGTCACTCCCGGCACAGCCGCGTGCGGCGCGTGTCTCAGCTGCTCCGCCGCTGACATTCTATTGTTCGAAAAGTAAAAGAAACGGTCAGGGTATCTCGCGGGGTCCAACGGGGATCTGTTTGCACGGCAAACGTTGCGCCACGGCCACCGGCGGCCCGCCAGATCTCCTCGATTAATATTAAAATCGGCCCGCGCCCGTTCCAAATCGCCGTTATAAATATTCAAGACAAACGATTCATAATTCACGCGGAATATGATTAATCCGCAGGAACGATTGCACGGGGCCGCGGCAAATCCGCTGACCAATATGTTACAAGCGTTCGAAACGTTAATGTACCGGCACAACCGCCGACAACGTGGAACAATGTTTTTCAAAGCGAAAAAAAACGTTTGATACTTCTATTTTTCTCCGTTCTGTTTACTATATTTTTACTTTTAGTATAGTTCTAATAGAAGACCTGGTATACGATCATAGAATAGGTGTACGAGTAGACCTTAGATATTATATTTTTGGAAAAGAATTTTTTTCTCGAATGTGCGTAGGATTTCGGGGGTATGTGTATTCACCAAAAATGATTGCAATTGATCCCTGAAATCGAAAATAATTTTTTTAGAACAATTTGAAATTTTCTTTTTCGGCGATAGGCACCTACCCCCTGTCGATTTTTCTTAGAAACTCGTTTTTCGCTCTACAGAAAAGTTGTTTACTACTTTTTTGTAGGTATCTATGAACTCTAGTTCCTCCCAAAATTTCAATTAAATATATTTCCTATTGTAGGAGTTATAGTCGTTTGAAAATTGGACCACTTTTATGGGGTTTTTCTTAGTTTACGGGGTCAGGGAACAACTTTTTCAATATTGTTAGAATTTCTACATATTCTGTGTCAAAATACGCGTCAATTGCATTTTTTAAAATTGAAATCGTCCAATCCGTTCAGAAGTTATGGCGTTTTAAAGATACGCACGAAATTTAAGGGAAAAATTCGATATATGGTCAGACATTTTCGGTAATTAATATTTTTCTCGAAAATGCGTAGGATTTCGGGGGTATGTCTATTCAGCAAAAATGATCGTAATTGACCCCCGCAACTGAGAATATTTTTTTTAGAATGATTTGAAATATTTTAATTTTGCCGAAAAATTCCTGTACCAACTGAATTTTTTTCTCGAAACTGCGTAGGATTTCGAGGGTATGTCTATTCACCAGAGATGATTGAAATTGGCCCACGCAACAAAAAATAATTTTTTTAGAATGATTTGAAATATTTTAATTTTGCCGAAAAATTCCTGTACATACTGAATTTTTTTCTCGAAAATGGTTAGGATTTTGGGGGTATGTCTATTCAGCAAAAATGATCGTAATTGACCCCCGCAACCGAGAATATTTTTTTTAGTACGATTTGAAATATTTATTTTCGTCGAAAAATTTAGGCGTCTCGGAGAAATATTTTATCACAGTAAGAAAATGGTCCAGGTGTCTCTATTTGAAATATATCTTGGGAATCGTAATAACGCGTTTAAATTTGGAAGAGGAATCCCTTCGAACGGATCAATAGCGAAGTACCGAAACCATCGACGATGCTTTTAGGACAACCAAAATAATCCCGGAGTTTAATATTTAATCGTCAGGGTAGGAAGCGTCGCTCACCGGGTCGTTAGCTATCAGAGGGTGCATTTACCCCGGGTTCGATACCGTACTTTCGTACGGTCCTAGTTTCGTCGTCGATTCACGGACCGCGTCTCTTTCCCGACTATAACTCGATCGTCTTTGCTGCAGTCCCCCTCCCTCCCTTCACCCCCGGTTCCTCTGTAGGATTACCGTCGTCGAAACACAATTACAATTGGTCAAAGCTTCCTCTATTATACCGTGTCGAACTAGATTGCGGGACTCGATGACACAGAGGCGCGGCAATCTCCATTGATATCCGAGGAAGTGGTGAAACTTTACCTGAGGTAGGGGTTTCCGTACGTCGCGGAGAAACGAGGATCGATCGCCGGTGTCGTTTGCGGGGTCGGAGTGCCCAAATTCGCGGAACTCAGACCGATCTTCTTCGAGGCGAGTATCCCGCCCGACGGTATCCTGCTTAAGGATTCCCGCGACGCTCCCACGCCTTGCGTCGTGGGCGGCATGTAGTCGCGGGTGTAGTCGACGTACGGCACGTAACCGTTATTGTTACTGCCGTCCTACAACAGAGAACAGAAAGGAAAATGTTAGCGACAAATGCCGGGGCGACCTCGACGGCCGCGAAAGCCGGTCGTTTTTATAAACAGCTCGTTCCCTGGCAAACGGCCCGGAAGAATTGAATACGCTTCACGGTGTCGTTTCGTTAAGATTCTTTCCTCCGGTCTTTTCATCGCTGAGCGTCGACCGTAACGCGGAAATTGAAATATGTAAACTGCACGGAAGGGAAATTAATCCTCGCGCGTCGGTGAGCTGCGCACGTTTGGCGTCGGTGCACCACAATGATCCGTGAATTTCCCTGCTCGGGTCCGAAATCATTATTCATCGAGATTTAAACGCCGACAGGGGCCTCCAAAGACACGCGAAATCAAACAAAAGTCACCGAAATTCCGCGAGTTCTATATTTGCTTTACCGGTTAGAATGTGGTTGATATTTATTCTCGTATCGAGGGACGCGATTAACCCGAATATATTTTTAACCGTATTATCGCGTCGCGTAAAAATCGATGGACATCGATTTAAAAGTGTTTTCGACGAGCCGTTCGTCATTTAACGCAATTTGTAAAGCTCGAAAAAGGTCAATGGGACCGAGATCCGGTGAATAGGATGAACGCGATAAAATTGGCTATTCAAGCTTTACAATTTCTTGCTGCGCGAGTACTGTCACACGTGGTTTTGCGTTCTTGCGCAACAGGGTTAGTAATCCGCGATTGACAAGCTCGATCGAGCAAACGTCGTGAATACTATATGGCCTCCGTCCGATCGACCAGCTAATTTCGAGCTTGTTTTCTACTTACGTTTGTTTTTGGCGGGAACGAAGGTTCCGTGTAGTCGGCGCTGTAACGATAACCCAGAGGATTCGGTACGGGACCAGCGAGCGCCAGCGCGTTGACGCCTCTCGTGCTTCCTTCGCCCTCGCTGTCAAGTGCTGTCACGCTTTCTGCGTTGCTGACACTCGATCCCGCTCGTATGTCCGCTTTGACATCCGAGAGGTTGCTGCTTCTGTCACTCTCTCGATATCGATCCGCGTTCGAATCTGTTTCTTCTGTCGGCCGACCAACGAGACAAAAACAGCGGTCAGGGCGCGCGATTTTGTTGCTCGAAATTCGAAAAAATTATATTTCCATCGTACTGTTGCTCTCTGGACGATCATCGTAGGTTCGTCTTGCTATAATCAGCCAGATACCGCGTCGCGTTCGCGAATCAAGCTCGATGCATCGGTCTCGTTTGCATTCGATAACCTTTTTTCCGCGTCGTTAGCGACACACGTCTAACGATAACTGTCTGCCACGCGGTTCGAGGAACGTTACACGAAGAAATTACGAAACGACGAGAGCCACGAGGGCAAAAACAATGGAATGCAACGTCGCGGCGACTAATAGCGATATAATTCATTCGAACATGATATTCCACTCACGCATATCAGTCTCCTGGGTCTGGGCAGTCCTCGGCCGCGGCTGTTTGATGCGGTCACGGCACTGCAGAATGAGTATAATGATCACGCCGATCAGGATCACACAGACGGCCAATCCGCCGATGATGAGGATCAGTTGCCAATCGACTGGAATCAACGCTAAGCGTCACGGTTGGTTAAAATCTCGGGTCTTTAGCTCAACGCGCGCGGCGTCGTTTTTTTGAAAACGATCGCCCGCCGCCGCGTAGGGGGGGAGCGAAAATAAAAAAAAATTAAAAAACGGTCGCGCGTGCGACCGACTGTTTAACGAGGCGGGCTAAATTTTGCAAAACGCGCACGCACGATGCGCTCGCGCGTCGCTTAATTGAAACCCGTCGAATTTACGACGCGACGCCGAGCATCGGTTGGTAAAACTTTATAAAATCGGTACTGGAATTATTTACAATAACGGTTCGATCCGTCGATGGTCCGCTAATGACTCGGAATGAAAATGGCTCTGATTTTTTAGAAGTGGACATTTTGCAATAGCTGAGAAAGGAGTGTTTTTGCAGAGTTGTACGTTTCGTATCCGACAATCCGATGTGCAATTTTAGCAGGCTTAAATATACGCGAACGAGGTATTTCCAGTTTTATAATCCAAGATGGGTAACAAAGACATCAAAATCCACGTAGCTTCATTAGCTCGAATGGCATGGAAACTCCACGTAACGAATAACACGCGCATTTTAATCCGTCGCGTTGTATTTTTAAAACCGGAGTCGAATAATTGTTTTCCTGTCTCAGTGTACGTAAACGAATAGCAAGATGGCGTAATCGTAAAGAATATTATTGATTGCAAAGAATTTCCTATCGCGTATGCAGCTTTAACCGATTCGAACAATTTATTCAGTAATAATAGTATACGAGTCGGTTAACACAATTGACGCTCCAATGATACCGATAATATGGATTCACGTTTAAACCGACAGTCGGTTCGAATATATGATTTAAGGGTCATATAACACGGTTCTAACGTTTGTCAAACGATGAAAATTGGTTTCCATTTAGGAAACGTTGGAAATTCTCTTGATATTTTAAAAATAATCGTAGTAATCGCTCCATTCATCTACACAAATTTCAGCTAGAATTAATATTTACGGGTCTGCGGGAAGCAATTACTATGACGAGATTATTCTATATTTTATTGGAAAAGCTGCGACTATATCGTTTCCCGTTCCATTTGTAAACACAGATCCTCGCTTTCGGTGCGATCCGTTTGATAAATAGCCGGGCTGACGGTGCAAAAATTGAAACAACGATCGTATTAGTATTTTTTTTATCAGGTTCCGAGAAACCGTGTATATCGTTATTACAATTTTTGAAACAATTCGCCGTGGAAAATAAAATTGAAAACATCGCCGTGTTTTCGAGAGTCGCGATCGGGTTTCCGTGGTTTGCGTTTTCGTTTCCACCGGCGTGGAAAAAAGATTCGTCGCGTAACGGGAGACGCCGAGAATCCGTTCGTTCCGCGCGACGACGGTCGCGAGTCGAAAAACGCCGGGCAATTTCGGAGCGTGACGCGGAATCGCGGCGTAGCGGAAAAAGGAGAGAAAGAAAGGAAAAAAAAGAAACAAAAATACACAGAGGCAGGAAGAGTGAGAGTCGGGGATAAAAAGGTCGGTCATAATGGATATGAACTTACTGTGTGCCGTCAGCTTGATTATGACGGAATCCGTGCCGAAGCTATTCGTGACCGTGCAGTTGTAATCCCCGAAGTACGCGGATATGGGATCGAGCAGCGTGACAGTGCTGACGACCCTCTCGCCGGTGTATTCCTCCTGCACGTAGAAAGGCGTATTGTTCGACGAGAAATTGAGCTCGCGACCGGCGAAGCTCCATACCACCGAGTCCGCTTTTGGCACAGATATCGCGGTACACTTCACCTGCGAAATCGAGGAGGAAACAGTCGAATGAAAAAGGCCTGTCGCGGTTCGTCGCTTGCCCCCTGTGCCCCGGGATCGACCGATACAGACGCGGCCGACGGCTTTTAAAAACCGTCCATCGACGGGGAAAACACGCCGAGGGTAAAAAAAAAGAAAAAAAATACGCCAAGTCCCTCGGTCGATCTGTTCGTCGGGTGTTCGCCGAAATGGACGCCGGGAATCCCGTCCGGAAAATATTCGTTCGCCCGGTTGGATTTCGGAGACGTCTCGCGGTCGTTTTCGCGGTATTTGCCATAAATGTCCTGTCGCGGATCCCGCGGTGGAAGTTACGGTGGCATAAATCGGGACCCGTGCTATTTTCGACGGATTTCACGGGAACGTAACGCGAATCCCCCGCAGATCGACGGACTACGGACTTTGGAAGCCCGCGAACGACGGGGGGAGGGAGGTGGAGGATCGTGGAAATCCGCGGGCTTCGGGGGCTTAAAAAGATGGAAACGCAGATGGACGAAAGCGTGTCGAGGATACCTTGACGACCCCCTCGTCGGGCACGTATTGAACCCTCTGCGACACGATGCTGGGCGCCGCCCGGATGTAGATGTTCGCGTAGCCGGTCAATTCTGGAAATCCTGGCACGTGACCTTTGCAGAAGTACCGTCCGGCTGTCTCGTGATTCACCACCACGCTTATGTTCGCCGTAGTGGCAACCTGTCGCTCCGAGTCCTCGTGGTACCAGCGCACTTCCGGCGTCGGGTTACCGTCGACGTCGCACTGCAAGATCTCCGTCGCGCCGTATTGCGTCTCCACGGAGACTGGCGGGTGACGAAACTGCGGCCCGTCTGCGGAATTCAATTTTCACCCTCGATCAAACATTCGGAAAGAAAACTGTTATAGGGTTGGTGGAGGCGTTGAAACGGAAATCAGTCGACTGTCGACAATTTCTTTATTTAGTCTACCCATTTGATTCACCTTGGATCTTAGAAAAAGGAACTTTCTCAACGTCACTTTCGCGTAATTAATTAGATACGAATCGATCGGATTCGTGAATCCACGTATCCGGGAATCCGTTCCGGGGCGCGCGGCTGGAAATTGTTTCAGCCATCCCCAATTTTCTAGGACGTTACGCGGGCTCACGTTCGCCGCTCTCGCCCCGAAAAGGCAACCATAAATCGACTGTCAGCCGCGGAAGATGCTCCGAAAATACGCCGACAAACGTTCCCCTAAGAGGTTCAATTTATCCTTCTCCCCTTGTGACAAGCGTGATCTCGAATTTCGCTGATGCACCGCGCGAAATTCGCGATCCTGGGATCCCCGCTAAGTAGCGCGACGAAATGATATCGGGAGCGTCCCCGCTGGTCGAGCACACCGGGATATAGAAAGAAAGCACGACTCAGCGTATAATAACGGGCGCATATTCGGGCCCGCGACTTCGTAAAATTGCTAAACTGCTTCCTGGAGATTCGCGATACTCGAATCGCCGAAAATTATTCCTGGCCATCCACCCTCGAGTTTAAAAATTTATTCTGCTCCATATCTGGGAATTAATGTTACTTAGAATATTCTTCTATTAATTAAAATTTTAGTTAACTCACACGTTATGTCCAGGGTCTCTGTTTCCTCGCTCTTCCCGACGTCGTTGTGGACCTCGCACTTTACGATCGCGTCGTGAAGATCGCGGGTCGCGTTATGGATGATCATCTCCGTGGTGTAGTCCCCGATGACCTTCTTCTCATTGATGAACCACCTAGAGAATAGGTTAGCGTGTAATTCACGGCGAACAAAGCTCCGGCATAATTATACATTTTCTCGAATTCTCTCTTTGCTTCTGTGTCTCCCCTGTTCTCCTTTCGTCGATCTCTCGCAAGGAAACGCTTAACTAGTTAGGACTTTGGAGGGTAGTTTCAACCCTTAAAACTTTCCATACGTTATTCTTTGGTTAAAAAAGAAGGGAACTTATGCTGTTAATTTTATAGGGACTCGTAAATAAATACAAGTGAGAATAATCGAATTAAAAAAATTCTTTAACGGGTGATTATAATCACAGGTTGATCTCAAGTTACTGCAGAAGAACTACAGATCTGCCATTTTTGACTGCTAAAAGGCCTTCATTGAAATCGAATTTCCTCGTTGGATCAGAGGCACGTGAAGGCGGAAGCGGTAACCTCCGGGTGAATTAGTTCCGGGAATCACGCGTCCTTCATTCAACGATCTTCCTCGGGATCGTGGTTCGTGTCTGTTCTCGGAACCCGCCGACGCGTAGTCGCGAGATTTATCTCGCTCGAGCCGTACAATCGATGAAAAGAGCGTCGAGGATCGTTTAGGATAGCAATAAAGGAGAGAGGCGCCTCTTTTCAACGGTCGAATCGCGCTCACATACGTTCTCAGAAAGGAAGAAGAGGGAAACTGAATGGAACGAGCACGAAAGTTGGCGAGCTCGTGTATCTTGGAAAGGATCCCGACGCCCTTTCCTAGCACCCGCACACGCTACCCCTCGTAATTATTTGCTAAAACTTCGCCTCTATTCATAAATATGTGCTCGTAGAAAAATGTTGCGACACCGCGATTCGCTATTCCATTCACGTGTGTTTCGAGTACGCTCAGCTTGCAAAGATCAAATTTATGCAATCGAGAGAAAAGAGTTCGTTTTTTTTATACGTCACGTTCAAGTTTCATCAAAGACGCGCCCTGCTATAATAGCCTCCGAATGACTATGCCCGATACCCTATTTTATTATGTCCGTCAGATTAGATGGCAGGGAAGTTTGGTCGTAAACGCGGGTTCGGGTCGCTCGGAGACGCGTGCTCCGGGCTTTTACGATTTCGATTCGAGACCTGTCGAAAGTTGTAACACTTAATCAAGCCGTATTTACAGGTTCCTCGTCTACGGTGGACCTTCGCCGGTTGTGTTTTGTACGCTCGAGCCAGCGACGCAAACTCAAAGGGCCATTCACGCGCGGCGGTCCTCTTTCGCTTTCGTTTTGCGATCCCTCTTTTATCGGACTCGCGAGAACAAACGGCACGGTGGTGTTACCACCCACCCACGCACACAGAGAGGCTCGCGAAGCTATCGAAGCGGGCAACAAGACAACCAGTAATGGAACGCATGACCGCCTAACATTGTCCTAAACTTTGCATTGTCCTCTCTTTGTAACGAGTATCAATTATTCGCTTGCTCCGTGGCGCAACCGATTGCTTGCTAATTCTCCTTTTGTCCCGTGTATGCCGGCGCACGGCTCCCGTTGTTCGACGAAACAACGCCTCTGTGTCCGTTAAAAACGTACGAAATAAGCACCCTCTGATCCCGGGTAAATCTGTGATCTCGTCCTTCTCTACGTGCTCTCCATTTTATCCGATAGCCGGTCTACTCCGCTGCGTGGTACGCGTCGGGCGGAAACACAAGAGGCTATGATTACTCTCTAAAAACCGTACTAATTGACAGATTAAAGGGTTTTGAGCAGCTACTCAATGGATTGCCTCGGTTGCCTTTGACGATGCAATAAAATAAAGAAGACTTCTCTCGCGTGCGTGGGGCAACGTTACCGATGTTAAATTTTCTCCGTGCAATTTAATTCTATTAATGGATCGTTCTATAGTTACTCTTGCGAAATTTGCGATTTAAAATCTCGAAACACTCACGCTAGTATCTAGATTACTGTTTCGATCGTAGAGAAAAAGAAAATTCTACTGTAATTGGTTGTGCAAGAGCATTCTTCGTTTCTCCCAGCGAAAACGTACACATAATCAATATCGTTTCTCTTTTCGTTATTAGACATCAATTAGAGCCATTATTACGCTTATCCGCCGTCGAAAGATCGCAATTAAGGGACACATTGTACCCGAGGAGGAAAATATTGGTCGCTCAAGGTCATCGATCGACCATCCCCCCACCCCAAAATCCTTTCAACGTTCCGTCGTTCCATTATTCGTCCCTTCGCTCCGCCCCGTTCTCGCGTTTTAAAGACAAACACGCGAGCCAGCCGAGCTCACGCTTCCCATCTCCCAGAGAAAAAGGCTGACACGGCGTAAAAAACGCGAACCGCGTCTAAGGGCGCAGTCGAGCTTCGAAATCTTCAAAAAATTTTTACATATTCAAGCGGCTAGGCTACCGCGTGCCTCGGGCACGCAAACTCTCTGTAAATTTTAAACGATTACGGGTTTCCCCCAAGTTGAGCCTTCAAATATTAAATTTGCTTTTATCGTAAAATGTGCCAAAATTACGGAACCTTCCCTTGCGTTGGTTCTTATTCCATAGTAGTCCTCCGACTACTTCGTGGAATTTTTTAACGAAATTTAATGCACTCCTGAAAGTATACGCTATGGATAGGATACAAGAGGGGAGGTGATGCGTATGGTATGGAATTACAGTGATTGGCGAATGTCTATGACATGTTTATAGATTCTAAGAAAAGGTCTGAGTCGTCAGATCCGATCTCGACACTTGCATCAATTTAAAAAAAAAAGGGGGGAATTGTGATGGTCTTCACGGAAACCATGAATTCGTGGGTATCGATAGTCACTGAGGCGATCAGAGCGTCAGGTGTTCGCGTTATTAGTTTGTTGTTGCTCACCTGTACTCGACGTTGCGCGGATTGGCCTCCGCGCGGCATTTGAACCGCAGTTCCGTACCCTCGACGATGCGTCCGTTCTTGACCTGTCCCGAGTGGATTATCAGAGACACTTTGGGCGCGTAGCGAACCTGAAAACCGAGATGCGAGCGTTCGATAAGACGGTTGCACACGTGATGCACGCGGGACGTCACGCGAGCCGATGCTCAAACTTTCATGACCATCGCCCCCGCCGCGATCGATCGCAGGGAACCCGTCGACTCGCGTGACTCCCCACACAGCACGCCCGGCGTACTTTATTTTCCGTCGGACGTAATTTCTCAGCAATTAATATCGCGCGGTGACAACTCGGTAAACGATGTCCCCGCGTACGAAGTACGATACTAAACTGTCGCTTCGGTCGCGCGTGCCCTCGGGGGGGGGTTACGACATCGCGATCCTGTACCATTAACCTTTGGAACACTGACGAGACACCCGTGAACCGTCGCGTTGGAGACCACGGGTGCTGGCAGCCATCGTTTTCTTCGAGCAATGGCAGTTTCTTGCGTTGCGGAGGAAACAAAAGCAACCGGTAGCTTTATTTACCATTATATTTACTCTGTTTCAGATACGATGGAGATGGAGCAAGAAACTGCTGCTTTCCACTTCGAAGGCTGTTGCAACGTTTAGCCAATCGTGATAGTAGATTCGTTACGAGAAAGTTCCACGCATAATTTCAACGCGACCTAATAGTAAGTGCAAGCAACAATTGCAGTAGGATTTACAGTCGCTGAAGAACCGTAGCTCTGAATAGCGGGCTAGAGAATCTTATTCTTAACGTGGACGTTTGAAAGGGAAAATTCACGAGCGGACAGCAAGCGCGAGAAAAGAAAGCAGAGGGGGGGAAACTAGCCCCCCTGACGATTACACGGACCAGTTTTCGGAACACGGCGTTAATTATTCTTCAACCTCGTTACCGCGTTTCTGGCCGGGTTCGCGTGGCCCGGTGTGTTAATCTCGTTTCGCGTTTGAAAAAAATGGGTTGGAGAGAAAAAAATGCGCAAAAGCCCAGAATCCCTTTTTAGCCGCGATGGCCCAGTTCCACCCGGGTCCTCTGTTCCGTCTCGTTCCGACTCACCTCGACGCGCAGCTTGGCGTTCTGCGGCGTGCGGTCGGCCGCGTTCTGACTTTGGCACGTGAACGTCGTGTTGTCGTGTTTCTTCTGCGGCTTCACCCTCAGGACGGATTTCACGGTGTACAGGGGCCCGCCGTCGAACAGCTCCTTTATCGTCTTGATACCCGTGTGCAGCACCTTGCCCAGCCCGTCGATCCACGTGATCTGCAACAAAGCAACGATTATTCGCACTAAATTCCACGGGGAACCTCCATTGATCGTTAATAGCAGGGGTGGCAAAGTGGCGTGCCCACAGCTAGCGTTTAACCCTTTTGCTTCTACTTATTCCGGCCCCCTTCTGTAATCGTTTGACTTCTAAAACCTCTCTGCAAGCATTAACTCACTACCTCACAGGAAAGTCGACACGTTGCTTACGAGAGGAAAACTTTGATCTTAGGCCATTGTAACCTCGCTAAAGTTCATCGATCCTATTGAAATTTATTTCCTTTAACAATTTAATTTGAAAAGTCTCATCAGCCATATTGGATCGGGTGGATCAAATGCTCAAATTTGCCGGAAAGTCTGTTAGATTTTGGAAAGAATTTTCCACGGTATTTCATTACAACGGACGGCGTCATATTTTATTAAATCATTCGGCCACGATCGATCACCGCGATCGGGTTTCGGGACGGCTTTGTAAAGTTGCGGGTCCCCGGGTCATCTCTGGTCGCGAGGAGCTCGTTCCCCGAACTTTCAAATTTTCTCGGGAATTAATTCGACCACTTCCCCTCCGCCCCCGCCTCACCCTGGGGTCTCTGATTGAAAATCTACCCTCGTTGCGAGTTCGGATCGGGTCGAGGCAGCGTGTCGCCTTTTCTGGTTCGGCTCGTTTCCGAAACAGCGACTGTTTAAACGATTCCGCGCTCAGTTTCGGTCGGATGCTCGCGCAAATCGATCTAATCGGCGCTAATTAGGAATTTCGCGACGCTAGCTCGACACGGTTCGCCATCGACACCGGTGCATTCCAGTTAGAAACGCTGCGGATCGCTCTTGCGTCGCGTTAATCCGGGATTTTGATGCGTGGCCGTTCGCAGACGCTTCCGAAATTATTGTACGCCTCGTCGTCGCCGGTGCACGCGCGCTTCCGGTTCAAATCCGTTCGTTCGACGCTTATTCGCGGCGAGCAACGACCGTAAAATTTAAAGTAAATTCTTTAAAACGTTAAAGCGTTCTGCTCGAGTTATTTAATTATATCGCGAGAAGCGGCGGATTTTCGAAAAGCTTTCGACTGCTTCGCTTTATTACGCGGACTATAAGCTGTCGGAATCGCCGGTTATTCTCCCGGTTGTCTAGCTCCCCCGACGGAATACAGGCAATAAAGTTTAATAATATGTGCCCTTTAAATATTAACGTTCGTTCTGGAATCCTACGAGGATCTCATCTCGAGATCCAACGATTCAATTTATTTATAAATGATGCTCCCTGACGTCTTATTATTATGTTTCCTCGATATTAAAATAAATTATACCGTGGGTATAATAATATTTTCTCGTAAACGTCGATGAAATTTACTTTTAGAATCGTTTCCACGACGATGGAGGACGTAGCGCGATATTTTTGTTTCGAGCGTTATTGGGGAGAATTGAAACGGTACGAATCGCGAAGAAAACTGATCGACATCGTTTCCAGATGAGGCCATGGGAAATCGAACGCGGTACGTGCTCCGCAATCGGGCACTTGTGTCCGGCTATCCGGATAATGAAAGTGTGCTCGTTCGGGGAACGGACCCGGCCGAAAAAAATCTCGCTGTAGGCTGTTCGACGAGCGTCGATATACACTTTTCCGCGGCTCCCTGTATTATTCGTCCAGGCGATCCGAACGAGCACACGTTTCACGGGGGGATGCGTGCCAGTATGCACGTGCACGGGAAAGAGACGGACAGACGGGCGAAGGTACATAGTGGACAGAGAGGGTCGGAGCGAGAGATTGGCTGCTCCGACGTAGCTGCACCGACGGGAATCGATCGTATCGTCTATAATTAGGCATGCTGCATCAGTGCTTCTGCACTCCCATATCACTGCATAGTCCCGACTCGGTTCGTTCGAGCACTATTTACGATGCTCGCCGCGTTAAGGCGCGTTGTAATTTTAATAAACGCGGCGCAATTACGAACGGGGAGAGGCAGCGCGACGACGACGCGGAAAACGGGGCCAAGAAAAGAAAGAGACGATCTTCGGGTCCGGATGGACGGTCTTTGGAATTTCTTTTCCCTTCCCCCCCTGGCTCCACCACGGTCGATGAATATTCGATGAGCGGGCGCGACCGCCTCCCCTTGGCACGAAACTTCCCTTGGCATCTTGACTCGGGGAAAACGTAGCTACTCCCTTCGCGCCCTTGCCCATCCGCGACTTCATTTTAGCTACGTCGGCGACTGCCGGGGCTTGGCAATCGCGCTGATGGATCTCTCCAGCTTCGTTTGGGCAACGCGAGAAATGATACAAACGCCCGTTCGAAACAATGTATTAACCAAATGCTTCCGAGAGAATGGGCTTTTGTGGCGCGATCTCTCGTTTTCTAACGAGCAGGGTGCAAGATATTTGAATCTGAAAAATATGTAACGTCACGGAGTCGCATGGAATATTTTTCGAGGGAAAGAAATCGGTGTAGGCTTCGTTTTCGAGAAAATTGGATCCAAATATCGTATGGATGTAGTTGATTAATAATCGATTATTACAGGCCGCTGTTGCGACCGTTTGTGCATACGATAGAACGTCAGGACTCATTGAAATGCGATTGAAGGATACATTAAACATAGGATAGTAAAATGCATAAATCATATCGTCATGCTCTTCGTTTGTGTATCGTACCCGTGTCGCTTGTTTGATAGACTATTAGCTCGAGCATGTGCGTTTCAATTCGATGTACCGGGAATAAACGTATTCTGTTGGACCGCGTGGATTTTGTAATGCATGTTTAGATATCGTGCACTCATGAAATTGTACTAATAACAGGTAGAAAAGTCCTCGGTACACATTGCGTGTATTTCTAAAACTGAAATTTGAAAATTTAAACAAACATCCTCGTCCTTTGCGCTACAGATAACGTTGCCAACCCGCCTTCCCTTTATTATTTTATCTCCCTCTTCCGCTGTGTATCATTCGATGCCATAGAGCCCTATTATTATTATTATTCATTCTCTGTCACGGCTCAACAATGTTCGGAATCGTGTATCATCGCTGGCCGGGTGAAAAAAAACTCTTTCCAATTGTGGTTCGCGACACAACGGGCTCCGCTTAGCGTCGCTTTCCTCGTCGACGCCGTATCCGCGGGAAATCGATCTCATCCGCTCTAATTACAAGTTCTGCGGATTTCCAACACAATACCGTTTGTCATTGCACCGAGCTTGGAACCAGACTCGAATTACCGCGCGCGTTTTGTCCGTCACGGCGACCGCGGGAAAGCCTCGCGACGTCGGAGCTCGTTCGAAAAATCTATGGTCGAAATGTTGATCAAAGTATTGGAATTTTTAAATTACAATACGTATCGCCGGTGGGACCATTTCCCGATCGAATAAAAGAAAACGTACAGGTTCGAACGTCAGGCTGCCTGGCTTTTCGTCTTGGCCTCCCGACGTAACGTCGATCGTCGTCGACGTCTCGAATATCTCGTCAGGAGCCGAGAGTGACACCCCCATTTCCCGAGGACGCATTCTGGGTCGCGTGGAAAATGCTCCCTCGCCGGAGGATCGTGTTTACGGAATCTTATTTTTTTACGAAGAACGAAAAGAATTACGAGAAACGAGTAATCCGTTCGAATTTATCGGTAAACGCGGTAATGGCGATTACGAGCACCGGCTGGTCGCCGGGATCGATCTGTTCCACCCTAAATAAATGCACCGTGAACGTTCGCCGCGCGGCGTTCACCGATTCTTCCGTCGAGCGGCTTTTTACGACCTAAATATCGTTGCGAACGTCAGCCGCGATCGTTCCACGCGTCGCGCAGAATCCCTTTTTGCGAAACGGTGTCTCCGTAACCTTGGCTCTGTCCATTTATTTCCAGCCGAGCTTCCCCCAACGCTCTTATATTTTTATAATTCCACGTAAGCGTAAGGTAATCTCGTTTAATGTTTCCGCGCCGGTTCGTTAACGGGTGCTTTATAGTCCTTTATGGAATTAATTAAGAACCGGGAAAGAGAAGCGACGCTGAACAGAGGTAGGAAGAGAGGAGCCGTGGTAAGATCGTCGCTTTTACCCCACGCATTTTTATACGACGTTCCCCGGTTATCTGCAACCAATTTCTCCCCGCTCACCGAGTCCTCCGGGTCAGAAACAGAAGATTCATATCCACGTTCGCTCTTCTTGGTTCGACCTTGGTTTCGAGATAAAAAACAGGTCGATTTCTATAGAAAGTGGCGGTCAAGCGCAATATCGCCAATTTCGCGACATCATCCAGATTCGGTCCACGCCTTCGTCGAAATTACCTAAGCTCGACTGTCGTGGGTCGGGCTTTATCGACATTAATTGGGAAACCAAAAGGGGGACGCGATTCCATTGGTGATTCAGGCTCCTCTTTATTCGGATTCCTTTCGTTCCGTGGCGGTTTCCACCCCCTCCGGGGTTGGTAATTAAACAAGCCCGACAAGTAAAAGGAGCATTCGCCAGGACGATTTTGTCTCTTCAATCGGGTACGGCTTCGCTCGTCGGGCACACGAGACGTTTGTTCCTGGGGGGGGGTTGCCCACGGGAAATTATTAGTCGCGGGTCCAATCGCCGGCCCCGGCTGCTACATAATTCGCGATACGATCCGCAGATACGTTTCGACGTACGTGAATTATTCGTGCGCCGCCGCTACCTATTAATAAATACGATCGACCAGGTTCGGTCGAATCGACGGTGTTTCAGCGTCGCGACGCAGGAGACGGGTGCAGGGACGATCTTTTCCCGCCCCCCGATCCCGACGGTTCTTGCGTTTAATTGCGCTCCGTCGGATAATTCGATCGAACAAATTGGCCCCGCGCCGATTCCCTAACGAGCAGGCATTCCACACGCTTCAGCAGTTCGTGACTGCTACGGATTTCGGAATGGCTTTTGGACGCGACGTCCCTCAGACGCCGAGCAAGACTGGCGGAAAGGGGGATGTTTAAAGAAACATCTTTCGATTCTTCGAAAAGTCTTTTGTCATTTTTGATACTGTGATACGGTGATTTTCTTGGCAAGAATATAATT